CAAAAATGTTCAGAAAATTATTTTCTCAACGAATAAAGTAAGAAACTACACTGAGATAGAAGATATGGCAATTCTGAAGTTCTAAACCATAAAAAGTGCATTGTTAGGCTTCCTCTAATCGCCACCATGAGACGGTGCCTGTTTCGCATCTCAAAAAACCCCAAATATCCCAATCAGGAATATATGCTGAGATTTTGTACAGACCTTCCAGGGATACCTAGTATATAGGAAATTACCCAACCTAGTTATGGGATACTCAAAAAATAAAAATTGCTCCCCTTTCCACCAGAAACTCTTATCATTATAGTCTTTGCTACTTAGAATCAAGAAGCATATTCTGTCGCCTCAAAAACTCACCGAATGGGTTGTATCGAGGTTAGACGTAGGCATTAATATCTCTGAGGTATCCGACAACGGCACTTTGGGTCCACACCTAAAAGCACTCGCGGTCACCACGTCCTTATATCCAGAGGGAACACGCGCGTTATCATTCACCACCACCCTTCAGGACGTCGGTTTACCCCCGAGATACACCGTCATCATTCTTGTTTGTGGTTCGTTATCTATACAGAGTACGTGATCGCATATAGGGGTATATAGCCAGCGTTGTACGGTGTCTACTTCTATGTCTTGCAGCCGACTATGATGTTCGGCACCATCAACAGGTAGGTTGTATGGTACGAGCACCAGAGTACCGAGTCAAGTTGGATGCAAGAGACAGGTATATACCAGTGGCGTTACCATAGATAGTATCACGGTAGTGCGCACTGATTGAATTACCGAGGGAAATTATCCCAGACAGCACAGAATGTTTTATGAATGTTCTCACAACTTTCACAACATACCTTCTTCAGAATATTTCGAAGCATATCATTTGAATATAATGAGGATGTTCCGAATGTTCATAGAATCTTTTAAGAGAATATTCATACAGTATTTCATCTGAATAATATCCTAGGGACGTTCCTAGAATATTCCATTATACTCTATAAATGTTATTCAGGAATGATCATAGAATGTAATGTATTGTTCAAATATTCTAGGTATGTTCATAGAATATAGTATTTTCACGCCGGCGGAAGTAGAAGTTAGTTTATTTGGTAACAAAAAAGAGGGGCAGAACTCTCCTATTATTCCCTAGGGAGATAATGTGACATATTTTCTCCCTAGGGAGTTTTTACCAGCTTCACATTTTCCGCATAGCTCTGCCTTTTTTTTGGAACACCCTTCTCTGAAGCGAGTATAGGCTAGCTGCATCATATAGATTTCTAGATCTCACTGGTAGCAAGTTAAGAATGACTGCACAAGCAGTACCAATAGTTTCTTGGGGTTTTCCCTCGATTTATTGTTCCATAACCATTAGGTAATCATTTTCAAAAGAGTTTTCATAAATTTCAGTTTGATATTTGCTGTCACCATGGGTTCTCAACAAGATGAATGTTGTCAAGAGACGAATACCACAAACTATACTACTATACTAATTATGACAAAACACTTTGACCAAATTTTTATTATTTCAAAATTTTCGTGTTTTCGCCAGCGTAAAAAATAGTATATACACCTCAGGACAGAATGCTATTTTTCCCTCGGTGCTTTGTATCTCTCGGGCTTTGCCCTAGCTTGATCTACAAATCGCACCTTGGAAAAAATCTTGCATTTCTGTCCCTTGATGTATAATGTACTATTAGATACTTCCGTTTTTGAGCTACAAGGAGTAACATTTTTCATAAAAAAATGATTTTTCCTTGATTATGCAAAATACTTTATCTACTCACTGCATCGAAAGTAAGCGTTTGCTCCCTCATCAAGAACACAAACCTGTCAATTTACTCCCATGGCAAGAAATAAATATTACCTTCAGTGGGAGGTAAAATAAATTAGCCTCAGCTTGATTTCTTGATAGAGATATACGAATAAGATTTGTACTACCCAATTGTTTAATTAGTGTCTGGTGACTGGTGGGCGTTAACCTCTAAGGGTGGCAGCTGCCCCACCATGCCTCCTGATAACGAAATGACATGTGTCCCTCCGCGAAAGGACATTTTTTTTGCATTTTATTTGCATTTCGTTTCAACTCTTCATCAGATGACGAAAGTATATCAAGAATGACGAGAGCAAAATATTCGAATGTGCCGAGAATTTGACTGAACTTGAGGGGTGGCACAGATTTTGAGATTGAGATCTACCATTTAATTGGTATGGGATGGCGTGAAAGCATAATTCTTATCTCGTTATGAAATCGCGGAATTCAGCCCAAATTACCACACAGAACACAGAAAAGTGTAATTTTTCAATCGATCTGCTCTGTTTTTTGCAATGTTGATCAAAGAGATAGAAAGCAGTGACTACCGGTGCGACCTAACGGTGGTTATTCGATGGTCTTTGTTGTTCAAAATCGGTCTTATCGACCATATTTTCAGTAAACCGAACTTAGTTAATCATAGGTTATCCTAAAACTAAAAACATTTTCTTGCTGTAACTAACAAAACACGCATTTATAGATAGCCAAACTAAAATGAAGTAGAAAATAAAAGGATATTATCTACTTGGTGCACACTACCGTCACTCATCTGGCTGTAACTATTTTCATATCATGAGAATATACTTCCGTGTTTCTCGATGGAAGATCTGATGATCCGAATCAGGATACTAAAATAAAACTATTATATTATGCTTTTGTCATCGGTCCTTAATAAGTGTGCGAAGTTTCAATTTCAAAATCACCCGTCTCCCTGGATATAACTATTCATACGAATACTTGGTGCAAGACACTGCCGTTTCTCTGAATGTAAAAAGTTATTCGAAGGAATGGAAACGAATATTTGAAATTTTGGTGAAGGAACTTGGGAATTTTGGTGGCGGAACATTCAAAATTCACATACCAAGCTAATATAAGCGTTTTTATACAAATAGCTCAATTTATTGTTGCTATTTGGATTTGAGTATAATAACTAGAAACTTATCAGTGCTGTGATGAAACATTACTGTTTTTACTGCTGCATACATGGAATATTTTTTTATGTTGGTATAGTCTTTCCAAAGTCAATTGAACTTATAGACCAGCAGTAAAATAAATTGTATAAAAAGTCAATATCCACAATTTTTTTTTCGGCAGTTTCAAGAAATGATGGTTGTACATCCATTATTACATCAACGTTGCCATGCATTTCTGGATATTTCATTGGTAAAATTGTCACGCGTTACTCCCGATTCCTACGGCACTGGAATAATCGCTATTTTTCGAAGCGGAACTGGGTTATAGTTGAACGTGTGTGTGCCGCTCGATTTTCCAAGGGTGCGGCCTAGGGAAAGGGAAACTTCATTTTTGAAGTATTGATGAGAACAGCGATATTGATAGCGTTCGCATGGTTTGGAACGGATTGGAAAGTATGTAGTACTAATCGTACGTATACTACTAGAGTACTTTATGCAGATAGTCACTCGCTGGAAATTACTCCAAAGGGAGGGTCAAGAGTAATGGCCGCGTCTTGATGAGTTATGATGTATGTTGTATCTGTGATAGTTGTTAGTATAGGTAGATTGACAAAAAAGAGCAATCAGAGCAAACATCAATCTGTGTTTTTTTTCAATGTTCCGGAGTACGTGCTTTGCATATTATACGTGTTATATGTATACGCGGTCAAAAATCCAATTAAATAACACCGTCGTTGAGATAAACAGGAAGAAATAAAAAAATGTGATAAGTTGATAAGTATTCAAATATAATTTGGTATTCATTATTATATGGTTTCTGGTCTTACTGCTCATTGAAGTCTCTCAATAAAATTTCGCTGACAGCATCGAACAAAATGACAAAACAACGATTCTAAGAACATAAACTGTAAGAAAATCTGTAATTAGGCGGTATTATTGAAGTTCTTGGACTATCTACAAATAATTCAATTTAACAGTACGAGGATTATTAAAACCTAATTGATTTGCATGGGTTATTTGTATGGCATCTATTAATAGTTTAAATCATTGTATTCAAACATAAACCTTTTACACTGCTGATATCAATCAAACAGCAATGAGTCGAATTGATATTGTTGAAATTATTTATAGGTATACTCAGGGCTAGATTGGATTGATATATTTATATACGTATACACTTGAAAAGGAATATTCCCGGATGATATCATGAACATAAATAAAATGGATATACATATACATAGAAAGATTCTACGAACAAAAATAGTAAGAAAGTGCATATATACCCAGATAGCACAATGTAATTCATAGAACGATCATTCTTCGAGAATATTTTAATATTCTCAGAATATTCTCATATGATACAAACATTCTAGGGATGTATTATGAACATTCAGAATGGACCGTTTTAAATATTGTGAGAAAATTCCTAGTAGGTATATTGAAAAAGTAAGAAAATTAAAAAAAAGCTTCCTCCGGTGGAGATGAGAACCTACTCACTGAATTTTTACGAACCTGAAACCTTAACCACTTCTCCACAAACTTTATTGATAAAATGAATAGCAAGATGACAATAACACTGAATTAGTGGGATAATCAGCATTGAGGCTAAAGAATAATAGGTGATGCCAGGGTAAACATTATAAATATTGATACAAGAATAGGAACATCAATATCATTTATTTTGATACGATTCTGAATATTCTCAGAATATTCAAAAAGAATATTCTCAGGACATTCTGAGGATATCACAAATTGAATGTTCACAGGATATTCTAATATAAGTATATTTGATTGGGTATACATGAGTTCAGAAATGGCTCCCTGGAGAGTCATAGCCATCCGAAAAAGGGCCGGAGATGACTTTTTTTGAAAATAATTCTGATACCCTCTGTGTTGAGATGAAGAAAGTTATAACACTATTATTATAATAGTTCAATAAGAACTGTTTCGTTCAAATATTATGAATCTTTTGTATAAACCGAGGTATAAAACCACACATATTGAATAAGGAATTGAACTTGAAATTCAGTTTTCTATATTATATTCAACATCAAAAAATAAATTGCAATACTTTTCAATTAAAGCACTGTTATTAAAATTGTTCAATAACAATATAAATATATTTATACTATTTCTGGTTAAAATTATGACTTCAGTCCTTTAGATTTTCTTTTTATCCTTGCATATGGACCAACATCTGGATCCATAATAAAATCATACAAAACTGCTGTCCAACTATCATGCTGTGGCAAATCATCATAAAACTCTGGAGCAATTCTCTTCACCTGAAAAAACATAAATTCATACATTGATTTGATTTTCCCCAACACTCTCCTAGATGAAGAAAACATACCTCTGGGAGTCTAGAACCTGGAACTGCTGGAAAATCATGGTGTTCATTGTGGTAACCAACATTGAATGTGATCCAATTCAAAGGGCCATAGTAACTATATGTTTCATATCCCTTTTTGAACATGTAATGCTCACTCACAAAATGGCCTGCTACCGGATGAAGACCCATTGCCATCACAGAGCCATATATCAAATAACCCAAAATCCTAGCACCTATAAAACATAATATTAATCCTAACAGTGGAGATTTCCATAATATATTATTCTACCAAATAGATAAACAACAATTGCATCAAACACTATTTGTATGAGAGTATTGACTAGTTCCAAATTTGTTGGTGGCTTGGGATAGGTTATCAGAGGCCTGAAGGCATAGAAAAATGGTTGCAGCATAACCCAAACAAATTTTCCAAATGTTGTGCAGAAGAGTTTAGCTTCAATGTAGGTAGGTATATCTGTATCTTTTTGTTCATCACCTTGATACTAAAAAGAAAAGTTATAGGTAGATCAGTATGTTATTTTTGTATGGAAAAGCTCACCCTGTGGTGTTCAAGATGATATTTCTTGAAACTTATGGAAATTGGTATGCCTATAGGGAGATTAGCAAAGAATCCAAAAAGTTTGTTGTGCATTGGTCTAGAATGACCAAAAGCCAAATTGTGTGAGATTTCATGAATAGCTGCAAGATAAAAAAATATTATGGCCAAAAAAATTCCTCATTTGTCTTATCAGGTTCTTCCATAGGTATGTTACAAGGGGTAAATCACATGTGTACCTGAGGAGATGGGAATTCCTCCAGAAGTCCGGGTATTTTTGGGAGGTCCGGAAATTATTTAAGAAGTCTGGGAATTCTTTGGGAAGATTTGGAATTCTTTGGGAAGACTGGGAATTCCTTAGGAAGTCTGGGAATTCTTTGGGAAGTCTGGGAATTTCTTGGGAAGTCCGGGAATTCCTTGAGAAGTCCGGGAATTCCTTGAGAAGTCCGGGAATTCTTTGGGTAGTCCCAGAAATTCCGGGAATTCTTTTGACAAAGGAAGTCTAGTGTACTCAAAATTGGTCCGTGATTTACCCCTTGATATTTTACCTATCTTATCAGATGAGCTGAAATCTCATACAGATAAGAATTGATAATAATTTGATTGATAATTTACATGACAAAAAGGTATGTGACACAAAATATATCATTGCAATAATGCCAGTAGATTAAGATTTTTGCGAGGATTTTTGCATTTGTATCTTACCTAACATTAAAGAATGATTTATAACTCCTCCAAAACAATAAGCCATTAGAATTAGTACTAGCCATGATTTGTCCTTCAACAGATACATCATAAGGAACTGGAGAAGAACCATACCCGTAACAACCCATTTGAAGTTGGGATCGTATCCAAAAAGTTTCTTTATTTGGGGGTATTTTTCTGAAAATCACAATAAGAATTCATTTCACCTATGAGTGATGGAAAATGCAACAAAACGTAGGGGATGTAATACGAGAACAGTTCCTAATAATTGTTGGACGTGCCCAATTATTTGTGAAGTACTTATCCCCAATTTGTCGAATCAAAATATTCCATCAAGTATCTAACCTAGAATTATCTTCCTACGACTTGCGTGAGGTTCTTCGGTATACGACCATTCAAAATCCGTTCTAGACACGTGCTGCCCCATTTGGTTTTTAACTGTTGCTACTTTTTCTAAAAAAATACGTCCTAAATAGTATTTTTTTGGTCCACCTTCCACCGGTCACATATTTTTATACAAAAACTTCCTCCATCTTTCAATTGACATTTGACAATGACCGAATGACGACAATTCGACAGTTGACATTTGCCATCCGCAACCGCAAGAAGGAGGAAAAATTCTAGTACACCTCAGGGCAGGACTGAAGAAGGGTGTTGGCTCCATTCTGACATATTTAATGTACAGTCGTATTCAATAAAAAAGCGTACAAGTCTTGAAAAGAGTGATTTTCGTTATCCTAGTTCTAGTTATGTAAAACTGTGCTCAGCCAATGCTTCGTGTTTTTGAGAACTTTTCAACAACTTTACTGTCAACATTTGGTATACAATCATTCCCAGTACCCCTTTCTACGCTGTTAGGATGACATTAATTTCTCACTGTAATAACGCTGTAATATACATGTACGCTTTTTTTGAATACGACTGTAGCAGTACTGAGCTAGGTTGGTAGAACTGATGATTATTTCAGTTATCAGTTAATAGAACCGAATGAAGCCAACACCCATTTTTCTGTCCTAGGTCGAGTCACGTCAATTTAGAACCAGAACTTGATAGTACTGTCTATCTTTGCATACTGAATGCGAGTAAGAGAGATGGCTGTACGTACTCCGTGACAATGACAGGCATGCCAGTTGTGACACTTTGGCTTTGTTGACATTGACACTAGTTGATATTTCAATTTATAGGTTTTGTTTATTGTTATTTACCCTTCTTTATTGTTATTAATTAATTAATCATTCAGCGAATCATGTTTAACGTGAGAAATACGAGTTTTTGTTATGTGATTTTAATATAGCATGTTATACAACATGCCACCATTCCGTCGAAAAAAGTCCGGTAAAAGTTTTCCAGTGAAAGTCTGCACATTGGATGCAGAATTAGAATTCAATTTGGAGGTAGAAATGTTTCGATAATTCAGATGCATGATGACTCAACAATGCAAATTCTATTTTCAGTGGCGAGCAACGGGAAGAGACCTTTTTGAATTAGTATGCAGAACAATTGGTCTCAGAGAGACTTGGTACTTTGGTTTGCAATATGAGGACTCCAAAGGCTTCATATCATGGCTCAAATTGGATAAGAAAGGTGCACAATGCATCCAGTCACATAGCATTCACTAATTTGATAATTTCCATTGTAGTTCAAGATCAAGGTATCCAAAAAAATCACCAAACAGCTTCTTTCATGTTCCTAGGCAAATTTTACCCTGAAGAAGTGGCAGAGGAATTAGTACAAGAAGTCACACAGCATTTGTTCTTTTTACAAGTAAAACAGGCCATATTATCCATGGATGTGTATTGTCCACCAGAAGCCTCAGTATTACTAGCTAGCTATGCTGTTCAAGCTAAGGTAGGCAACTAATTCTTTCAAGAATTCATTACCAACTACTAAATAATGATGAATCATTTTTGAAATATGTTATTATTTTGGGGTAGTACTTGAAATTTTATATTGATAGTTTTCATTAATTAGCAAGTTTGAGAATGATAAAAACAAGAAATGTTTGATTTCATGGGGTTGTGCTTTCTGAATTCTTATTATATAGTTATTCATTTAAATCTCTTCAAACCAAAGAAAATATGTCAGAAAAGTCTTTGAAATTGATTGGGGTATTTCTAAGAAATTGAAAACTGGGATTTTATGTGATTATAGTTTTGCCAACTTATTCAAAATGAATAAAAAATCTTTATCTCATTTAGTTTGGAGATTTTGATGAAGACACCTACAAGCCAGGGATGCTGGCAAGTGAAGATCTACTGCCCCAAAGGGTGATAGACCAATATCAAATGACTTTAGAGATGTGGGAGGAACGTATCAGAGTGTGGTATGCAGATCACAGGGGGATGTCACGTGATGAAGGTATATTTCATGATCAAAATGCAGACAACAATTCATTTCACACAATATAAATTTATCCTTTTTAATGAAGCTGAAATGGAGTACCTCAAGATAGCACAAGATCTTGACATGTATGGAGTCAACTATTTCCCAATACTGAATAAAAAAGAGACTGAACTGTGGTTGGGTGTCACTGCTTTGGGACTGAACATCTATGAGAAGGAGAATAAATTGCAGCCAAAAACAACATTCACTTGGTCAGAGATCAGGCACATCAGTTTTGATGACAAGAAGTTTATTATCAAGCCAGTGGACAAGAATGCTCCCAACTTTGTGTTTTTTAGCCAAAAAGTTCGTATGAACAAATTGGTAAGTCAATTATCTTCAGTTTTTTGCTTTATGGGCAAATGTTTTGTGAAAACTCACCTTTTTATGTCCCAAACATACTATGATTTTTTTGTTTGAAATATTCTTTTTTTCACCTTATTTTGAATTAATATAAAAAAGTACCCCAATTTTCAATCTAAAATCCTCGCATCAAAGTATCTGCTATTAAGTGAAAGTCAATGGTTTTTCATTGAAGTCTACTTTCTGATGGTGTAAAAAATATATACATTACAATGGTATCTGTTCTTAATGAATTCCTTTGGCAAAAACTGGTGGAGTGTTTTTCCACTGAGTGTTTATTCACCCCTGCTCAACACATGCAAATAAGGAAATATATAGATTATACATTGAGTGCAGGAACACTCCACCAGTTCCTGCCATTGGACTATGCTATTAGTCTCTGAAAAACTGATCATTTTGTTGGTTATTTATACCGGTCTAGATTTGGTATAAATCGCACGATTTCAAGGTCATCATCTGACCTTGTGATGACGTTAAAACTGGGGGAAAACATGTCTAACTTTCAATATATTCCTGCAGGAGTTAGGAAGGTTTTTCCCCCCAGTTTTAACGACATCCCAATGTCAGATAATGACCTTGAAAACTAGGAATATAGTTTTCTAGAAACGTCTCTATACATTACTTTTGGTTAAATTTTTAGGGTTGATATGATTCATTATCCTATATGGTAGGCGTATCTGCTCTACTTTTGACCTAATTTGGCTTGCAGAGGCGAAATCTTTCAACAGAAATCATCCTGAATGATCCTTTTTCTGGAAAGTATATTTTTCGAAGAAATCCATGTGAAAAAAAAACGAAAAAAAAAATAATGACACCTCACAGGGATTTGAACACCAGCCACCGCCGTGTAAGACAGATACACTGACCACTGTGTCATCACAGATCACAGATTCACAGACAGTGTTTTGTTTCTCCTAAAACGCTTGAGCACAGATTCCGCAATACTGGCATATTAGTTCCCAGTTGTCCGCAAGATGGCGACACTTTCTACAGATTTGAAAACTGCGCTCACACACCGCTTGCGCCAGAAACAATAATACCATAACATTCACAACATAACCTCAAATCAAATGAGATTGGATTGGAAAGTAGGCAACTGTAATTTTTGGAAATTTTAATTATCGTCAGTTCTACCAACCTTGCATTTGGGTTGAGATTTTGCCATCTAACGGGTAAAATGCGACATATATTCCGCGATATTGAACAGAATCCTTCTGTCAAGTAGACCGTAGGTCAAGAACTTTGACTGAAAAACAGTAGATGGGATTTGATAAGCGTTTCTACACCATCTTCTGTTCATTCTGCCATTGAACTATCAAGCTACTCCGAGGTTCTAACCATGAAGAAGAAATATCACAAGCAGTACAGCAGCATGCTACTCATTGAATTACTGGCGAGAGACATTCATCGTTTTCGTATCCATCCCCTCCCCACAGATCCTCGACCTGTGCATCGGCAACCACGACCTGTTCATGCGCCGGCGCAAACCCGATTCGATGGAGCTGCAGCAGATGAAGGCGGCCGCCAAGGAGGAGAAGCAGCGCAGGCAGGTGCAGCGCAACCGATTGGCCAGAGAGAAGCGGCTGAGAGAGGAGGCGGAGAGGGAGAGAGCCAGCATGGAGCAGCGGCTGTTGCAGTACCAGGAGGAGATACGGCTGGCCAACGAGGCGTTGGTGAGTATTTCGATTTTGGAAATTGTTTTTGTTCCATTCGAGAAGGGCTATTTTATTGCAAAGGAAAGTGAAGACACTGAAACCAAAAGTAAAAAGGAGAATGACAATCTTGATGAGGTACTAAAAAACATTTTGAAGGTTAAAACAACCAGAGGTAGTAAGTAGACACTCAGTGGAGAAACACTCCTCCAGTTCCTGTCAATGGATTTTGCTATTAGTTATGAGATCTAGTTCAATCAATGAGACTGGTGGCTCAGTCAACTCAAGTGTCAGGTGGTGCCATCTGTCAGCAAAGTGGTGTGATTGTACTACCACTTTGTAGACGTAGGGGTCTGCACGTGTTGACTATAGGTGGCGCTAATATGACTAGCTCTTCTCGTATCATCCGGCGTCTTCGAAATGGGTGATGCGTACCAGTTGCCGAGTTGCCAGTCGACTGAGAGCGGCTGATGAGGCCTGGTGGGCCGAAACAGTACTGTCTCGCTCTTGCTGACAATTGCAGCAGCTCTGTTTGTCCTTGATCTCATTTTGAGATCTAGTTCTATAAGGTCTTCAAGTTGTTAATGTTCCTCTTGTTTCTCTTACTAACACAATTCGCGATAGAAAATAAGCGTACGCCACCTATCGGAGTTCTCGAAAGCTGTCAAAGCGGCATGTTTACTTTGTTTTCATTGGTTCACATTTGTTTTTTGTTTGCGCTTATTGGACATATCATCAAAATAAACCGCTCAGAAGTGTTCAGGTTGCTGCCGTCAGCTGGGGCGACGTGTTATTTTCTATTGCGAATGGAATGAATAAAATCTTTGTTGCTAGGTAACACTTTTAGTGTTTAGGCTCTAGGAGCTTGAGTTGAAGTTTATCTTCTTGGAATTAAAAGGCAGCTGAAAGCAGAGTGAAATAATGTTGGTTACTTCTCTTATATTTATTTCATTGATTAATTTCGAAAGTTCAAAAAAATGTCAACACCCACCTCCTCTCCCTTTATTCATCCTAGGGACGTACGATGTTCTTAGAAAATTATAGGAATTTCATTTCGTGCGCTCCAAGAGTTAAAAAAAGTGATTGCCGACAAAATAGCATGTTTTTCCGGATCAAAGGTGCCTTTTGACCTGTATTTAACAATGTACTATGTTTTATTTAAAGTGTCTAAGAACTCTCTCAGTTGGCATGCCTCCCTAAAGGATTAATGTCAACCGAGCTGATGAGGCAATTTTAATCTTTTTGTATAATTTCTCTTTTTTTTTGTTCAATTTCTGAAGAAAAAGTATATAATAAAACAACTCCTCGCTTCATTATAGTATAGAAATATACAAACCTTCTCAAGAAAACCTAAAATATCTCTAAGTCTTTTCAAAAACCAAATTTCTTGTCGAATTTGAAGATTCTGTTTGTTCTGCAGCGACGATCAGAAGAGAGCGCAGATCTTCTTGCGGAGAAAAGCCGAGTGGCAGAAGAGGAAGCGAGACTTCTGAGCCAGAAAGCAGCCGAAGCTGAGCAAGAGATTGCAAGGATGAGGCTGACAGCAATGAGAAAAGACGAAGAAAAGGTAACAAAACTATGGTTTCGTGACGTTGATATATTTTTAAATGAAAAATTGTTTATTTCGTCAGAGTTTCAAAACTTAATTTCAGAAATATTTATTATTTTTAATAACGTTTTTGACAATGTTCTCAGGTGTCGTTGGAGCGGAAAACTCGTGAAGCGGAAATGTTGACTGCCCGTTTGGTGGAGGAGAGCGAAAAAAGGGCGGCGGAGGCAAACAAGTTGAAGGACGAATTGCTGAAGGCGAGGGCGGCCGAGAAACAGGCCAAAGAGAAGCTGCTCGACTTTTTGAGTCGCACCACCTCATATAACGGATCCAACGCCGCATCACCCCTATCGGTAAATTTACACATCTTTTCTCGTTAGAATTTTCTCACCAACTTTCTACACTCCGGCAAAAAAATACGACTGAACAAAATTTACTCCAGTTGATCGCCCTGTAACTTTTATTTCTTGTTCGATTTTCGCGAAATTTCGGCCAGATCGTAAATTTAGCGTTTGGAATGTTAGCCTGAATTTTAGGTCTTACAGGGACAAACAGAAGTTACTCTTTCGCCCTTAATTTTTTAACGCCCTGTAACGAAAGTGAGTGGTCAAACTCAGCTTCATTTTGTTTTGGATTGAAGTGTGATCCTATTTCGTCCCTTCTTAACACAATAGTTCTTGATACCCGTCAATTTCTGCTTTCTAGGAGAAGATAGATGCAAGTGTTTTAAGAAAGTATGGATTTTTTTTTTTTTAATAATGTAGAACCTACATAAACTTATCCTATCAACAACTTGAAAAAACATCCGAAAATTAAAATCACTTATTCCCGCCCAATTTTCTTAGCATTCACCAGCGAAGAAAAACTTAAAAAAAAAACAGAACTCAAAACGAGTATGCCATAGTCTCTTAAAACAGTTGTATATTCTCTTAAGAAGAAGATATCAACGAGAATCCAAAACTATTGAGTCGAAAAGGGATCATACTTCAATCCAAAACGATGAAGTTGAGTTTAACCATTTGCCTTTGCTACAGGCTGGTTGAAATTCATAATCATGAAACAAGACAATATAACTTGTTTCATCTTGACGCCGCTAGCTCCCTAATCGGAAATCGGACAAAAAAGATTCACTCATTCAGCCTTAACTGAATTCAATAAACTACCTGACAATATAAAAAATTGCAGAAATATAGGTTCATTCTAAAATGAAGTGAAAAAATTAATTATTTCTGAGCGAACTGGATAAAATTGAACATGCCATTTTTTTTACAAATATTATTCTTTGTTTGTCAATTAACAGTTGTTGATATATTTTGTATAATGATATGTTTACCTATAGGTATATAATTATGTACTTCCTTATACCAGAGCCTATTCTGTCTGGAAGTTATTTGTTCAATGAATAAAATAAATAAATAAATATTCGTGAAAAAAAAAAAGTAATTTTGTTTTTCCCTGTATAGTGATCAAGTCATCAGCTTTTTTTGGTAACTAATATTCAGGCTAATACTCCAACAACATGAGGTCGAGATTAAAACCAAGATCGAAGAGGAATTGAAAAAATTACAGGGCGATCAATTTGACTAAATTTTTGTCTGGTCGGTTTTTTTCCGGTGTATTCGTTTCTCTGGAGATATTCTTATGTTGAATTATTTTTGTATTTTCCAGTCCGTTACGACCCTGTATCAGCCACCCCTTAGTCCGGTGTACGTGCCCGATATGTCGATAATGGATCACGAAGTGTCCAATTCGCCGGATCTGAATCTCAACATCACCTCCTACGATTTGTTGGCCAATGCGGACGCAGACCAGCTCTCTTTAGAAATAGAAAAAGAAAGGTGAGAAATTGTTTCGAATTTGTGAATTATTGTTCATCACTTTCATCAGGTATTCACTGTAATTCATTTGATTGTAATCAACCAGGTTCGCCCAATTCCAACATAGTAACTCTGATTCACCTAATTCATTATTCTTCTCCATTTCTTCACTATTGACTTACGGCCAGACAAGATTATTTGTCATCTGGGCTGATGAAAACATTTTAATCTTTAAAGGCTATTCGTTTATTTCTCTTTTCAGAATGGAATATTTGGAAAAGTCGAAGCATCTTCAGAATCAGCTGAGGGATCTGAGGACGGAGATTGCCGTACTGAAAGTGGGGGAGAAACAAACTGACTATGATCAACTGCACGAAGAACAAGTCAAGTTGGGTGAAAATAAGTACTCTACATTGAAAAAAAGCAAGTCGGGCTCGACGAAGAGCAGAGTTGCATTTTTTGAGGAATTATAGTATAGGAGTTATATTTATATATAGGGTGAACGTATTTAATGAATCGAATTTTGCAAATACATCAATATAAATTAAAATCTGATTGAAGTCGTATGACGCGTTTCATAGACATTAAGTTTTTTCCCATTTTATTTTTTCAATTTTCTTGAAACAAAACTTTAAACTACCGTTTAAATCTTGTAAAATGTAGTGAATCCTACTTATTAGGCATATTTCATGTACTATATAGTGAAGAGAACCAATAGAGTATACCAGAATTACTGCTCATTAAAACGTGCAACCTTGTATTAATTTTATTTATATGACAATAAGTTGTTAGAAGACAAATAAATTGAATATTTTTTAAGATGTCTATTTTTTCACCTCAATCCGTTGGCCTGTCGGCAGAGGGAATCAGTACAAATTGACCTGCTGCCTGAGAATGTTAATTTATAAAGATTAAAATGTCCTCAACAGTCCTGAACGGAGCATGACAACTAAGCTAATTAGATCATTTTAATCCATAGAGATTAAAATGTCCTCATGGGCCTAGTTAACCTGCTACCAAGACGACCATGTCATCTGGGCTAATGAGACTATTTTAATCCATACAGATTAAAATGTCCTCATGGGCCTAGTTGACCTGCTACCAAGACGACCATGTCAACTGGGCTAATGTGACTATTTTAATCCATACAGATTAAAATGTCCTCATGGGCCTAGTTGACCTGCTACCAAGACGACCATGTCAACTGGGCTAATGTGACTATTTTAATCCATACAGATTAAAATGTCCTCATGGGCCTAGTTGACCTGCTACCAAGACGACCATGTCAACTGGGCTAATGTGACTATTTTAATCCATACAGATTAAACTGTCCTCATGGGCCCAATTGACCTGTTCCTGAAGGGAGCATGTCAACTGGGCTGATGAGAGTATTATAATCCAAAAGCCCTCTACTGAAATGAGCCCGTCAGCTGGATAGGTGAGGCTATTTTAAGTGTTGAAAAGCAATATTCATACCAAATCAGGGGGTTCAAACTTGAACGATGGAAACTTGTGATTTTTATAGACCTCTAATCGCAGATTCGTGATAGAGTCTCAATTCAGAATTTCTTTCCACGCCCTGTATGATGAATGTCAATTTATCATACACCCAAAAGCGAGGCTATTTCAATTCATAGAGATTCAAATGTTCTCCTTAGCCCAGTTGACCTGCTGCTCAAGAAGCATGTCAACTAGGCTAGCTAATGAGATTATTTTAATCTATGAAGATTATTGAGTCCTCATGACCCCAGTTGACACTCTGTCAGACTGATTATTATAGGTAAGCTCCAAATTCTCGACCTCCGAAGTGTGTAGGAGGTATATCATTTCATGAATTGGAACCGAAATTTGCATTCATCACGAAAATTCTGATTATTAAACCAAAAATCCAAATGTATTAGGTATCAGGAGAGCAGAAGTGTGCAGCAGTATTTGATTTCATCTACTAGACCCGAAATTTGCCACGAAAATTCTATCTAAATTTAGGTATCAAGAGTGCAGATTAAGTGTGTAGGAGGTATTTGATTTCAATAATTAGAACCGAAATTTGTCATTACTAAAGAAAATTCCGATTTTTAACGTGATTTCATCACGATGAAATCTGATTCTCAAGACGAAAATTTGATCGTGATTATCAGGAGCGCAGAAGTCTGTAGGAGGTGTTCGATTTCATTAATTAGAACAATTTGCTTTCGGTCACGGAAATCCCGATTTTAAAGGCGAAATTTAAATGTGGGTATCAGGAGCGCAGATGTCTGTAGGAGGTGTTTGATTTCATTATTTAGAATAATTTGCTTCGGTCACGAGAATACCGATTTTTGAGGCGAAATTTAAATGTGGGTATCAGGAGCGCAGAAGGTGGCAGAAGTGTGTAAGAGGTTATTGATTTCATCTACTAGAACCAAAAATCGCATTCATTCATGAAAATTCCGATTTCTAAGGCAAAAATCTGAATGTAGGTATCAGGAGCGCAGAAGTGTGTAGGAGGTGTTTGATTTCATTAAATAGTATCAAAATTTGCTCTCGATCACGAAAATTCGGATTTTCAAGGCAAAATCTGAATGTAGGTATCAGGAGCGCAGAAGTGTGTAGGAGGTGTTCGATTTCATTAATTAGAACCGAAATTTGCTTTCGATCTCGAAAATTCCGATTTTCAAAGCAAAAATCTGAATGTAGGTATCAGGAGCGCAGAAGTGTGTAGGAGGTGTTCGATTTCATTAATTAGATCCGAAATTTGCTTTCGATCTCGAAAATTCCGATTTTCAAAGCAAAAATCTGAATGTAGGTATCAGGAGCGCAGAAGTGTGTAGGAGGTGTTCGATTTCATTAATTCGATCCGAAATTTGCTTTCGATCTCGAAAATTCCGATTTTCAAAGCAAAAATCTGAATGTAGGTATCAGGAGCGCAGAAGTGTGTAGGAGGTGTTCGATTTCATTAATTAGATCCGAAATTTGCTTTCGATCTCGAAAATTCCGATTTTCAAAGCAAAAATCTGAATGTAGGTATCAGGAGCGCAGAAGTGTGTAGGAGGTGTTCGATTTCATTAATTCGATCCGAAATTTGCTTTCGATCTCGAAAATTCCGATTTTCAAAGCAAAAATCTGAATGTAGGTATCAGGAGCGCAGAAGTGTGTAGGAGGTGTTCGATTTCATTAATTAGAACCGAAATTTGCTTTCGATCTCGAAAATTCCGATTTTCAAAGCAAAAATCTGAATGTAGGTATCAGGAGCGCAGAAGTGTGTAGGAGGTGTTCGATTTTATTAATTCGATCCGAAATTTGCCTTCGATCTCGAAAATTCCGATTTTCAAAGCAAAAATCTGAATGTAGGTATCAGGAGCGCAGAAGTGTGTAGGAGGTGTTCGATTTCATTAATTAGAACCGAAATTTGCTTTCGATCTCGAAAATTCCGATTTTCAAAGCAAAAATCTGAATGTAGGTATCAGGAGCGCAGAAGTGTGTAGGAGGTGTTCGATTTCATTAATTAGATCCGAAATTTGCTTTCGATCTCGAAAATTCCGATTTTCAAAGCAAAAATCTGAATGTAGGTATCAGGAGCGCAGAAGTGTGTAGGAGGTGTTCGATTTCATTAATTAGAACCGAAATTTGCTTTCGATCTCGAAAATTCCGATTTTCAAAGCAAAAATCTGAATGTAGGTATCAGGAGCGCAGAAGTGTGTAGGAGGTGTTCGATTTCATTAATTAGATCCGAAATTTGCTTTCGATCTCGAAAATTCCGATTTTCAAAGCAAAAATCTGAATGTAGGTATCAGGAGCGCAGAAGTGTGTAGGAGGTGTTCGATTTCATTAATTAGATCCGAAATTTGCTTTCGATCTCGAAAATTCCGATTTTCAAAGCAAAAATCTGAATGTAGGTATCAGGAGCGCAGAAGTGTGTAGGAGGTGTTCGATTTCATTAATTAGAACCGAAATTTGCTTTCGATCTCGAAAATTCCGATTTTCAAAGCAATAATCTGAATGTAGGTATCAGGAGCGCAGAAGTGTGTAGGAGGTGTTCGATTTCATTAATTAGATCCGAAATTTGCTTTCGATCTCGAAAATTCCGATTTTCAAAGCAAAAATCTGAATGTAGGTATCAGGAGCGCAGAAGTGTGTAGGAGGTGTTCGATTTCATTAATTAGATCCGAAATTTGCTTTCGATCTCGAAAATTCCGATTTTCAAAGCAAAAATCTGAATGTAGGTATCAGGAGCGCAGAAGTGTGTAGGAGGTGTTCGATTTCATTAATTAGAACCGAAATTTGCTTTCGATCTCGAAAATTCCGATTTTCAAAGCAATAATCTGAATGTAGGTATCAGGAGCGCAGAAGTGTGTAGGAGGTGTTCGATTTCATTAATTAGATCCGAAATTTGCTTTCGATCTCGAAAATTCCGATTTTCAAAGCAAAAATCTGAATGTAGGTATCAGGAGCGCAGAAGTGTGTAGGAGGTGTTCGATTTTATTAATTCGATCCAAAATTTGCCTTCGATCTCGAAAATTCCGATTTTCAAAGCAAAAATCTGAATGTAGGTATCAGGAGCGCAGAAGTGTGTAGGAGGTGTTCGATTTCATTAATTAGAACCGAAATTTGCTTTCGATCTCGAAAATTCCGATTTTCAAAGCAAAAATCTGAATGTAGGTATCAGGAGCGCAGAAGTGTGTAGGAGGTGTTCGATTTCATTAATTAGATCCGAAATTTGCTTTCGATCTCGAAAATTCCGATTTTCAAAGCAAAAATCTGAATGTAGGTATCAGGAGCGCAGAAGTGTGTAGGAGGTGTTCGATTTCATTAATTAGAACCGAAATTTGCTTTCGATCTCGAAAATTCCGATTTTCAAAGCAATAATCTGAATGTAGGTATCAGGAGCGCAGAAGTGTGTAGGAGGTGTTCGATTTCATTAATTAGATCCGAAATTTGCTTTCGATCTCGAAAATTCCGATTTTCAAAGCAAAAATCTGAATGTAGGTATCAGGAGCGCAGAAGTGTATAGGAGGTGTTTGATTTCATAAATTAGTACCGAAATTTGCCTTCGATCACGAAAATTCCGATTTTCAAGGCAAAAATCTGAATGTAGGTATCAGGAGCGCAGAAGTGTATAGGAGGTGTTTGATTTCATAAATTAGTACCGAAATTTGCCTTCGATCACGAAAATTCCGATTTTCAAAGCAAAAATCTGAATGTAGGTATCAGGAGCGCAGAAGTGTGTAGGAGGTGTTCGATTTCATTAATTAGATCCGAAATTTGCTTTCGATCTCGAAAATTCCGATTTTCAAAGCAAAAATCTGAATGTAGGTATCAGGAGCGCAGAAGTGTGTAGGAGGTGTTCGATTTCATTAATTAGAACCGAAATTTGCTTTCGATCTCGAAAATTCCGATTTTCAAAGCAAAAATCTGAATGTAGGTATCAGGAGCGCAGAAGTGTGTAGGAGGTGTTTGATTTCATAAATTAGAACCAACATTTGCTCTCGATCACGAAAATTCGGATTTTTAAGGTAAAAATCTGAATGTAGGTATCAGGAGCGCAGAAGTGTGTAGGAGGTGTTCGATTTTATTAATCAGTATCAAAATTTGCTCTCGATCACGAAAATTCGGATTTTTAAGGCAAAAATCTGAGTAGGTATCAGGAGCGCAGAAGTGTGTAGGAGGTGTTTGATTCCATTAATTAGAACCGAAATTTGCTTTTGATCACGAAAATTTTGATTTTCAAAGCAAAAATCTGAATGTAGGTATCAGGAGCGCAGAAGTGTGTAGGAGGTGTTCGATTTTATTAATTAGAACCGAAATTCGCTTCCGATCACGAAAATTCCGATTTTCAAGGCAAAAATCTGAATGTAGGTATCAGGAGCGCAGAAGTGTATAGGAGGTGTTTGATTTCATAAATTAGTACCGAAATTTGCCTTCGATCACGAAAATTCCGATTTTCAAGGCAAAAATCTGAATGTAGGTATCAGGAGCGCAGAAGTGTATAGGAGGTGTTTGATTTCATAAATTAGTACCGAAATTTGCCTTCGATCACGAAAATTCCGATTTTCAAGGCAAAAATCTGAATGTAGGTATCAGGAGCGCAGAAGTGTATAGGAGGTGTTTGATTTCATAAATTAGTACCGAAATTTGCCTTCGATCACGAAAATTCGGATTTTCAAGGCAAAAATCTGAATGTAGGTATCAGGAGCGCAGAAGTGCATAGGAGGTGTTTGATTTCATGAATTAGTACCGAAATTTGCTTCCTGAGAATCTGATTGTGGGTATCACTATAGTCAGAGATTAGTAATCTCTGCTGTAGTGAAGTGTGTAGGAGGTATTATATTCATTCATTGGGCTGAGACATTTCAGTCGTCCAGGATTTTATGTGAAATAATAAGCAAAAGAAACTGTGTAAACCTTTATTACAAATAATAGGAATGGTCAAGTACCAATTTATATACAAATATAACAACAAAAAATCTGTAGAATCGTAGGGACCCTTCAAGAAATCAATTTTTTTCTGGTGATTCAATCACGGAAAATTCAAAGTTGTTTTCCAAAAGAGACTCTAAATTCAGTTTCAGTGATCATGAGCCGAGTTGACACGGGAGAATGACAGCTGGGCTGACAAGAACATTCCAATCTCCAAGTATTAATCTGACTCCATGAGCCCAATTTACTTAAGCAAGTAGGAGCATGTCAACTGGACCAACGAATACACTTTAATCTTCAACAAGGGAGCGAAATTATCGGTTGTAGATTTAAATCTCCAAGTATTAAACTGACTCCATGAGCCCAATTTATTTAAGCAAGTAGGAGCATGTCAACTGGACCAACGAATACACTTTAATCTTTAACAAGGGAGCGAAATTACCGGTTGTAGCCCTTGAAATTTACCTACAGCTCTTGTAAATATTCTCATTATGAAAAATGTAGGTAGCTAGGGAAAGAAACTGAATTTAAAGAAACTCAAAGAAAACTCGACTTCCAAGTAAAAAATAAAAGGTTTCTTCTATGATTCCCCTACAACCCTACTCCTTACTACCTTTGGCATGCCCCTTTTTGTGCAACCTCTTATGGTACGACTGCGCAAACGAATTCACAATGGATATCACGAAATACAACACCATGGCGATGACGAACTTTTCGAAAACGGCCCCTAAAAAGTTGCCGCCCTCGGCCGTCGCCGCCGCCCCTTCGGCCCTCTTCTTGTGCAACTTGAACTTCTGGCCGTCCAAGAAGGCCTTGAAGGGCACCTGCAACATGTCGCCGACGAAGGGCACCAGCTGCAGCCGTTCGATGGCCGTTTCGATCAGGGTTTCGTTGAAGGCGATGATGACGAACAATTTCTGGATGTGCATCTTGATGATGGCCTTGCCGATCAAGGTGGCGCCGAAGAAGGTCCAGAAGGGCACGAGGAAGTGGCCGCACGTGATGCCGGCTAGATCGAACAGGGGGTTCGGTATCTGGAAAATGAGAACGACATTATGATGAAACTGTCTCTTTTGGAATCCCCGGTCTGCCTATCGTGAAATGGGATTGGAACCAATCAATCCTTCACGTTGATTTTCACACAGAAAAGTAGTAGTTTGAAAACTAAAGAAACACCTTTTTATAAGATAGACAAACTTAAAAGAGGTTAGAAAATAAAATAATAAGTGTTGATAAATATACAACACAGGATTATGGAGATGTTAATATTTTTATGTTCTACCTTTTTTCTAGTTTGGCTATCTATAATAGGGTGTTTCTTCAGTTTTTTAAAGTACTATTTATTTTCTATTTTTTAGTACGGCTAACTACAAAAGCGTGTTTTTTAGTATTGTCATATTTTTTTGTAAGTACCTAATTTTGACGAAACAATCATAAACTCTTACCCCGTAAACACTAGACGCTAATTTTTGATGGAATCAAGTCATGATTACAAAACTCATCCGCCATATTGTATCCGCCATATTAAATTTTGACAAAAGCATCATAATATTCGACCCGAAAACCCTGATATACCAATTTTGAATAGAATCGGATCATATAATTACAAAACTTGGATCCGCTATCTTGAATTTTCCAATTTTGAATAGAACCGGATCATATAATTACAAAACTTGTTCATTATATTGGATCCGACATATTGAATTTTCCAATTTTGAATAGAATCGGATCATAAAATTACAAAACTTGTTTATCATATTGGATCCGCCATCTTGAATTTTCCAATTTTGAATAGAATCGGATCATATAATTACAAAACTTGTTCATCATATTGGATCCGCCATCTTGAATTTTCCAATTTTGAATAGAATCGGATCATATAATTACAAAACTTGTTCATCATATTGGATCCGCCATCTTGAATTTTCCAATTTTGAATAGAATCGGATCATATAATTACAAAACTTGTTCATCATATTGGATCCGCCATCTTGAATTTTCCAATTTTGAATAGAATCGGATCATATAATTACAAAACTTGTTCATCATTTTGAATCCGCCATCTTGAATTTTCCAATTTTGAATAGAATCGGATCATATAATTACAAAACTTGCTCATCATATTGGATCCGCCATCTTGAATTTTCCAATTTTGAATAGAATCGGATCATATAATTACAAAACTTGTTCATCATTTTGGATCCGCCATCTTGAATTTTCCAATTTTGAATAGAATCGGATCATATAATTACAAAACTTGTTCATCATATTGGATCCGCCATCTTGAATTTTCCAATTTTGATGAAAGAATCATAATCTCCGACCTCGAGAGCCCCCAGATAACAATTTGGAATAGAATCAGATCATAATTACGAAACTCGTCCGCCATATTCGATCCGCCATTTTCAATTTTCGAATTTTTAATAGAGAATCCTAACCTCAGATCCCGAAAACTCTCAGATACAAATTTTGAATTGATTAGGATTGAAATTACAAAACTTGTCAGCCATATTGGAACCGCCATCTTGAATTTACCAATTTTGACGATCTAATTTCGAGCCAAATTTCAAATCAATCGGTCCATCCGTATAAAGTAAGTCAAAATCGAATCCAAAGGAGTCAATTACATACATACAATACAGGTGGAGATAACAAAAGGGTGTTGAGAATATTATCAAAAATATAATAAGAGAAATTTTGCTAAGTATATACACCCACTTTTGAAGTGGAGCAACTGGGAAAGAACTATTGGTAAACCTCAGATAAAAAATATGTTTTGAATGGACTCGGCCGTTACTTGATGTAAATCGATGACAAATGTAAAAACTGCACAAGGGATAAGATTTCCACGAAATAATTTTGTGGAAATCTTATCATTTGTGAAGTTTTCACAAAAAATATGCTACTAGATCTGGTAACCGAACCTATTCATGTAAAGTTCCTTGGCATACAAAAAGACACTGACAAATGACAATGGTGGAGAGAAAAAAATTACTTACGCTTGCGCAAGCTAAGATTCCTAGGAATCCCACTTTCTGAACAATCTCCTCCACAAATAGTTTGCCTCTTTCCATCAGAGTCAGAGTGTCTTTGTTCTTCTTTTTCTTCTCGAGCTCCTCCAACTCTTTCAAATCATCGTCTTCGTCATCCGGATCCAATCTTAAATAGAGAAAAATTAGGGAAATTCGTCCACTATCAGGAAACTTTTTTTCATGTCAAAACCAAACATTGCATTTTTTAGTAACTAAAATCCCTCACAGCACATAACAGCCAGAGGGAATATATCAACTGGACTAATGAAAACACTCGATTTTTTTATCTGTAGGATCGCACAAAGGGAAATTCTTCAATTATCATGGAACATCGTGCGTCTCGAGTAAAATGGAGAGGGAAGGTAGGTATTGGATTATTTCTCCAGACAGATAAAATGTCAACTGAGCTGTATGTAAATTTTATAATCTACTAGAACACAAATTATACTGACCCAATTAACCTGGGAGAATGTAAACTGGGCTGACGAAAACATTTCAATCCCCGAGGATTGAAACAACAAAAATATAAAAAACAAAAAAAGGCATATTTTAATATTTTTAAACCTGGACAAAACAGGATTCATTTAATCTTTTTGGCAAAATATGATCTCAACTTATGCATTGGCTGTGAAGCACTCTCGGTCAAATATCAAAAACTCCTTAAAAAAAAATGGGACTCACCCGGACAGTCGAGCCGCTCTGGCCATGAAATAGGGCGGCAATTCTCCCAGGGCCGTACCGGCGCCCCAGCACATCGCCTCCAAGCGAACCTTGGCCATAATACTAAGAATACTTATAGACAATGGGTCCCGTTCGTTGGGGCACACTATGCTGAAAAACAATATATTCAAATCAAAACAGAAATTGAAAATAAAAACTGAATCAAGTGTTATTTTTATCTTCACTAGTAAATGTTGTAACATATAGTGAGAAAAACTTACTCTTCAGGATACGGGGGTTCAGGAAAGTTGAGACTTTCACATTCATATGCTGCTAGAGTAACTTGGGCTATATGAGGTCCTAAATACAGTAAAAATGTATGCAGACCTGTTCCTAAACCTACTGACGACAATATACCTGAAAAAACAAACATTGCTAGACTGAAAGATATACATTCGAAAGAGTGCCTTTTTTCACCCCAACTCAAGTATGAAAAAAAAAATTTTGTTTTGGCATTGACTATTCAGTGTGTCCAAGATAAGGATGTATATCATTCGGTAAAGTTGATGGTATCTCCCAAACGATAAGTCGTACGAAAAATCTCTCAAAGCTGTTTTGTAGAGCTCAAAAAGTGTCTTGTGTTGTTCTATATCTCTTTAAATAACGTCAGAAAATAATAAAAACGATTCCCATGATAGACAGTCTCATTTTGGACACAGTGTATAAATCTATTCAAAATCAATGCTTTAGAAACAATATTTTGCACTTCTGAGAAGTTATCAAAAGTTCTCGTTGACGTCTTCTCAATGATATAGATCTATAAAATTTGTCAAATAAGGAATTGTTAGGTTTTAAATCGAATGTGATTTTACATTTTATGACCATCTAAGAATAATTTCTTTGTCATTAAATACCAAAATGAATCAACCTGTACATCATTATATCCATTTATTTCATACTTCACTCACGTTGAAGCCCTTAAATAAACATCAAAGATCAAGATCATTAAATTCCAATACAACTGAATCAATAGGATTCTACGAAGCCCTGGAAGGGACACATAAAATAAAAAAAAATAAAAACTCTTCAAAATTCCGACTTATAACTCGGAATTTTACATCCAATATTCTGAGTTATAACTCGGAATTTTAAAATTCCGAGTTATACCTCGGAATTTTACATCCAATATTCCGAGATATAACACGGAATTTTAAAATTCCGAGATATAAGTCGGAATTTTGATGTAAAATTCCGAGTTATAACTCAGAATTTTGAAAAGTTTTTATTTTTTTTATTTTATGTGTCCCTTCCAGGCCTTCGTAGGATTCAGTACATGCTAATGAAATGATTTACTACAACAGAAATAAGATATTTGTTGCAGGCTGTCTGTAGATGGACCAATTCAGGTAGTATTGAATCGTACATTTCGGTGGCGCAGAAGACTAAAACGTCAATGTCATTCGTGGTCAAGTCACTGAATCGCAAAAAATCTGAAGGGTATCACACATGCAGTAATAAATTCGCCCTTGAGTAGTCCCCACCTGATATTTGGTAGGATATTTTTGTCATTTTCATTTCATCATCTGAATAATCCGAGACTCACCAGTCCCAAAAGAAGTATTCTAATAATTATTAATATCTAAGGCACCGACGTATAGAGTTACATGTCTGTTTCTTGGATATTTTGTGCCCAACAATGGGGAAATTTACAATATTGAGGTTTTTATCTCACTATGAAATTAGTACAATTTTAATACATACGTATTTTTTTTCTTTGTGAATTCAATTTTCAATTCAGAAAAAAATAATTGGAAAAGGAACTTGGCTCCTTCACCATTCCTTTGATATACTACCTAGAAAAGCCACATTCACACAGAGATGAAATGAAATGTGCTTTGTGAATACAACGTTGCCGGCATCATCATAGAATTTCGGAAATTGTTCTCTGAATACATTATCACAATATCATAACAGCAATTGGATATAATAGTTTTTTTCTAAATCCTACTTCGCCGAGTTTTTTTTATACGCAGGATCATGATAATCAGTTGAGTAGTTTTGGCGAGAAAGCCTGACAAATATACTTACATTCACCTTTATAATATTAGTAGGGATAGGGATAAATGGATGCAACTCACCTAAGCCTATCCAATATAAGCACCATATCAATTGTCTATATGTTCCTTGTACTAATTGTTGATGTGGACCTTTGGAATTCAATAAAATGTAAACTGCTAATACTGAGATGAGGGCTACTGTAACAAGTTTTCGATTTCCTAGGATTCTGAAAAAAAAATTACATCAATATAGGTACTAAAGAAAGCTAATCATAAATTTAGCTTTGATCTGTGAATGAAATATTTTGTTTATGTTCCTTATAATAATAATTATTCAGCATATCAAGTTGCAATGTAAACAGGAAAGTGATTCTAGTTTTTATTGTTGCAATTAATAATTATTGTTGTATAATTGTGTTAAAAATTCAGCACAAATCACATCAATATTGAAGAAATGAAAAAACTTGAACAGAAAAATGCAAAACATTAAAAACCCTGAGTAGATATGATCTACTTACTTTTTTCCATAAGTTGTTAGTAGAAGGAGGCATTCCCTAAAGAAATATTCTAAAGTTACCAGAGGCCTCTTCCACAAAACCAAACTTTCTCTATCCTTCTTTTCCTTCTCCTTTCGTTTTTGTTCAGATTGTTTTTTTGTTTTCATGTTATTTTGTACAGTGTCCCCGTTTTGCTGCGGGGTGGCGTCTCTTCTTTTAGTTTGTCCCGCCATCTTGTGTCCCAGTCTTTGAAGCTAAAATGGAAGCTTAGATCAGCTTAGCCATATAGCAGATCATAAACTATCCAGAATAGTGGACAAATATTGAGACTAGATTCTGATTTCATAATCTATATTTACGAAAGAAATCGGCAGTGATAGAGATACTCGAGAACCGATCATCGTCAGAGTTATTCTTACATCATCAATTGACATTCCAAATTACATACAGAGCGACCCATTTTGAAGAAAGCCACCCTCATATTTTTTTCATTTATTAAGCAATTTTTTCAAATCTAGAGGGAGAAAGGTGTATCTTGGAGCCAAGCGGCGCCCATTTTTTTAAACTAATGCATACTAGATCACAAGCCATCAATATAATCAGTTTTTCAGAGACGAACATCCTGTTGGACAGTGCCGTGCTTTTTCATTAAAATAAAAAGAGATCAATATTCATGAAATCATAAGGAATTTTTCTGCAAGATTAACTTCATATTTTTGTTCCTCATGCTTTCGAACCTTCATATGCATTCATTCCAAATTAACAGAATTGGCTTTTTTTTCCATTTTCAGCCTCGGAAAATAGTGAATTCGAATTAAATAAATATTTTGCAATGTTCAATAGTCCGGTATGGAGAAAATCGTGATTTGAAAAGAAAAACTGAGTTAAAACTTATTACCTACGCAAAAATGTTGTTCAGATGTATGCCTGTTTTTTTTAACCCTTCATAGGAATATGAAAATTCACACATGGGGGTTCGAAACTATTAAGAACAATATTATGAGGTCAGTTTTCCAGTAAAAAATTACTAATATGATTTCCTAAAGAATTGGCTCATTTTAATAAAAACGCACTGCACTGTCCAAAAGAAAGTATGCCTTTGAAAAACTGATCATATTGATGGTCATTCATACCGGTCCAAATTTGGTTAAGATCTAGAGAGGGGGGAGGGAAGTTTGAAATGAGACATGCTGTAGATTCTTTAATGTTGACTATTTTTTTGATGAAACTTTGTTTGAAAAGATGGACGCGGCTAGAAAAAAATCGTGAAAATCGTTCAATAAATAAACAATTTTTGAGGTTGACCCGATTTTAAATGGGTCACTCTGTATAAACAACAGTGAATATAATAACAAAGTTCAAAAGTATTTGGTTGAAATAAAACTCTTATCCTAAGGATGGAAATCTGCTTTGATTATCTGAAAAACAATAAGTAACACAAAAATGTCTTTCAGATTTTACTTCTGTAATGAGTAACTATCTTATCATGCTTTATCTCAAATATTTCAAAACATGTTAATCAGTCATACACTAAATGGCGTATTGAATAAAAAATAAATTATAACATCTGCATTACCTATATCCCTTTATAAAAACAATTACTATGAAAATTTACAATGTAAGGTATTATTGTTAACTATACTTCCTTATACCAGAACTTGATTCTGACTGGAAGTAACATTTTCAATAAATAAATAAATAAATAAATAAAAGAGGAAAGCAACTGCATTTTGCTTATAAATTTAGTTCATAGATATAATAATCTTCAATTACAACTGTTAGGACAATCAAATTAATAACATGTACAATTTCGTTACAACTAAAAATATTCCCGACAATGACAAATAGTTTTAGACTGTCAACTATCCCAGCTTTTTTCCCGATAATTTGATTCTGAGCCAACATTTAATATTATACTTTGATCAAAGTGCTATTAATTTGAGGCAATTGAGTTGAAATATCAGGTCCAGTGCTAGCTTTTTTGAAAGAATGGTGATTTTCTTTCTGATGACTGAGAGCCATCCTATAGATGGAATATTGACCATGGTTACTCTCTGGTTATAGTTGACAAAAACCAGAGAACAATGATATTCAGAATACCACCAATATCAACTACATATTATGAACAAAAGAAGTATCTAAATCTTTTGAACCATTCTCAACACATGATATGATGGCATTCGTGTTTTTTGATGATTTATTTATTTCATTACTTTCAAAATAGAATTACAAATTATTTAGCCTTATTTTTCTACATATACATATTTATTTTACATATTTTCAGCAAGAGTTCCATTACAAACAGGAGTTCAAACATGCGATGTTTCTGATTGATTTTGCAGATGTTATATTTTGTTGTACTTACAGTAGAAAAAAAATTTGAAATACATGCATTATCCAGATGACTTTCAGACATTTCCATTGCTGCAAAATATTTCACGTGATTGCAATGTGAAAGCCTGTGCATAGGCTGGTAGTACAAAAGAAATTGAAAGTAATGACTTTTGAATCTGAACACTTTCTCTCTTGTCTGCCAGAGTATAATTAGATATTGGAGTTAATTTTAGCAACAAACAGCAATGGGTGAATTGAATTTCTATTTATTCACCTCAAATTGTTTGCACAAATACTATGAGTAGAAATCTCAAATTTGTATCCTTGTCCAATATAAGTTCGGATCAAATCAAATAATTCAATTACATACCAGTTGTGTTTTGGTTCCTGTAGATTCCTGGCCTCTCTTCCTGCATTCACTCTTCAATTGGTCCTTGTTCAGGAATGACAACTCATCAGCAGACTTCACTTTGTTAGAGGAGAATGTTTTAGAGTTTTTGTTGAGATTACTTGTTGGTCTTTTCTTAGTTCTAGTACTCATTACCAAGGTTTCATTGGTAAGGGGATCTAAAACAGGAAATAATGAATCAAGTCAATATGATTCATTTCAGAATTATTTATAAATGCTTTGTGTGAACATTAGAAGATGTATCTTCATATCTGAAAGGCTGATACTTGTAAGGTATCATGACACATCAGATCTTTGATTCATTATTCAATCAGGGAAGTACCTTAAGGTGATTGATTACCCATTGCATATTGCATGAAACAAGTACAAAATACAAAACTCGTTAGCATAGGGCCACATAGATCCCCTAATCGCCTAATCCAATTAAAAATAAATCAACTGATTACATACATAACCTCAACGGTGACAAGCGTCATGAATAATTGAATAATTATGATATTACCTTTTTAATTTATGAAAACTTTCCGCACATTCACCTTTGAAAAACACGTTAGCAATTAATAATCATAATAATTATATTAAATGATATGAATTATTAATGAAATATGCCGAAATCAAGATCAGCTGAGCGCTGACGCTGACTTGACTCCTGACAGTGTTGCCTTTTCAGAATTTCAATTTGTACTAGAAGTCATTCCGAAATTGTACTAAATTCAAGTATATTGTACTAAATTGAGAAAATGAACACAAAAAAAACACCTCTGGAAAACGTAGGTCATGAAACAATAATTATAACCATTATAACTAATAATACCTAAAGGCCGAAAATAAGAGATGAAAAGGAAGAGATCAGATTACAGATTGAGATCAAATACTACTATCATACTAGCAATAAGATAAAATAGATTACTCAAACTTCAAATTCAAATCAATTCATCAATAACATCAGCTCATTGTTTCTAAGTTGAATTGTATATTATGGACTCTTTATCAATGATGGCTTCATTGGGATTCCAATTATAACATATCTTCTCCAAATAATTGTTTTGTATGGTATGCAATAATTGCTTGTAGAGTATACTCTGGTCAGTTCACTTTGTGAATCTTCTGTTCGGTTCGCATGGACTGGATGGTTTTCTCCGATTGCGTGGCAAGTATCAAATACTGCTTCTCTGATCTGCAACAAAACATCACATATCAATCGAAGTACATTGCATATCAGAAAATAAATATCATTAGATGAATTACATGGATGTTGAATCTGAGACGTCCGTAACTGGATTGCTACATATCCGCATTCTTTCCGAATAGTGTTTTTTCCAGTAGGCATCTTCCACATTTTCAAATACGTACGTGGGATATATTAAGGACCTTGAAGGCCAAACGATGTGCTGCTTGGATCTAAAACTAAGGATCAATTTCAAATTTGAATCGTAAGACCTACATAGAATATTGGATATTGTTTTCAATCGTAACTGGAACGCGATATATTTTTGTAATTCATCAACTATCTCAATGAAGACGAGACAGGCAGATAAACAACAATTTTCTCTGCAATGAAGAACACTGTATATACCTAACCCACCATGCGCCTACCTCCTTTGCAGAGAGGGTTTATAAACGCCGAGTTGATACTCTCCCCTCGTAAGGGTACCTGTCGTGTTTCCATAGAGACATAAAGCTGAATATCTGTCTTATCTGTTTTCTTGAGAATCTGGAAAGGATATCAATATATCGCCTTCCGTACGAATATAATGATATGAATTCTGTAAAGTATACTCTGGTCAGTCCTCTTTGCGGATCTTCTGTTTGGTCCGAATTTACTGGATGGTTTTCTCCGATTGAGTGGCAAGTCTCAAACACTGCTTCTTGGATCTGCAACTAAACATACCATTTAAATCAAAGTACATTTGAATCAGAAAATATCATTAGAGAAAATACATAGATAATATGTTGAATCTGAGACATACCTGAATAATATTTTTAACGTCCGTAACTAGATTGCTACATATCAGCTTTCTTTCCGTATAGTGATTTTTCCAGTAGGCATCTTCCACATGTTCAATTACGTGGGTCATATTAATGACCTTGAAGGCCAAACAATGTGCTGCTCAGATCTAAAATTAAGGATCAATTTCAAATTTGAATCGTGAGACCTACATAGAATATTGGATATTGGTTTCAATATTCGTTACTGGAATGCGATATATTTTTTTAATTCATCAACTATCTCAATGAAGACGAGACAGGCAGATAAACAACAATTTTCTCTGCAATGAAAAACACTGTATATACCTAACCCACCATGCGCCTACCTCCTTTGCAGAGAGGGTTTATAAACGCCGAGTTGATACTCTCCCCTCGTAAGGGTACCTGTCGTGTTTCCATAGAGACATAAAGGTGAATATCTGTCTTATCTGTTTTCTTGAGAATCTGGAAAGGATATCAATATATCGCCTTCCGTACGAATATAATGATATGAATTCTGTAAAGTATACTCTGGTCAGTCCTCTTTGCGGATCTTCTGTTTGGTCCGAATTTACTGGATGGTTTTCTCCGATTGAGTGGCAAGTATCAAACACTGCTTCTTGGATCTGCAACTAAACATACCATTTAAATCAAAGTACATTTGAATCAGAAAATATCATTAGAGAAAATACATAGATAATATGTTGAATCTGAGACATACCTGAATAATATTTTTAACGTCCGTAACTAGATTGCTACATATCAGCTTTCTTTCCGTATAGTGATTTTTCCAGTAGGCATCTTCCACATGTTCAATTACGTGGGTCATATTAATGACCTTGAAGGCCAAACAATGTGCTGCTCAGATCTAAAATTAAGGATCAATTTCAAATTTGAATCGTGAGACCTACATAGAATATTGGATATTGGTTTCAATATTCGTTACTGGAATGCGATATATTTTTTTAATTCATCAACTATCTCAATGAAGACGAGACAGGCAGATAAACAACAATTTTCTCTGCAATGAAAAACACTGTATATACCTAACCCACCATGCGCCTACCTCCTTTGCAGAGAGGGTTTATAAACGCCGAGTTGATACTCTCCCCTCGTAAGGGTACCTGTCGTGTTTCCATAGAGACATAAAGGTGAATATCTGTCTTATCTGTTTTCTTGAGAATCTGGAAAGGATATCAATATATCGCCTTCCGTACGAATATAATGATATGAATTCTGTAAAGTATACTCTGGTCAGTCCTCTTTGCGGATCTTCTGTTTGGTCCGAATTTACTGGATGGTTTTCTCCGATTGAGTGGCAAGTATCAAACACTGCTTCTTGGATCTGCAACTAAACATACCATTTAAATCGAAGTACATTTGAATCGGAAAATATCATTAGAGAAAATACATAGATATGTTGAATCTGAGACATACCTGAATAACATTTTTAACGTCCGTAACTAGATTGCTACATATCAGCTTTCTTTCCGTATAGTGATTTTTCCAGTAGGCATCTTCCACATGTTCAATTACGTGTGGGTCATATTAAGGACCTTGAAGGCCAAACAATGTGCTGCTCAGATCTAAAACTAAGGATCAATTTCAAATTTGAATCGTGAGACCTACATAGAATATTGGATATTGTTCTCAATATTCGTAACTGGAACGCGATATATTTTTGTAATTCATCAACTATCTCAATGAAGACGAGACAGGCAGATAAACAACAATTTTCTCTGCAATGAAGAACACTGTATATACCTAACCCACCATGCGTCTACCTCCTTTGCAGAGAGGGTTTATAAACGCCGAGTTGATACTCTCCCCTCGTAAGGGTACCTGTCGTGTTTCCATAGAGACATAAAGCTGAATATCTGTCTTATCTGTTTTCTTGAGAATCTGGAAAGGATATCAATACATCGCCTTCCGTACGAATACAATGATCTGAATTCTGTAGAGTATACTCAGGTCAGGTCTCTTTGCGAATCTTCTGTTCGGTCCGTATTTACTGGATGGGTTTCTCCGATTGAGTGGCAAGTATCAAACACTGCTCCTTGGATCTGCAACTAAACATCAAATTTGAATCGAAGTACATTTGAATCAGAAAATATCATTAGAGGAAATACATAGATGTTGAATCTGAGACATACCTGAATAATATTTCAAACGTCCGTAACTAGATTGCTACATATCCGCTTTCTTTCCGTATAGTGGTTTTTCCAGTAGGCATCTTCGACATGTTCGATTCCGTGGGTTATATCAAGGACCTTGAAGGCCAAACGAATATAAAGATCTGAATTCTGTAAAGTATTCTCTGGCCATTTTTCTTTGCGGATTCTTTGATCGATTCGTCGTGACTGGATGGTTTTTTTCAATTCAGTGACAAGTATCAACACTTTGCTTCTCAGATCTGCAAATAAACATGACATCAAAATAAATATCGAAGTCCATCAAAATTAATACTGATTTCCATGAGAGGCAGAACACGGATGTTGAACTGGAACGCGATATATTTTTGTAAATCATCAATTCATCAACTATCTCAATGAAGACGAGGCAGGCAGATAAACAACACTTTTCTCTGCAATGATACTGCAATACTGCAAAAATGATCTTCCATTTCCACTCATGAAGCAACGTTATAATCAATTTATCATAAAGATTAGAGTCCTGTCGTTGGATAAAACACGAGATAAAACATAATAAGAGTAAGAAATGATATTATAGATCTGAATTTTTCGAGCAACCAGAGCATGTCTGTATATCTCTTGTACCCTATAACAAAATATCATGTTGATGTTGAAGACTTGGCAACAATGTGCTGAATGCTGAGAACTGACAAGGCACCGCCCACAATTCGTGCGCCGGGTTGTCACATTTACCCTCAAATATCCTCTAGTGTGAATTATTATAATATTTATATTAACACAAATGTATTATAAACAATAAGCCACAACAGATGAGGGAATATTTTGAGACAATTGATTTTTATGTATTATTAGGAATATATCCAATACAAAATTGAGAATTTATGAATTATTGAATAACTAATATTCCTAAGTTTTAATCGTATTTCAACATATGGCAACTGTGTGTGTAACTACCTACTTACAAAATCGTGACGTCAGTTTTTACTCGCGGTAAATTTTTAGCCGTTTGAAAATTACCGTGGCATTATTGTTGATCTCAGCATCTTAAAATCGAATGGAGAATTCTAAAAATATATAAAATTGAAAGTTATTTGAGTGATGATTCTATTCAAGAAATAAAAATAATTAGTCAACTCGCCTATTTCATTTTTGTGGATGGTTCCATGGCTGTTAGCAAGCAGTGTATATCACTGAAGAATTTCTGATTCCCTACTAAACAAATAAGAAAGATACAGGGATGCTTCCATTAAAAGTGAGACACACTGTGCAATGTTCATTTTGAGTCAATTCTGAACTTCATATCTTTCCATCTGAAGTTTCATCTTAAAAATGAGCCTGCGAATTCAAAAATCGGTTGGGAAGGACGAAAGTTATGACTGCAGAACCTAGTTAATTTTTTGATATCACTCTGTAATTGAAAGGGATGATGAGACAATTCGAAAAATGTCTCAAGGTAATCTGCTGTCAAAGTTGAAAAAAAAAAGTGCTCGTTCATTTGGGATCCTTTTGAAAATTCAAAAATTTTTCACAGTTTCAGGTGACACCCTGTTGCGAGTTTTTATGAAGAACCTCATTTTTTAAAGAAGTACGAGCTTATAGCTGAAAGACTGGGCTAGCGAACAGTGTGAAACAAATTCAAATTGTTCAAAGCAGAAAAAAATTTATTCATATTTTAACAGGGGGTTAAAATTTTATGACTAATCAAATTATACAATTAGTACAGGGTATTGAGACAAATTTCCAATCTGAGTATTATGGATAATAATAAGAGTTTGACAATTCGTGTATGAACTTTTCATAGAAATTTTGAAGAATTTTGATGAAAATTTCTCTGTGAAAATTGGCGGTACCTAGCCTAGCACAGTCAGCGATACGGATTGACACATTTTCTTCGGGTTTGTTCTGATCGCACACATTTCTCACAAAAAATACGTATATGTATATGAAAATGAATCAAAGGAGTACCTACTCTAAGATTTCTAGATGTATCGAGTGGTATCGGCTCAAAATACCTATCAGATTATACTATCACTCATAATAAAAAAATTAAAAGAACTCACCAGCGTGAAAAAGGTAAAAAATTATTGCTGCAATTCCATTGTTTGAAATTTTCGATTACTATCACTCATTTTTTAGGGAACACTCCGTTTGGAACGACAAATAATTCCTTTCGCGTATTTTTCAATGTCGATCAAAAAATTCGACCGGACGTGATGACATCTAATATAAAACTGTCTTGATTTACCACCTGGTCCCGAATGAATGACTAATGAGTTGCATCATGCTTCTAACCGATTAATTTCCGAACGAACGATTTATCTATGAGTAATGATGATAATGGAATTATACGGGGGGAAAAAGATATATAGTATACAAAATATAAGATGAAGTATTGAACACGGATGTACTGGCACTATTATTTTCGAAAGTCTAATGATTTGAAAAAATTTAACCTAGGCTTATTCATTTATTTATTGAAAATGTTACTTCCAGTCAGAATCAAGTTCTGGTATAAGGAAGTATAGTTAACAATAATACCTAAAACTATACAATTATAATAAACTAATGAATAATAAAATATTTGAAAACATTAATTATTAAATTTTGACAAATCATTTCATATTGGTGAGCAAAAATCAATTTGGATATGAATCAAAAGTTGAAAAAAAAAAGTCATCTATTTCGTTCAGAAATGATAAATAAATAAACAAGTAAATACCCCCTGTACATAACTAATATTAAAATGTTGAATGATTTTCTGTAGCGCCCATGGACGTGACGTGACAGCAATGTCAGGGATGCCAGTAGACAAAACTTAAGCCTCTAGATCATTAAAAAAGAATGTAGCTATGATCTGTCCGTCATATACTGTCCGTACCCTGTTAGATGACTTTAACGTCAATTTCCATCAAGGGACCCTAATTCAAACCAATGACGGCTAAATATCTGGACTGTCTGACGACATTGATTCGAACAGCAGGACAGGTATCTGTCATTTTACTGACACTGAATAAACTAGATTCATATCAAATGAAAAGTCACTGTTCTCTTACATCAATCACCCGAAAATGATGGAACAAAGTAGGTACCTCCGACTCGTCATCCCATCCGTTATTCACACCAAATAAACAATTTCGTCAGCTAGCAAGAAGGACGAGCTGCAATGGTTCCGCAAGTCCTCCCTATCGATGCGCCAGCAGGACGACAACGAGGAATGGAAGAAGAGACGAGCCACCCCGCTGTCGGAGCTGCACTCGTTGGCCAGAAGGGCCACCAACACCACCACCACGACGTCCGCCAACAGCTCCTTCTTCGACGAAGGGCACACGCGAATCATGGCGTCCCTAGTGCCCGACGAGATCATCTACAACGTGGCGGACTATTCCAAGAGGGAGTTCGAGGGTTGTCTTCTGTTCGGAGACGTGTCTGGTAACATTTCAGAAACTCAATCATCATCCCGATAATCACACATACTGCCTTTTTCAGAACAGTTGAAAAATGGTAGGTGTACCCCAAGGATCCGTTTTAGGGCCGATCCTCTTTATTCGCCATTTCAGGGTTTATCAATCAATTCAATCTGTGAGTCGCGAAACCGCCCAGTTAACACAAACATCTATGAGATGTCGCATTCATGACAGTTGATGTCACAAAAGCGAATCACAATATTGCATCGCTGATATCTACAAGGAATTCCTTGTGTGACAGATAGTTCGCAAATTTCATCACATTCTGTTGGATCTGAGACCAATATGGATATAATATTTATGAGGCCCCTTAACTTCACAACGACTATAATTTCAGAATCTGAAATTTCAGCCGTTGAGAGTCATAATTTGATGTATCTGAATTGACAAACTGATTCACATTGTGCAGAATGAAGAAACGAAAATATGCTTCAATATGTGAATCTCTCTCACATCTCAAGGAAATTCATTTATGAAAGTAATATCGAACAATACTTGGAAATATCAGTGTACTCGCATACTCATGAATGTAGCGCACAATGTGACTTATGTAAAGTTTCGTACACACTCGGTCAGTGTCGGTCTGACTGATGTACACGTGTCTGTGAATTCTTTAGCGACGGCATGCTTTTGTCTCGTCCATTTCGTTGTTTCAGTGCATTAGTTCATTCGGTGTTGGTATGCAGTTCGTGTTTGGAGTTATTGCTTAGACTGAATAAGCATCTCTTTCTAATCGAAAATCATGATTGTGATTAAAGATACTGTGTGTTTCTCATCTAAGTTACAGGGTAAGTAACTACAACGTTCATAACTTGATACAATAATATACCTATATATACTGGTTGACAATGAAGACAGGGTAGACGACACCACGTCGCCATTTCAAGACTATATGATGATACCTTCAATGATACCTTGGAATATATCATTTTGGGATCAGGGTATAAGTGAACATGCATATTCTGATTGTATATTGGGAAAGGCTGATCAAGAACAAAATTATTGCAAAATATTATGAATGGAAGGAAAAAATGCGCCGCAGCTATTCTCTTTCTTCTTTGTCACCCGGTATAGAACAGTAGGTATGCAGTGTGATTTCATCTTCTCATAAATAATTTCAATCTTACACGACTCCACGTTGATATGAAAGTGACTTGAACATTTTTCAATACTCTCATTATGGTTCTCTACTCACTCTCTATATTCTGAACAGGAAATGGGCAAAATGAAATCAATTGATTGTTTCTATATTCATTTTCAGATGTCAAATCACAAAAGTCATCTGGACAACCTTGGAACAATTTGAAATTCTGAGCAGGGATTGGTTACCATGCTACAACGGAAGGAAAGATGAGGAGCAAATATTGGATTCTCTTGTGTTACTTTCAGTTCTCCATATTCATCGCGTTAACTCATGGAGATATATATACCCTGTATAATTATTCGAAAAAGTCTAGGCCTGCGCTGCTTTTCTAATTTCAATCATTGTTATATCTAGGTAGTTTTGCTCAACATAACATGTACGTACTTACATATTCTGATGTGTAATGAGACTAATTTTCAATAAAATCGAGTTGCCTTGTGAAACCCTTGATTGATCTATTTGACAGAGATTCGAGACCGATTAGTTCTCTCATTGAATACCTTCATCAATCTAGATGTGATTTCACTTGAGAAATCAAAAATCAATGTGTATGTAGCATTTCTGAGACGCACAATATGATTCTTCCAGGGACGCTACGATACCAGTATAATAATCGAAAAGAACATCACATTCAGAAATGGTCGATGGTCTTCTAAACCTCACATTCTGATTATAATGTGACCTCAATGTGAGTCTTATTTTAACGTGATATCTGGAGTCACATTCAGCTAACTTTTGAGTCCCATTCGGCATCTAAATGTGAAGCGAAAAATGACCAAAAGGGTCCGGAATAGAGGATCTGGAGATGTCGACGTGATTCACAAATCGAATCGCGGGTGTGATCTCAATCATGAATGTGAAGTGTACTGACATCTCTGAGATCAATTTGTGTTAACTGGGCGTAGTCGTTGGTGAAATATACATTTTAAAGTGGGACATCCTAATTTATTTGTCATCGTAGCGATTTTCACGATTTTTTTTAATGTAGAGGGAGGCAAGATGTATTTGGGAACCAAGCAGCGTCCACTTTTTCAAAAACCAAGGAAACTGTGCATATACTATCATTCCAGAGGCTGAAAAATTCAGAATCCATAATAGCAATTCTTTTACAAAACATCCGCGTGCGCCACTGGAATCGGCGTCCTTTGAAAGAGATCTGTACCAAATATTATGAAAAAATATTCAACATTAATGATTCTACAGCGTGTCTCATTTCAAATGCCCCCCCCTCTTTATCTCATTTCCATATTATAGTTCTTCATGCTTTCGAAACTTCATAACGAATCACCTCATTCCAAATTAACATCAGGACTGGCTTAATTTTTTTCATTTTCAGTTTCGGAAAAATAGGAATTCAAATTAACTACCAATGTTGGAACGTTCAATAGCTCCGGAAGGTAGAAGATCGTTGCGGCTTTATTTGTTTCCCAAAAAAAAAGAAAGTAACGTGGAAACCGCAACACTATCTCCAACGATAACTGAGATATCGTGCAAAAGCATCGGAAACAAAAAAATATAAAAAACTAAATAACACGCTTTTGTTGAGCCAAACTAAAAAATAGGATATAAATAGTAGTTTAAAAAACTATGAAAACACGCTTTTATAGATAGCCAAACTAAAAAGAATTGGAAAATGCAATAATAAAAGTGTGCTAATAAATACACAACATAGAAAATATTAGTACCTCCGTAATCAGTATATTTTCCATATTGTGTATTTATCAACACACTGTTTAATTATATTTTTCTACTTTCAACTAACATGGCATTAAGCGTACGGATAATTAGATGTACCATGCTAAATGATCGATTAATCACGGATTGACGATCTGTGATTTATTCAAAAAATTAAACACGTTACCATATGGCAACACGACAATTTCTTAAACACATTACCATCATGGCAAACAGTTTTTCAAACACACGTTCAGTCGTTTGAATTCTGTCCGTCTGTCAATCGTAAGAACTGTCAACTGTCATTCTCGAATTTTGTTGCAATCAGGATTATCAAACATTTTCGGTTTTATCAGAATTTTTCATTGAAATTGTGATGATGCGAAATGTATACAAAAGGGAATCGAAGAGAAAGTTTGAGGTAAAAAACTCTGATGAGTAAAAATGAAGCTCTCATCTTTGTGGGCAATTCATTCTATGCTAAGCATGACAATAAACGTAAAACATAAACACAATACTTATATGAGTAAAAATTATGGAATCAGAATATGGATACAAACCTGAGAAATCGAAAACTTTGATACCTCAGCGAATGGAAGAGTTTTTATTCACTAAGGTTAGTAAGCAAGCCATTTCAATATGTATCCTTATCCTATATGGACTGGACTAGACACATCTACAACCAATATCACCTATACGTGTCTTGTTGGTTGCATGCAGTTTCATAGTATAATGTATTATGTTCTCAATTCCCATTTCCTTAAAAGTATTTTGTAGGTTAGCAGGTAGGTTAATTTAATTTTCGGTATCATAGGATCTTGTCCAAGAGAAGAATTATGAGTTAGTAGAAAAAGTATATTATGTAACACGTTTATACACTCTTCTAGACACTCGTTTATTGAACACTCGCTCCGCTATGTTGCGTTCATGCCTAAAATACTCGTTACTAAAACGACGTTTATAACACTTGTTTTTAGTTTGCCTATCTATAAAAGCGTATTTCTTTAGTTTCTCAAACTAGTATTTTTCATCAGGTTTCACCGACCTTTGTGAGAAATATAACAAATCCGGGAAGGGCGGCCCCTCCCGACTGACCCAAGTCCTGAACGCCTACATCGGCGCCATGGTTCAAGAGATACTGTCCCACAGCGGGGACGTGCTGAAGTTCTCCGGAGACGCTTTCATCGCAATGTGGAAGGAGACCGACCACCTGTCCTTGAGGGACGCCGTCCACGAGGCCATCGATTGCGCCCTCGTCATACAGAAGACCTACGGGACGTACCAAACTGACGTGGACGTCGTAGTTAGAGGTATTATTATTATTATTATATTTTGACAAGGGCAGAGGCATAGCCTATTTTGCCCAATAGGCACTTGAACTTAAAATTAGTTACAACTATTAATGTATCAGCAAAGGAAGGCTTAGGCGCGATAGCCGTTGTTCATAGGAGAAGTTGAATGTCTTTCACCAGATGAGGAAACCATATCTGCACAGCATATTCAAAGCAGAGAAAGTGTGTACATACATATGCTTTATAAAGCTGATTAAAGAGTGTTGGTTCAGGATGGTCAAAGCATTTTTTGAGGAGGTATGTGCGACTGTTTGCCTTACGGACAGCTGCTGCAACCTGATTAGACACAGCTAGTTTCTTGTTGAAAATGGTCGTTATGGTTTTCCACTGAAGGAATGGTTTTATTACCTAGGTAATAGTCTAGTTCTGGGTGAGTGGGGCCAACATGTAGAATAGAGCACTTGTCGATATTCAGGAGAATGTCCCATATGCCGCGCACCAGTATTGTACTGATAACAGATCAGATTCAAGTTCATCAAAACTGGATAGTGGGTTGCCGAAAAATTTGCTGTCGTCTGCGATAAATGCATGATCGGATCTTAGAGCTGTATGTAGGTCTGATGCATATGCCAAAGATAATGTTGGACCCAAGACCGATCCCTGGGGCACTCCAGACGTAACGTCATGAGTACTAGAGTGCCACTCTGAAAACTCTGTAAAGAAATGCAGCTCTCCAGTTATGGAGTTGTGCAATAGCTTATTCCTTGGTACCTTGTCGGACGCTTTGGAAAAGTCGAGGTATATAATATCAATGGAGGATGAGGAGTCCATTGATTTGGTCCAGGCAATAGATCAAGTTAGTTGTTGTGGATCTTCCAGGTATGAAGCCATGTTGGGTGGGTGGAATCACGGCTTTCTCGACCAGAAAAGGTAGTAGGACATCTACAATTATTCGTGATTTTAACACACAAGGATACTACACTTATTGGACTGTAGTTACTAAGGTCAAGTTCATCTCCGTTCTTATAAATGGACGTAACAGATGTAAGTCGCCAGGCAGGCAGAAGGAAGACAAGAGAAGTCAAAGGAGGATTCGAAAATATGACTAAGAGGTACTAAAAGGATTGATGCATATCTCGTCAGTATGAAGGCTGGTATATTATCTGGCTCAGGTGATACCCCTTCCTTGATATCCTTGAGCTTCTCCTCTACAGTTCCCACAGTAAATATAATGTGACTCAGCGAGTTTGGACATCGTGGCGAACCAATCGAAGGTAGGGCCAAGGTGTCCAATGGAAAGAAAGATCTATCAAAATTTCTGGCAAGTACTTTAGCAGCAAAATCGTTAGATTCGCATATAATTCCATTGAAATCACGTATCATAGGAATAGACATCTTTGAGGCATGTTTACTTCTGGTATATTTGTAGATGGCTTTCGTTCCTGTTCCTGCAAGGTCGGATCCATATATTCGCCATTATAACTCATTCCTTCAAAATTTATGTAGATCAGCGGTACTCAAAGTGTGTTCCGCGGAGCCCCGGTACTCCACAAAACCTCTTGTAGGAGAGCTGAGTGAGTTTCTCAATCACCTCAGTCCCAGTGATACAAAAATATTCCAAAATGAAACAGTTGTTGAATTGAAAAAAATGTATTTTCTTTAGTGAAATTGGCGGTGGCTTCAGGACGACTGACGTTCTCTCTAGTAGGCGACAGTGCGAATTCTCACTATCTGATGATCGGACAACCCATCATGGACATTAAAGCTGCAGAATCATTAAGTTCGGCCGGGGAAATAATCATCTCCACCAAGGTGTCACACCATTTCAGCGCCAATGAGTATCTGCTGGATTTGCTGCCAGACAGATTGCATGCCAAGGTAAGATTTTCACTTCAGAATGATGAGTATAGGTATAAGAATGTGAACAGCGTGATTTAAAAAGGAGTTCAAGGAACATCTACTCCTGTAATATTGACATCTCATCTCATTTTTATAGTTTTCTCGTAGAATCACTATAGTTTTCCATTGGGTACCTAACAGCTGAGTCAATTGAGAATAATTTTCATGAAGTTGAACTTAAAAAAAATGATTTATTCTTAAGTGTGAGTCTTATTTTACTGTCTTCTTTATTTTGTCAAATATATTTATATATTCACCATGTTTCCTGCCATAAACAAATGTCAACTCTTGGGAATAATAAAGTTGACTGATTGATTGATTGAAAATGTAACTCAGGTGTTGGGAGTCGGACCAAATTGGAGGAACATGCAAAGGCACTACGACAAAGAGGATCTCGGTAAGAAAAATTGTCTTTTATAACAACTAGCCATAGAATGTGCATCAGATATATATTTCCCTACGACCAACTATGAAAGCAGCATCAGAGCACACTGTGTTGTTGCTCAGAAAATACCTCATATCACCATAGCAATGCGGAAGTGAAAAAGAACACTCAAATTATACAGGTTGGCTAAAAATCATGTTTCGATTCGGAACTGTTCGAGGTGATTTTTCTCGAATTTTTTATATGGAACATCCCATACATTATTCGGCAATTCGATGTGAAATCATCTCAACATCCATAATAATATTCGTAACCATTTTTGGATTATTTCTTATTAGTATGTGATATACTATTTCAGAAAGATACAGTATCCTGAGTGCCAATCTAAGTTTGCAAGATGAAGAGGGAGAGTTGTTGCCAGTGTCCAGTTCGTACGAAAAATTGGGTAGCGTGGACGACGATACGAGGATAGCTTCAAGAGTTGTCAACGACCAATATGCACGTAGGGGGTTTATTGTTCATAGATATATATATACTATAATCATACAGTTTCCACAAAACGCGAGTAGATAAGTTATGAGATTTCTAGAACAAATCCCCATGTAGATACTTTGTTGTGTGTGTGGGGGGAGTAAACATTGTAGGTCTCGGTAGGTGTGAAGAGAGCTATACAGTGTTTCTGAATTCCATCGACATCTCTTGTGTGCTGTTCCTCCAAACAGAAATGAGGAAAAAGTTCATATCAAATACTGTCTGTAGGTTAATCGAGGAGGTGGTACATTCATTTTACTTGGTTCTTTGGGATTTTCTCTCCTCGTTTCTATAAAATAAAAGTATTCGTATTATTTCAATATATTTGTAGAGGGACAAATCAGATGATTTGCCCCAAAATGTCACTGCGTTTAACAAATTTTTTTATCAGGGAGTCTAAAAGAAAAATCCAGTAGCTTGTCAGTGACAATTTGTTTGAAAAAATTTTTGAAGGAAAGAAATATAGATATATTGAAAAAATATCGAATTTGTACTTATCTTTGGACGTTTCGGGACCGATTCTGCTCCCGTTCTCAACATGTAAATGCAAATTATTTTTCTTTGAAATTTTTGCTGCGTATAGTTTGACACTTTTCAATGTCATACTGATGTTGGCATATGAATGAGTGATTTTAGTCTACAAATGAGTTACAGGATGTTTTCATTAATTGATCTTGAATCTACCATTTTCATGTTCAGTTTTCAGTAGTGAATACCATGTTCTATCAATATCAACTGCTGTTCAGTTGATATTGATAGAACATGGTATTCACTACTGAAAACTGAACATGAAAATGGTAGATTCAAGATCAATTAATGAAAACATCCTGTAACTCATTTGTAGACTAAAATCACTCATTCATATGCCAACATCAGTATGACATTGAAAAGTGTCAAACTATACGCAGCAAAAATTTCAAAGAAAAATAATTTGCATTTACATGTTGAGAACGGGAGCAGAATCGGTCCCGAAACGTCCAAAGATAAGTACAAATTCGATATTTTTTCAATATATCTATATTTCTTTCCTTCAAAAATTTTTTCAAACAAATTGTCACTGACAAGCTACTGGATTTTTCTTTTAGACTCCCTGATAGAAAAATTTGTTAAACGCAGTGACATTTTGGGGCAAATCATCTGATTTGTCCCTCTACAAATATATTGAAATAATACGAATACTTTTATTTTATAGAAACGAGGAGAGAAAATCCCAAAGAACCAAGTAAAATGAAGTTCATATCAACTTATATTTCAAGTGTGTTCCTCAGAAAGTGAAGTACTTGAAAATGGAACTCTTATCATTTAATATTTCCGACAACATTCCATTCAAACGAAAGTTGGCACAATCAATACAGATCTAATGATTTGTTAGATCAGATAAAAATGTCTATTGATAGGTGTCGGAGATATTGAAGTGGACAAATATTTTTAAGCCCGTATCGAATGCTATCAAGAGCAACAAATTCACTCAGAACATGGTGAAAAATCCTAAACGAAATTGTACAAAACAGTTATTCTCACTCTCAACTCCATCAGTTTGAACCCCTTCTTGACGATTTCTCCATTTCTCCAGAGTATTCTTAGACCGTCTGGCCAATCATAACATCCTTTATCGTTTGTGCCAGAGATATTAAATGGGGTCCATTTTTGAAGGGCTGCAACTCCCTAAGGTATAATTTTCTGGTGGAGTTTACCAAAACCCTGCACTCCCATCAATACCTTTTGTTTATCCTATTGTTAGTGCGACCGGCGGTGAATTATGCAGCAAGATTCAAACTGAAAGACGAACTGAGACGGTTCATCATCGGGCCAGTGATGAGGGGCATAGACGCAGAAGAACCCCTGGAGTATCTGACTGAGATAAGACAAGTCTGCATCGTGTTCATCAACTGCAAAGTTGCTGCCAACATCAGCGCAAACGACGGCATAGATGTCGCCAATGACGTATACGTGACTGTGTGCAGGTAAAACTACTCGGTATTATCGTTATTTTTCGTATATAATTACGTAATATTCTGATTTCAGCGTGGTGAAAAACAAATACGGCTGCGTCAACAAGATCAGCAACTTCGACAAAGATCTGATGTTGCTGGTCATATTCGGCTTGAGAGGCTACAAACACGAGCTCGAGAGCCAGATCGCTCTAAAATGCGCTATAGAGTGTACGGAAAAGATCAAAGCTATGCAGTACGTGCTAGGAATAGCTACAGGTGTTACTACAGGTAAGTATGCCAGAAACTTGTTGCACACCCCATAGATAAGACTTTGGGCTGCCTCCACACCGCGGCCTTTTCAGATCTATTGTGCCTGCCCTCGAAATCGGCAAGGCTAACCAAGAAACTTTGAATCCTTGGTTAGCCTTGCCTTCTCTATGAGACTACATTGGCTGGCATTCAGATCCCCTCTGTATCTTTGGGCTCTATGTTTTTCCTCTCCCAGCACAATGGCAGCAAAATATCTAGTGAGCTGCTTGGTTGAGGTCAATCAGCTCACTAGATATTTAGCAAAGTATGTGTACTGATGTTTCCTCCTTTTCCTGACAAAACCTGCATAGCAGTTCTCCAGCTAGACCGATCGCACTCATGTGTTTGTTGAGCCTGTGAAAAGTCCCACTAGTATTCTAGTTGATCTTCGTTTCTGGCTCAGTAGATATTCTGCGAATGTTGACGCGATGATTCTTCAATAAACTATATTCCTGACGTTGATACACCATTCTTGAGATTTGGTTTGCATCCATGATTTGATACTTGCCTTTTGTATAGCTCTCGCAATACCACAAAAGGGTTGTGGACCATTCAGAGCATCTGATCGGACAAGTGACTCTGCCTCTTCGTTGCCCTCGTACCCTGTATGCTAGAGTCAGTCTGTTCTGATTGCCCAGTTCTTTCGAGGTTTCTACACAGTTCCAGACTAGTTTTGACTTATCTTGCATTGAGTCGACTGCTTTGATTGCCCCGCCTGTCTATCCGAGCAGATTTCAATGGTTCTTCCTTAAGCACTCATTTTCAGGAAAATGCTATTGTGGTGCTTTTGGACATACTCTTCGGCGTGAATACACGGTGATCGGTTTAGTAGTGAACAAAGCGGCTAGACTGATGGTCGCTTATCCGAACAAGGTGACCTGTGACAGAGAAACCTTCTTGCACAGCAAGCTAGAGTCCAGGAATTTCTTCTTGCAAGAGTACAAGTTTCTGAAGGGTATTGCCAATCCTGGACCTATATACGAATTCAAGGGAGTGGAAAAGTAAAAGAGCGAGTAGCTTGACGGGAATTTCTAGAGATTTGAGGAATATATTTCAGGAACGCTGAATTATCTCTGACTACCAATCCGCTTCCGATTCTGGGAAGAGAACAAGAACTCGATCTATACAAGACGTTGTTCGAGAAAGCGAAGAGATTGTCGTTGGAGCAATCTGAAGAGCGTTTCCAGAATATGCTAATCTTGCAAAGCGGAAATAGACAGGGGAAATCGAGGCTGCTAGAAGAAATAATCTACATCACCGATCCTGATGTTCCCCTCAATAAAATGTCGCTATGCGGATTCGACTACGAGGTATAGAACATTCATCGACACGGTTGGCTCTTCAGTTTTGTCACCTCTTTTTCCCATCAGGTCCCATATCGAACGATTCAATGGATATTCCAGAAATTCATAAATTGTAACGCGGAAACATCGGAAGAGGAAAAACAGAAGATAATAAGATCCCGGCTGATGAATCGCTCCACTCTGGAACCCTTTCTATGCTTCCTCAATCCAGTTTTCGACGTGAATTTTCCGCTATCCGACAACTACAATATGATGGACAGATCATTGAAATACGAAACGTTGCAATACATTTTCAGAATTTTGTGTCGCGACGTAAGTACCTATATACAGGGTGGGGCATAGGAAGCAAGTGTTTTTGGTTTGGGCAGTACTCGGCCATTAGGAAAGGGCCGGTCGTGCTGTTTTTTACAATCCAGTCCTCGACTCGAAGCATTTCACTTTCTCAGTTGCCACTTCCATCATGGAGCGGTTGACGCTAGAGCAACGCGTGTTCGTTAATGGTATTTTAAAAACACTTGATTCCTATCCCATACAAATATCCTAAACTTTTTCGATTAGGTAACTTCCTTGTTGACCACTTGGTATGTCATAACTGGAAAACTTTGAGAAGTTTCGAACAATGAATCTGGTACAGAAAGGGCGCATCTTTTGAACACTGCATTCCGATTAAAAATCGGTTGATTTGCAAAAAAGTTATCGCAATTAATAAAACGTCGAAAATTCGAGTGGTCCACTTGATAATTCTTTGAGCACTTTAAGTTAGTTAGTTAGTGTTAGGGATTAGGTGTGGTCGGTAGCTATTTGGCACTGGCAAAATCTTATTTGAGCAGTAGGACATATTACGTAAAAATTTCTAACGGTATATAAAATCCAATCTGGTGACTTCTGGAGTCCCCCAAGGGTCTCACATTGGTCCCATACTTTTCTTATTATTCATAAATGATGTTACTGATTTATTTCAGAATTCCATAGTATCAATTTATGCTGACGATCTCAAATTTCATAAAGAGGTAGCTGGTTTGAATAACTGCCAGATTATTCAACAATACTTTGTTTTGTTTTGTAACATTTGCGAACTGAATTTACTGGATGAAAATGTTCGAAAATGCAATTTGATGCATTTTTATATGATTCAAAATCCAATTGTATGCGATTATTTCATTTATAATATGAATTTGCAGTCGAATGATTATATACGTGATTAAGGTGTTATGTTTGACAAAGACCTTAGTTTCAATTATCACATGAATAGTATTTGCAATAAGGCCTTGGTAATGCTTGGATTTGTGAGAAGACATACTCAATATACACTCAATATTGAATTGATAAAAACATTATATCTATCGTTAGTACGGAGTGTTCTGGATTACAACAGTTTAATCTGGTCGCCACTTTATCTTGCTCACAAGGAAAGAATTGAAAGCGTCCAGAATCGTTTTACAAAAATTCATAATCTACAAAATGAGATTGTTTTTCAATAGATTCAATGCTACTACGAGGCTCACAATAGTGAACATTCGAACTCTTGATGTTTCTGCATAACATTTTTAATAACTCCATCGATTGCTCTGACATCCTGAAAAATTTGTTCCAAGTAATACAAGAAATAGACGATTATTCTACTTGTAAAATCACCGAACTAATTATGGCAGCACTGCATTCACATCTAAACTTCAGAAGAATTACAATGAGCATTTTTCTTCCCTTGATATTTTCAATATTTCACTGAGTCGGCTTAAATCACAAGCAAGCTTGCTGCGGTTTCAATTTGTACATACATAGTTTTATGTGTATTTTGTATCATGAGTGAAAGTACCTAACCGTTATACTTATTATTGTCCGTTCACTATATTTTTTATGATTTCAACATGTTTATGTTTTTTGGTACTTTATCCTTGTACCATTTGGAATTTTATTATATTCTGTGGTGTACTTTGGATAAATAAATAAAATGAGATATCGCTAGTCAAGGCATTTCTGGGCCAAGTTGTATACGTTCTCTGAACAGATTATTCGATCATTTTCGATAGGTTTTCGTAAGGTTCTGGGTGATTGTGATAGACGATTCCGAAAATGTCGACGATGAATCCTGGTTGCTCATCGATATTCTCTTGGACCTGAATCTGGTGTTCATAGTGGTGACGATGGGAAGCGAGAAATCCTTGTCCACCTTGGCCTTGGAAATTCTCAAAAAGGACAGGATCAAGTGCGTGGAATTGAAAAAAATCGACAAGTGGTACCACGTCGGTCTAGCATGTCAAATGTTGGATGTCGATGGTATACCGCCGGAATTGGAAAAGTAAGATGATCTTTAGACACGTATGCGTGTAATCGTATATTTATTTTTATTTTTGAGGACTATCCAGACTAAAAGTGGTGGAAATCCTGGATGGGTTGAGAGTTTTCTGGTTAGTTTGATGCAATCTGGAGGACTCTACATACACGAGATGACTAGAAAGACAGCTTACGAGACTGGAATCGTCATAGCTCCTCTATACATGACTATGAGGTGTAAAACTTTCAGAATAATTATTTGTTCGCTGAAATATCTATTTTTTAAGGTTGTCCAAAGAAGAGATGCGATTATGGGTACAAATTATGGAAGAGAGAAAGATATCTGCCGTAGAAGACAAAATGACAACAAGGTGGAAAATGTTCATTGACAGTTGCAGGGTAACTTCAATGAGGTACTCCAAGTGGAATTATCAGAAATTCTCGATTTGTTCTAGGAAAGTTATCCCGATCTGTCTGTAGCGAAAAAATTTGCAGAAAAAATGAAGAGCAGCGAAATCGTCAACATTTGTACCGTGTACAAAAACTTCAATTTGGAAGACGTGGATCCCGAATCGGCAATCGACGTCATCATTCTCAAAACTTTCGACGCCCTTACTTCATACGAACAACTTTTGTTGAAGTGCAGCGCCATACTGGGCGACATTTTTCCCAGAGACATGTTGCTTTACATAATGTCCTCTTCCGCGATCAGGATCACGGCGTTAGGTAAGTTTTCGACGGACGCTTCAGAACTCGGAAGTACATTTAAGTTTCAATTTTTTTCTCAGCTGTGCAGAAACTGTTCGAGATTCACGTGCTGAGTTGCGCCAAAGGAAACTTCATAGAAGGCGGTTTGAGTTTCAAAGAGAGACTGATCAATCCGAACGAAGATATGTCGGTTAAATGCGACTGTAAAGGCTTGATTATCGATGGTAACACACAACATATCTCCTCTTTTTCAGTTAACCAGTATTAAAAAAAATATCCTAACATGCTTCGATAACTAGGGCTGTTATGTCTCTGTTTGATTTGATTGATCGGTTTCAGAAAGTTGCACGGATTTGCCAAAATACGCTTCTTGTGGGTACTTGCGTTTTCGGTCGTCGGAATTTCGCGAGACCACATACAACCTGCTGACTGACAATCAGAAAAGGGAATTTCACGAAAGAGCCATCCGCTATCTGGAAAAGGAGACTCGCAGGTAGAGGTCCTAGCCTAGAGGAAAAAATATTAAACAGCTTACACTACTAAAATGTTGATGAAGTTTTTTGATCAAGAACTAGAAGAAGAAGAACTAAAAAATACTATGATATTCATTAGGATGGAAACAGGTTTTTTCGTATGTACTCATCTTATCTAGCAAATCCGTTCCTGACCCGGCCTGGCTACCGGCGTAGAGATAATGGAGCAAGTTTGACTTCAAGTATGGCCCCCTTATCCGATGAATCCGTCATCATCCGGCCTCTATACTGGCGTAGACATAAAAGAGCCTGATATTTCTCACACACACTTATTAAAGTTCACATTAAATATTGGATTTCAATCCAGATCAGGTGATTACAAAATTTTGAACTTGCACACACTATTCAGCTTGTTTGGTTATTTCAACTTTCATCACTCTCAAAATTTAACTGATTTCAACAATGTTATGGGTGAGCTGGCCAAGACAGTTCAAAACTCACTTGTTCTTATAGTTTGATTCGCCAAAGAAGTCCTGGGACGGTAAGGAGAGTATGAAGGAGCCTAGAGTATCTAAACAATTCGACTTTGCTGATGACCTTGATTTCATCAAGTCACGAACGACATACCTGACTGCACTTTTTTATTGATACCAACATTTCTAGCGGTTGAGATTCCTTTTTTAAATTGATGGTGTGTTGATGATCGCATCATTTATATTTTGCTCTGGGCTCACCTTCTTTCTTGCGGTCATCTTTTAGAAGCCAGTCCCATAAACTCGATTGTGTCTTATTACGGCACAAATAGAGTGATGTCATCAGAATTCAGTTAAATTGTGTAAACCTCGGTATTAACGTATAATTGAGGATTAGACTGAATTTTGTCGCTGGTGATTGAACTTACAACGTGCTACGATCTAATCGATTAGTAATAATTATGTCATTACATCAATGAATATCGAATCATCCCAACAGTTCACAGTTAGATCGATTCAAATTTTTTTAAAAATATTACCTTGATATTTCCTTAAGATAAAACAAAACGTACCAGCAAATTTGATAATAAATGCTAAATGACTATTATAGATTGTTTCGTTCATAAAACATAATATGTGGAACATTCATAAAATATAGTATTGTTCTGCAGCACGGATAATTTGCTGCGTCCTGTCTCTAGACGGTAGTGTGTCTGACAGTTTGACGTTACCATTACCAACTTTGAAAAACGAAATTCAGCGTGTCCTAATAAAAGCTGTTTCGATTCGCTTTTGGGTGTCATGATGAGTTCATTAAAGACGTAAAATAGAACAGATTCATACGATCTTTCGAACCACTTCATCATCAGATGCAGGGCATGCGGCAACGGCTACTTCGTCCGCCAAATGGGCGGCGGCAAGATCGACTACAGCCTGCGCTTCATGAAGCGCAAAGCCAAGAACCGCTCTGTCGTCACCGAAACGTCCAGCATGAACGAGAACTTCGGCGCGGCCAAGCTGCTGCAGCGCGCCAGCTTCGTCAGCTCGGAGAGCTTTCAATCGACGAGCAAGTCCAAGGACTTTTCCAGGCAAAGGGATACGTTTTCGTTGTTCAGCGCTGTTAGTAATGCCAACGCGGAACAAAACGCCAGCCTTCCGGATTCACGTAAGGACTAGTAGAATGCCTCGAACATAGATATATACCTCTCACCTACTTACTAATTTTTCATTTAGAACGACAATGGTTTGACTAAACACTAATTGAATATTAAATGGAAGTTTCCTTCTGGATATCCCAATATGTAAACCAAACTTTGATGGTTTTCAGATCACGTATTGACCAGCGGCCAAGAACTCGGTCTAACCACCATCCGTAAACTCAAAGATAACTTCAACTTGATACGTACCTTCTCTTCAACCGACTATACTCAGTGCACTTGTCTGTTGGTGCTCAACACCATGTATTCGCAGCTGATCGAACATTGCAAAGGGGCAGGTGAGTAGATATCTCTTCATTTAGAGTTGCAATAATCCAGAACCACTGAAAAAAAAAATAGTTTCCCCTCGTTACTAGGAGGTAGAGCAGAGAGAAATGAAGATACAACTATCAAAAGTCCACCACATATAAATGTATATCGATAGGATAAAAGACTTTTTTCTGTGACGGGAAAAAAGTTTGGCATTTCATCTCTGTTGGCAGGTTATAAAATGTCACTTTTCATAAATTACTTTTTTTCCTGTGGGAAAAAAGTGAGTACTTTTTTCCCGGATATATATCACATACATATACTCTGTTAATGGCTTTTTTTTGTGCTATAGTTCCGAAAAATGAGTCAATAATACCGTCTCCGAGAAAGAACTGCAAGTCCTTTTATCTTCCATTCGACTTCGCGGTTTCGTATATTACTAAACAACTACTTAATTCGCAATTTTTCAAAATCAAATCACGGAATTGAACTGACAGAAGTGACATCAGATATTTGATTACTTCAAAAGAATGATAAAGATGCCTATAAAACGCAGGTGTCCCTACTGTTGAAAACTTGAAATTTCACGTCGATAATTTTCGGATTTCGAAATAATGTGATATCTTCTCAATATTGATTCGTCCTTCCTTCTGTCACAAAAAAAATAGTGTATATACACGGGAAAAATATTAGATTTTAGCTCACGGTTTTTTGTCTCCCTCCGCTACGCGTCGGGAGACAACACAACCTGGAGCTAGAATCTACAACTTTTTTCCCTTGTATAATAAATAACTATTTTGGATTCAGTTACAACATCGCGAAAATTATTAATCAATAGCTTCAATACCCCCATACGAAATTTGAACGCAAAATCTCATACATGGTGTTAGATATTCAATGGCAAATTTAAATATTTTTGATTTTTCGATTCACCCTAATCTAAGAAAACGATATAACTGGTAAAGTAATCATTCAATGGAGAAAAACATCGAATACTGGCGGATACGAACTTTAATCGTTGTAACTTAGAAATATCTCTCTAAGTCTCAATGAAATTAAAGTTGAGGTTCACCATTTTGAAAACTCAAAGTAAACCGTTTTTCACATAGTTCACCACATAGTTACTTTGAAAATCATCTCGATTGGTAAAGAACTGTCGAATATATCACGAATAGAATGACAGACAATCACTATTCAAAGAACATTTCCTCGAATTAGTTACCATTATTCATATTTTCAGGAAAAAAGATACAACGATGAAACTTCATATGTGAGTATCCGATGTGTTCCTCTATTGACTGACTGCTTCATCGGTTATATCAACTCCTCAGATATTGATACAGAATGAATCGAAAAATAAAAAATATCAAAAATTTTACAATGAATAACCAACACCCTATATGAGATTTTGGGTTCAAATTTCGTATGGGCTATTCGAGTTCGTATTTTTTGTCTCGTGTCTTCACAAATATTACCGTAATAGGTATTTACGAATATTATTTTTTCTTTAGGTCTGGTAGAAAAAATTATGAACGCCACTGTGGAATACTCGTACGTGTGCATCGACTGTCAAAATATACCCCAGGCAATCAAAGTGCTCGAGGAAGCTTTGATACTTCTAGAGGTTTGAGTACTTTTAATATTAATATTAACCATTTTGCTAGATGTTGAGTATGAACCTTATTTTGTACTTTGACTGATGATGACCATTTGAATGGTCGAAACATGTCTCTAAAGTAAAAAGCACATTTGCCTGCACACATCGCCATTGAACTTGTGGAGACGACTTTGCATTTTTTCTCTTTGGTCTCCACTTCGAGCATGGACTACTTCAGAAGATAAACATAATATATTTTTTGGGGTAGTAAAGACAATCAATCGATCATTTTGATCAACTTTAGCTTCTTCCGTATATTCTGAGAAGTAACGATTGAATTTATCAATCAAAATTTGTATATCAATGAAGAAGAGAATGTAATGCAATAACTGAAATAAATAAATAAATAAAAATAAATTGATATTTATTTGTATATTTGCTCAACTAACTTCATACTTTTTGTATTCCACAAGTGCTTTTAATGGTGCAAACGCAGAATAATTATTTTCTTCAATTTCACGTAACCACATCTAAAGTTCGCAAGTAAAAACACGGAATTTATCTTCAAAAATTGATATATTTGAAACGTTTTATAATTATTTATTTCCCGGAACCTCGCAGTTGTTTATTCAATTTATTCGAGAACCATATTTTGCCTTTTGGTTCAAAACTATTGATCTATAGGAACAATTTTAACGTTTTCAGAATTATTTCAGGGACCGATGAAGGACCAGATAGAGCTGGAATGGATGGTAGCGCTGAAGCGGGGCAAACTTTTGGCCCTTCTAGGCCTAGCCCACATGCAAATGGACGACGACCAATGTCTGGACTACTACTTGAACGCCCTCAAGTGCTACGGCGTCAACTTCCCCAAGTCCAGGCTGTCCAAGTCCTTCCACAAGTGCCGATTCCGGTTCCGGAACGTGTTGCGTTACCTGTCCACCAACACTTCTTCGAGAAAAGTCGACGACGACATTGCCGAGTACTGCAACAACGTGTCAGAGTGTCTGTCGTTTCTCTGCAAGTTTTATATAGTGAGTGTTTTTCATCTGTGCTCTTCGAAATAGAATAGGTTTTTGTTTGGAAGTTGTTGATCCTTTTCTCCTAGGGATCTTTACTCGTAGCACCAAATTCCAGTTTTGTTAGTTCTTTGCACAGATGGCTCCAAAACCTAAGATGGAACTGGAGTAGGTGTCTATATGCCTCGTACCGACTAGTTTGAAACAAACAGCCTACCATCGCTGGCGCAAAAACCCTAACCTCGCGACTAGAGCAGAATACGTCGATGCCAGAAATAACTGCAGCCAAACAATAGATGCTTCGAAAGAAACATACAATGCCAAGATAAGATCGAAACTCATAGATTGTCCCAATAGTTCCCGTTCGTTTTGGTCCCTTGCTAAAGCGGTCGGAAGAAATTTCACTAATAGTTCATTTCCACCACTGTCCAAATCCGACGGCACATTAGCAACAACATCGCAGGAGAAAGCAAATATTTTTGCAGAGATGTTCGCAGCAAACTCTACTTTAGATTCCCAAGGAAAAGTGCCGCCGAACATTCCACCCGTTGAGAGTCGAATGCCCGAAATCGTCTTCCGTCAACGCACTATCAGAGGAATTTTGCTTGATCTCAAAACGAATAAGGCTAACGGTCCTGATGGAATTCCACCCATTATCCTCAAAAAATGTGCACCAGAATTAACACCGATTCTCTGCAAGTTGTTCACCGTCTCTTACAGGTCGGGTATTTTTCCATCATGCTGAAAGACAGCTAGAGTCCAACCAATCCCCAAAAAAGGGAACAAGAACCTGCCCAACAACTACAGGCCCATTGCCCTGTTATCAGTAATCTACAAAGTGATGGAGAAAGCCATCAATATTGAGCTTATCAAATATCTGGAGAGCTCGGGAATCATCAATGATAGACAATACGGCTTTCGCCACCGAAGATCTACTGGAGATCTACTTGCCTTCGTCACCCATTTATGGCAAGCTTCATTAGAAAAACACGGGGAATCTCTAGCTGTCGCGTTGGACATATCGAAAGCATTTGACCGGGTTTGGCACGAAGGACTCCTCCACAAACTACCATCATACGGCTTACCACCTCAGCTATGCCATCTGCGAGTTTTCTTTCAGGCAGATCGCTTCATGTGGTGGTGGACGGTGTATCGTCTGATACAATTGGCATTAATTCCGGCGTTCCACAAGGATCAATTTTGGCACCAACATTATTCCTTCTTCATATCAATGATCTGTTGGGAGTAACAACTTGCCCCATCCACAGCTTTGCAGATGATAGTACCCTCCATACTGCGTTCTCTTCCAGAATTCCCATTTCTTCCCAGGAAACTAAGAACCCACGGCGCAGGCAGGTCAATGCTGTCAATGAAGACCTTGCTGAAATCACAGCCTGGGCTGGGGAACCAACAACCTAGTTGAATTCAACGCCACCAAAACTCAAGCCTGTATTTTCTCTAGAAAGGCAGAACTCAGTATGCCCGACGTTGTAATGTCTGGCACCACCATCCCCACCAAGTCCACCATATCTATGCTCGGTATTTCCATCAGCAACACTCTTTCATGGGATAATCATGTGAGATCCATCGCAAAAGCTGCTTCACAAAAACTCGGATTCTTGTTCCGTGCGAAAAGCTACTTTACACCTCAACAGCTCCTCATGATCTACAAATCGCAGATACGGCCTGTTCTGGAATACTGTTCCCACATATAGGATTCAGCACCAAAACATACGCTGATGCTCTTAGATTCCATCCGCCTGGTGGGTGACGCCACACTCACTCACTCTTTGACATCATTGGAACACCGTAGAAAGGTCGGCGACCTTTCACTTTTCTATCGATACTTCCACGGGAAATGTTCTTCGGAAATCTCTGCTATCATCCCTTCACTAGCAATACCAGTCAGACGAACTAGACAAGCCCAGTCAGCACATCCTTTCGTTGTCAACCTCGAAAGATGTCGAACAGCACTTTATCAAAACTCCTTCATCCATAGAACGGCTAGGCTCTGGAATTCATTGCCTGTGGAAGTATTCCCAACAACATATAATCTCCAGAAGTTCAAAAAAAAATCCAATACCTACCTTCTATTCCTATCCTCCCTAGAAACGCACGATGTTCTTTGAACATTATAGGGATTCCCTTTCGTGCGCTTCGAGCGATAAAAAAAAAAGCCTTGGCAAACTCAAGAGCATATTCCAGGAGGATGTTGTAACGTATCGAAGCTCCATAACTAACCGGAGTGAGTTCCGATATCCTGACCCATTGTCGGCTGAACGGGAAAAAAATCAAGTTGCCTAGCCAAAAAAAAAAATCGAGTGGCCTAGGCGAGTACGAGGCTGAGCAGAAGCCCTCCGGCAAAGAAATCTGGATAGGTATTGATCTACAGAGTCTTCCATTCCCACTCATGAAGCAAGGTTTTCAAAGTCGCCAGTTATAATCAAGTTATCAAAAAGATTTTAGAGTCCTGTCATTGAATAAAACACGAGATAAAACATAATTGAGAATTTATGAATCATTGAACAACTAATATTTCTATATGGCAACTGTGCTATGGGTCTGACCCGACTTACAAAATCGTAATGTAAGTTTTTACTCGCGGTAAATTTCCAGCCGTTTGAAAATTACCGTGGCATTTTTCTTGATTTTAGCACCTTAAAATCGACCGAAAAATTCTAAAAATACATGAAATTGAAAGGTATTCGAGTGACTATTCCACACTCGGTTTCTAGAATCAATCAGAATCGGCAATTTTCACGGTTTCTTCTGATGTATTACCGCGATATTTTTTTGTTTACTAAATTTTATCGAATTTGCTCTACCAATACAGAAGCCGAATTGACCCACACGTGAGTGACCAACCTTCCTAACCTAACCTAACCTTACCTGACCAATCTTCTAGTTTTTCAGCGATACAATTTTGGACGTTTAATTGGAAGCCAGAATGATGGATGCAGTGTGCGCAACTCTCGCAAGCCGCTCGTTTATTGTCTCAATCATGGAATACTCATATGAATTCAAGTCGCGATTTTTTATTTTACTATTTTTTCTGAAAATATTCGTCATTTGACATAATCCAGCTTGCTGCTTTGATTTCGCTCTTGACATTGTTCCAAATATTCTCGCCTACGGCTCGAACGGCGAAGTTATTAGGCAACAAGCTGCCGTATCAATCGCCGAATATTTCCGACAAAATAGTATCACTTGTGGTATTACATATAAAAATTGTTTGATTTTTCTTATTCACCCAGAAAAAGCAAAAATGGGACGAGGCGGAATTGGCAGCCCTTTGGAGCTTATCCAAGGCTGTGGAGACAGAGACTGACTTCGAAAAACTGTGCATCGCCTACGCCAATCTCATATTCGTCTCTAGCAACATCGGATGCCACCAGAGATGCGTGGCCTTGGAAGTTTTCGCTTTGAGAACTTGCCACAAGAAGATCAGCTACGTGGAACTCGAAGAGTTGAAGGCCATATCTTTCTTGTATTTCACAATCAGCAGGGGAAGGTCCGTAAACACAGTCACGCCTTCTGTTTTCCTAATACAACGTTCATTATTCAAAATTAAAATTATTGTTTGATAGGTTGAGGAGGGCAGAGACAGAGAAATTCTTGCACATAGCTTACGTCGTATGGAGAGTGTCGACTTCCTCTCAAACCGAGCTGCACGTTTTCCGGATGCTACCCCTGCTGTCTTACATCGTTTTGCTTCGGAAGCAACTGCTCGAGTTCAGCAATATGCTGCAAGAAATCCAGTATTTGCTCGAAACTGACACTGATAATTCCCGTAAGAAAAAGTAGCTCTACGTTCTTAACCCTTTAGCGCCGAAATTATCGTTTTTCGAATTTATATTTCTTCATTTGTTCATAGCTATATTTCAATGTGGAAAACATTTAAATACTATATCCGAATCTTGGCTGCCGTTTTCTAAATATTCGAAAAATTGCCGTCCTCAATTGAGGATGCTGGGACAGGAAAATCAAGGAATGGAACCACAACATCTGAGATAATTCAGTAAGAAAGTCAATGTTTGTTCGATCGAGATTATACAACTGGAAGAATGAATGAATGAAAAAGCAGTATACCTACCAAACAACAAACTTCCACTTTTCCACCTAGAGCCAGACTTACAAGTCGAAAGATTCACAAGCAATGATGTTCACCTAATCTAGGTACAATGATACCATTTGCTGCAGCTGCAAAGAAATTTTTGATGGGCATTTGTTTTATACCCGTTCAAATACACTGTCCTCAAAATCGAAAGTGAACTTGAATGGGTTTGAAATGCAATTTTTCGAAGTTATTAGGATGTGCAGTGGGTTTGCTGACTGGGAAACTTTTCAGAAAAGGCTTGGTATTACGCTCTGTGCCTGGTGTGCCATTTGGAAACCGGACTACAAGCAGAGCCGTACTCCAAGTGCATGAAATTCCTGCAAGGAGAAGGCCTAGAACCGGCTATAAGGGACCCTGATGGCAAAACCCGTTTGATTATCTGCATTTGGCTTTGGTAAGATGCTGCGATTAGAATAACTTAATTACCAACGAGGAATATACTTTATCCCTATTGGCAACGCCGTAGTACATATTAACATATATTGTGCAAAGAACCATATATATATAGCGATCTGAATTTTCTAGTTTTTTGTACAATTGCCTCTGACAAAACCATTTCGCACTGAATATCAGGACTTATTACGAAAAATAGTGAGAACTAGTGCCTCGAACATCTCATTTTACGCTCTTTAAAGAATGTGGACATAATTGTCATATTGTGAAACAGCTGGAAAAACAACATGAGACACAAATTTGTTTGATAAGAGATGGAATGTCATTTTGTAACACCAAAGGCACATAATGCTCTTTGTTTAGTTATACGAAGACTTGGAATGTCGTCTCATCTTAGGCAACTCAAATAAATGTTAACCATAATTCTTGGAATTTTTGCGATTCGTTACAGAACAAGATATATTCGAAAACATTTTCGCGGGGACGAACTGACGTTTCAAATCTGAGAATAATGGCCGCACTCTTCAAAGGGCGTGAAATGAGATGTTTGCAGCACTCTAATGAGAACTACCGTTCAAATGCACAAACCACTTTTGTGGCAACACAGCAGTTTCGACATAGAGTACCAAGTCATACGAGAAAAGCGACGTTGTCAGACTTGTTGATTCAAATTTGACGGAAAATTATATTGTATGCGTTTTTTTTTCTAGGGAAATAAGAAATGAGAATTGGGAGGCTGCTACAGGGTGGCAAAAGATGGCATGGTCCTTCAGGATTTACGACATGGGAGAGTCCATCCAGAACCTGATTACTGGTCTCTATTTGCTAGAAGGGCTGCTCATCTATTTCGTCCACAAAATGGACAACAAGAACCTTAAGGAGATTGCGAAAGCGGACGCTAAGATTACGGTGCTTTTCAAGCTGTTCGAAAATGCCACAAAATACTGCAAAATTATCACCCCCAGGTCAGAAAAATAAACAGCGATTGTTTTTGTTACCCACGAAACATTGTTGTTTCAATTAACATTCATCATCTTCATTGTAATTTTTTTTGTAGATACGATTTTAGTTTTCAAAATGACTCAAATATAATATATTGAGTGTGCGGCCCAAATAAATCCCTGAAAATCCCTTTAAAAATCCGGTTAATGCACCCCAGACTAATATTTATTCCAACCGCCCGCTGTTTCAATAACGTATTTCTTATTAATAGATGAATACCCAAAGTCATCTCCAGAACATTTATTAGAATGATCAAAGATCAATCGTAACGGAACGTTTCGGGCTTATATAAGCCCATCATCAGCCAACAGAAGGTATCATAGTTATGGAAATGGAAAAAGTAGGCATACCAATAATATATAGTTAATACTAGGGCAAACAGGGAAATATGCTCTATGACTGTCTCTGTAAACTGGTATAAATGTATTATGTTATAACTTATTTGAACAGTTAAGGGTTGGGTTCATATTTCACAAGGGCCCATACGTGCCCTTGAATTACCGAAAGGTGACAGGAAACATAATTCGTTAAATTCGTTTCTAGGCAATGAATAGTACATGTGCTTAGACAAAAATATTTGAATTCGACCAAGAGTCGTTACGATTTATTTGGGCCGCACTGTACATAATATTTGAGAAGAAATGTCCGAGTACAAAAAATTAACTTTCCATCAAAGTTGTAAAAAAATATATGACACACGCTTTAGCGGGTTATATTGACGAGAAAAAAAAAGTTTCTTGAGACTCTATAGTATTGATCACTTGTTGTTTTCCAATCGCAGGTTATATCATATGAAGGCGTACTATAGGGTGGCCAAATTCAACGATTACAAGGGAGCCATCAGGCTCTTGAAAATCGGCCGCAAATACGCAGACTTGTATATGAACGACATGGAGACCACTTACATGAAACACAGCGAATTGGTAATAATAATTATTATACATATTAGTAGATTTTCCATTTATCGCAAGACGTCATGTAATACTTATCAAGTAGATTTTTTTAAATTTCTAGGCTTGGTGTAGAAAATTGACAAGAGAAGAAGCCGAATTTTGGAAAGACCATTGCGATGAAGATAACATGATTGATGTTCATGATGTCGATTTCGTTGAAAGATATGTACCCTACACTTTACCAGTACCTTTGTATATTTAATCAAATAAAAAACTGAAAAAATATTCTGTCATTTTCCAAACTTCTAAAATGACAGGCCAATACACTATACAGGTTGCTAGTATAAGGTGGCAATCGAAGTTTCGGTTTCAGGCCACTATTATCAATGTCCTAATATTTATCAAATGCGGACGTACAATTTCCATAATTATTTTATACGATTCTTGTTTTCAAAAAATACTACCCTGTCGCTTTTTGTGGTTTCTATTAATTATTAAGAACGAACCCACTAAAAATACATGTTCATATTTCGACTTATTTCAATGTCTTATATAGGCACTTCGTTTAGGAGAAAAATTACAAGCATGCCTCGGAACTCCAAAAGAAAAAAAATGCTCAGGAATGATACAAAAGTGTATCTCAAAACTGATCTCCAAAATGAGAACAAACTATTTCTGTTACCCACTTTATTGGATATACATTGGAAGGAAGGACGTATCCATTTCAGAGCAAATTTAATTAATTAAAAATTGGTATCAGGGGGTTTTCGGGGTCGATAATCATGATTATTTCGTCAAAATTTGAAAATTGAAGATGACGGATCCAATATATGGCAGACGAGTCTCGTAATTATGATGGTTCTATTTAAAATTGGTATCTGGGGGTTTTCGGGGTCGGAGATCATGATTTTTTCGTCAAAATTGGGAAATTCAATATGGGAAATCCAATATGGGAGATCCAATATGGCGGACCCAATATGGCTGACGAGTTTTGTAATCATGATCCCATTCTATTGAAAATCCGTATATATAGGGGTTTTTGTGGGGTCGGAAAGATTATGATTCTTTCGTCGAAATCGGGTAGTATGAATACAAAAATATAAAAAAACTATAAAACACGCTTTTGTAGTTAGACGAACTGAAAAATAGAAAATAAATGATAGTTTGAAAAACTGAGGAAACAAAAGAGAAATAGAAACTGATTTATTGAAATAAAATACACTGATGATTACGAATGTGTTAATATTTCCTATGTTGTGTTTTAATCAACACACTTTTGTTATTTTATTTTCTACTCATTTTCAGTTTGGCAATCTATAAAAGCGTGTTTCTTCAGTTCTTCAAAGTACTATTCATCTGATAATACCTATAAATATTTTTATTATTTCCAAATTGAATGAGTGAGTGAGTGTCCACAGCCATTGGTAACTTCGTTTATTATTGAAGATACAACATTGTTGAAGTTCTAACAGAAAAACTAAAAAAATATTTCGCCCACACTCGAAAACCCCATTTTTTTTTGTAATTCTTCCATCTTGAGCGTTACAAATTCAATGATAACCCTGTATATGTATGCAATTTTGATCAACATTAAACGGCAGCGACAAATGCAGTTCGGAAAGTAGGACATACAATACTTTCTTACCTCCTTTCAGCCTTACTACAAGTGGGGCACATACCCAGACTGAAAACGGCTCATCCACCATATTCCTGAAAAATACCACAAAAGTTTTCCATGATAGACGATCTAATAGAAAAAAACTGGTAAGTAGCTGATGTATGACGACGAATACCAGTTCAGAATAAAAACTTCTTGACCAGATGAGATCAAGTTTAATTTTCCCGCTCGTATTACATCGACCAGGTGTCTTGGATCAAGTTACCTTAGCCGAACGAGATCCACGATCCTCAGTTGTTTCGTGACCTTTCACTAAGGCGAGTAGAGTAGATCCATCATAATACGACGGATTTGTAAGAGATTCGAAACGATTTATAAAGAAGAAAAGTGCGGGTACAGTGCACTTGGCAAAGTGAGAAAAATAATTGGTTTTCTATCTTCACTTCTAGACAATGCTTCCCACGATGTATGTAGTAACTACTTACCTGGTATTTATAGGGACTGATGGTGATTGAGATGATAGATTATGAGGTTTTTCTGTTGTTAACACCGATATATCAATTTCATTATCGTCTTCAACAAATTATGATGTTCATAATAATTAGAAAACCACTGATGTAGCTATTAAGAGGATTAGAATACAATGTCTTCACTTTGACTTCCCATATTGGGATAGTTAGATCTAAGATCTAATAATGTATTATGTTTTTATTCGACGACAATATAATGTTTGTGCTGAATCTAGCATATAGAAATAATACCAACAAGTGAATAAATTTCTTGAAGGACAACCGCTTCGCAGAGATGATATCGATAATATTTGCATTTATTCATTAATTCAGATGTACTTTTTTTTATATGAAAACATCAACTGCTACAAGTTATTATTTGATGATAACTATCGTTTATTCGTAACAAATAGACAAATAATATAGAATATACTAGAGCTATTAATGATAAAAATGGGTCCTCTCAAAATATCTATCTAATAACCTCGCTAATAACTCATGGAAGCAGTTTATATTGTATGTTAGGTATATGAAATTCCTTGCCAAAGTAAGTATTCACAAGAATCTCAAAAAGTACATAAATAATAGCATTACCCACCTCCTTTCCCTATCAACCCTAGTTAATAGTAATAATAAGGATTCCCTTCAGTGCTATCCGAAAGATCAAGATGAATGTTAAAGGTGTGATTTTAATCACAGGGTATATTGGTAGATGACAATAAAAACCACTACACATCTTTCCAAATGGGACACCCAGTATATTATAATAATATATTTGAGTACGTCAGAGGTCATCATTTAGTTCGAAGCGTCTTTTTTGTCACACTCAATAGAAAAACAAAACATTTGAAATAAAGAAGCTATATTGATTGAAGAAAAAAATGTCAATCAAAGAATTTCTGATTTTTCCTTTTTTTTTTTCATATAGGTAGGTCCACTTCCACTAACAGATATCAACACTCAAAATATAAGAATATTGATATTTATATATTATTCGAGATATTATTGCACTATGTTTCAATATTTCAAATCTGCTGGAAATTCGGTGGATTTGTTTAGTAACAATACAAATTGAAAGTATAGTATTCATCATCAATTGACTCAACTGCTACTTTGATTTGACTATCATGAATATTCCCGTAAGAGAGCCCGGAAATATAGTAGTTGTAGTCCAAGGAAGACAGTATAGTAAAAATTGAGAAAATTTTGTCAGTACGTCCCTGGCCTAGAGTTTCTGATCAAACACACAAGCCCGCCGAGCGGTTTTTATGAATGAAATTCGGCAATCCGTTAGGTCGTTAGCTTTATTTGCCGCCATTGACGAGCGCAGTGAAATTGTGAAATTCTTCTTAGACATGCCCTTGGGCAACACTTTGAATGGTGCAACTGAGGTGCAACCATTTCCAACATTTAATTTCATTGATTTGAAGATTTTACGGATACCTACAGAAGTTAAGTTCCGAAAGCGGAAATATAAAGATTAGCTGACTTAATGATTACCTAGGTATATATACTATGATCATTTGGAAATATTATAAGAAATCCGAAAATTAGGACACTAATAATCGAATAATCATCAGCTAAGGTATATACCCTGAAAAAAAAAAAAGATGGTAGTTATTACCAAACGTTTAGTAAAATAGGCGCCAGTCACAACTTTCATCAAATGATACCACTACAACATTATGTAATACTAAACTATATGAGTATTATACTATTTTGTAGTGGTAATATTTGATATAGTATAGTATTATATAATGTTTTAGTGGTATCATTTGATGAAAGTTGTGACTGGCGCCTATTTTACTAAACGTTTGGTAATAATAACTACCATCTTTTTTTTTCAGTGTAGACTTCTTTTACTTCTGTTTGTGATAGTTTCGAAAATACACCAATTCAGACATTTCAAAATATGTTTTGGGATCTTTCAGACGATAATAAAAGATAAATAGCAATTATTTATGTTAGGCATATTTGAAAAAAAATACATACCTAAATTAGGAGAAGACTCAGGACTCACGTTTCATTTTGCTATTTTTGTGGATAGATCTTAATTTGTTACTTTTTCAGGTGCTACTCCCGAGTATTTGCGACTTTCATGGTAATGGAAATGATAGTGGTTTCATCAGAAAGAGAACATAAGGTGAGGACAGCAACAATGTCTGATGTCAATACTTATGATTTTGATGTTTTGATTCATCATTTTATACATTCATCATATCTTTCTCTGACTACATACTCATTGGTAGGTATGAAAAAGTATATTGTTTGACTTAACGAGCACGGAATGTAGTAATTTCCCACGAGAAATGTCATTTTCCTTCATTATTAAACTTGGAAATTCCGACTACAAAATCGAAATTTTGTTTTTGAAGTTGAGAATTTCATACCAGTCATTTTCAACCAATCAGATGCTTTATTTCAACATTGTAATTACTATGGTAACCAGCAAATGCGAACTCGCCATGGATTAGGGGGGGGGGGAGATCCTATGGGCCCGTCCCTGGACAGAGTTATTAACTTGAAATTTTACATTTCATGGGAGATGACTGAGATGAGATTTTGTGAAATAATAACACAATAAAGTCATTGTGGAAGAATGGTAGGACTAATACTGGCTAATATACCTATATAGCCATCTTAGGTAGAATAAATAGCACTAAAAACACAACAGCATTGGAAGGAACGTAAAGATGTACTAAATTGAGTGACTCCATTTTTCTAAGAAAGGGTTGAATTTGATGGTGATGCTGGGTTCATAGATTCAACTAACTATGAATTAAACTAACAACTATGAACTTGAAAAGACTGTGAGTCTACTTTCATGAATTTGAAACGAAAAAATTCAATATTATAATTACCTGAAGGCAAAAAGTTTTCACTAGTAAATATTTCACACACTGAAAATCATTTTTTGTAAATTCTAGAAATTCGAAAACAAAAAATTCTGAAGAACTCTGAACTCAAACGGTGTCTTGATTTTGAATTTCAGTTTCTGTCAAGGTCAAGCTCCTGGAGTGTCAATTGTCACTTGTCAGATCCTTTGAACCCTGAAAGGAACAAGTCGAGTCGCTCGAGCACAGAAAATCTTCTTCTCTATTTTATGGTTTTTCGGTTTTTGGTATGAAACTTTAGAATTTTGAAAGAAGTGAAGGAATTTCAAAATTGTAAAGTTGTTAAGAGCCGATTGAAGATTCAAGCTACCCTTGATCTTGCTGCACCTGTTGTCTATTTTGAATATTGTAGTGTAGTATCCACAATTTGAGCTCATAATTTCAGGTCCACAATATAGTCCTGTATCCAGAAAAGCACTCCTGGTGTCAAGTGACTCCTATTCAGCAGATAATCACTTCTCCAGGCTTTGATTCTGTCACCATAGACAACAATGTATGTGTGGGGGCATGCTACAGCTACTCCATTCCCAAAACACAGCCAGCGGAGCCCGGGGAGCTAATAGGCCCCTATTGTGATAGCTGCCAGCCGTCCAAAATAGATTGCTACCATGTGAACCTTCTACAAGATGACAATGCTATAGAAGGCCCCAAGATTTTACAGAAACGTGTTCAAATCATCAGCAACTGCTCCTGTCAAAGCTGTGACAAAGTCAGGTAAGTTTGTATTTGTATCTTAAAAGGAACAACTGGAGTTTTCAGAATTTTTAGGACAGAGGATTGCGAAATTTCCGATGAGAATACTTTAGAGCTGCCTAGGAATCTATTTACTAATCAAGAGGGGAGTTATAAACTTCAGCAAGGAAATGATGAGCTGCCGGACATTTTGGAAACAAACAGCAGCAAAACCAACACACAAACTCAAAACTACAAGACTTGGGCCCTGACTCATCATGAGGATGTTGAAAGCTTGTTCAGACTGTTCTTGGAACAAAACAGGGAAAACAATGCTGAAATAGAAGAAAACATGGGAAACAAACCAAAATCCTCATCTGATAGTAAGAAACAGTTTCTAACCTAAAACCTACTTTCTTTTAATTTTTTGATGATATTCTAGGTGTTTTGGACCCTATTTCATTGTACCACAGCTACCTTCTGGATCAAAATGAGAAAAATAATGCCAAGATTGAGCAGGATTTGAAGAGTAAGCCTGTTGGTTATGGTTTAGAGGGCGCCCCTAGCGGCCATAAGGGGAACCACGTGGCCATGGGGTTGGGTCATGATGAGAAAACCATGGATGGTGTTGAGGAGGTGATTGGGGATGGTCAGGAACAGAAAATGGAGGAGCATCACCCTTTGAATCACCACCACCACCTCCATAATCATCATTTAGGTGATGTGGAGTATAAAGGTACCGTTTTACCAAATTTTCCAACTTGATTATGGGTATTATATGGTTCTGTGTTGGTTTTGTTACTAACTCCACTCAATTTTATTGGTTGAAAATAAATATATGGACATAAAATGTCAAACTTTGGTAAAATTGATAATTATATTGTTAAAAAATTATAAGAATTGAAGAATGATTTTCTAGGAACTAGCATATTGCATCTGGTGAATGGTCCTCATGGTAGCATGGTGGCAGCTCCAGTGAAAACAAAACTGCATATTGATTCTGATGAGTTGAAGCCCAACAGTGAAGGGGTTGTCATTGAATATGAAAATCCCCACAAGGGCTCTGATGGAACAGTTGCCGAACTGTTTGAACATTGAGGAATTGTGCCAAGTTGATTTTCTCAATGTCAATCTGTTCTTCAAACTTCGGAAATATGGAATGACATTGAGAAAGTTCTTATAGAATCTAGTCTGAAATGTTTTTTCTGATATGTTTTATTCGCCTATTATGTTCATTTCAAAATCAAGTTACCCACCAATAAAGTGTATACACATAATATATACACCAGAGAGCTTCTGTCAGATTCTCAAGAAAAAAATGATATAAAACACTCAAGAACTGCATGATGAATATGTCAAGTTTCTTAAAATTTCTCTAATTATTCACCCAAACAGGGTCAATTAAAAATAGAAAGAACTATATATCATATATAAGATATCCATTAGATTGAACAGAGTTTCCTCAATTGTCAGCGAAAGTACTGTTTCGGTCCACCAAACATCATCAGTTGCTCTCGGTCTGCTGGCAATTGGGCAAAATTTTAACATCACCTAATTTAAGCATTGGGAGCAATGCAACTCATTCGTTGCTGGTGGGGATGCATATTTTCAAATGAAAGCAATACAGAGTCACATAAAACATGAATAAATGCGTATTTCACACCATAAAAATTTCCGAGGGAAAGCCATGAATCACGCGGATATCAACTCAATTCACAATTGTCTTATTAATGTGGCATAGGTACTTGATTTTTTCCCTATTTTTTCGTCAAATTTTCAAGATGAAATTTTGTGTTGGTAAGAAAACTCAAGAATAATCTAATATTTTGGGAATATTCGTCAGACTGTATCATATTTTGTTGAATGATGTTAATATACATAATATCTCTTTGTTTCAAAATCTCTTTGTAATAGGTGGATAGAGAAGGAAAGTTTATATTCTTTGAACAAAAACAAGAAAAATAGAAACATTTTCGCAAATTATAGTACCTATAAGTGGAAAGCAAGTTTGAATTGGTAGATTGTCAAGCCACTTTCTACACATATTATAGTGTCATATTAAATTATGTTGAAATCATATACGTAATGAAATAGTGCATAATTACTAATTTTAAAATAATCTCTTTCATATGCATATATACCTACAAGATTATACAGAGTGGTTGGGATATATTGCAGCAAACTGAAATGTGAACTAGGTGTGAGATGCATTGAGATTGATTGCTTTTTTCCATTGGTGGTTTTCGAAATTTTGAAGTTTTATTAGTTATAAGTAAGAAGCTATACCTAGATGCCATAATGGTCAAATCTATCCTAGGAATCCTTTCAGTTGTATGCGCTATATATATATAGTATACACTCTGTAGTCTGTACTTATATAGGTAGGTATTCATCTTTTTACCTGAATTTTCGCATACAGCTCAAGCTCAGTTTTGGTTTATTCTCCGTTTATAACATAAATGAAATTAATCTCCAGATTAGGTACCTAATAATCTATTTATGTTATCAGTATATTATTTTATGTTCTTGTTATATAGGTATCTACCTACGTCTTTATATATTGTTTTCTGAGTTCTAATTGTGATACCAAGACATTCATATAACATATATTATATGCAAGTATAGGTACTTCTAAATTATCTTGCAGAGGCTGTGTGTCTACTTTAGTCAAAACACTTATCATTCTTTTTTATATTCTTGTTACTTTGATTGTAATTTATCACGTTCCATGTTTTTCTTTTGTATTATAAAATAATTATTATAAATAATATATTCTTTGAACGGTTATTGGTTTCTCTTTGCTCAACAGGCACCATGAACCAGGAAGTCGCTCTTTTCCGCGTGATTAATTTGAATTTACCGCCTCTGCCAGAATCGGTGTGATTGATTGAAAACCTCGTTTATAGAATACTATGCAACCAAGAATACATTCGTATATCTTTAACGTGGGTGGAAAAGAAACGCCACATCAAAATAATGGTACGTGGCACTTCATTATTGTTTTGCTCCGTATATTGGTAGTCTATGGGCATCAGTTGTCAGTTGTGTCCGTCGTGACTCGGCTATTTTTATAATGTGTTGTTTTTGCACGCGGCACGGATTATTCGTTGCGCACTGTCTTTTTTGTGTCCTGTCTCTAGATGCGTTAATTCAGGTAGTATTGAATTCGTGCAATCAGAGCAAGTGTCATGGTTAGATGACACTGCTGTCACTCTCACCTGTCACGTAGTTGGGTAGTGTTCCGTTTCGGGTTTCGACTGTTTCGAGCAGCGTTGCCAGACCTAGTACTTTCGTACTAGATCCAGTACCTTTTCACTGTCTAGTACGCCGATTGCAAAATTCGACTTGACTTGACCGATATATAAAATTGAGTTCATTTTCTTTATCTGGTCAACTTATTATCGATAAGACAAGACTTGATATTAGAATAAAAACAACGGAAATAAATGTGACATTCCTACCCCCTCTAAAATAATGACAGTTCACTGAAGCCACTACACTTACACTACACACTACACTACCTTTTGATAGTCAGTCAATAGTAAATATCAATTTCGGCACAATATTGAGTGGAATATTTGGAATGAAAAGTATGACTACTCACAAGAATCTGTCAGTTTCAGTGATTTCGGAATGAAAATCCAGCAGATTCATTGTTGAATTCGGAAAATAGCCCATATTACGTGACAATATTATTTATTGTCATTTGTCAATTTTCTTCCTGCTGCTCAAAGTTATCATTATGAATAAAAATGAATGACAGAATGACGAAACTGTTTTGAGTGAATGAAAATCCAAACTAGTACTTTTTTCGGTGATGTTTAAGTACATTTTGAGTTGCTGGGACGGCAACTCGGCAACGCTGGTTTCGACTTCGTGCTTTTCGCCGACACTGTTTCGCCAATTTGCCTTTGCCTTTTCGATATAAGAAGTGAAGTGCGGACTGTGGTCGAATTTGCAAATTTTTGGGTGTGATTTCATGTTCAACTGCTGCTGGTGAAATTATTCAATCTCACTAATATTTAATTAAAATCATAACCACCTACTCCAGTACTCCATGCCACGCTCGAAAATTCGGTTGAAGGTTTGAGTTGCTGCCTGGAATCCAGAATTCGACAAATCGATTGATCATCATCTGCCTGATTTGTAGATCTATTTCCTGCACTGCTCGAAAATGAAGATAATTAAAATGTTAACAATATTTTATATTGTTAGAAGCTCCGAGACAGACGATAAAATTCAGATTTTCATTTAAATCAAAGTGAAAAGTGAGGTTATTCATTTCCAGTTTTTACGAGAATTCTGTGACATTTTTGTGCAATAGACTGAAAAATACCAGCTGACTCACCTCCCAACGTCATAAATGAATTGAATACCTACTTATTTTTAGAGAATTTTGTGTTTTAATTGGATATATTCTTGGGGCCCTTTATTATACCACTAGGTGTGCTCACATTCAACTATTATGTATACTAGCAATTATAACCCATATATTAGGGTATTTCACTTCGTCACTTTGAACAAACTCTCTGGTATCTGCACTAATAAGATGCACAATGTTGAATCAGCATTTGTAACATCCAGCATTGGTTATCGAGCAAAGAATGATCCTGGAGACTGACATAGATTGCAGAGGAGCCTTTACTATGGATTTCTGACGTTTACTTGATATACTTTATGCCCAGGCTAATTTGAACTCAATATAAAAGTAAGTACCCATAGAAAATCAAGTAGAAAATTTCATAAAACCTGAAATTCATTTATCCACTGGAATTCTTTGGAAACTAGAATCTTGTTAGCAGAAGTTCAAATTCATTCCAGTTGATTTTGAGTTGTTCTAGTGTGAGTGTTCTACATTCAGATACAAAATAATTAACCTCTTTAAACCAATTGACCTTGTTTATAATATATCACTGCTGGTCTGGAGTTTGGTGACTCAAAGATGATCATAGACTTATGGAAGCAATTCACCATTCCCAAAGAACAAGAATATAAGCTTTCAATTATCACTAATAAAAATAAGCTAATATGCATAGATCTAAAATATGTATAATGTATAATCCTTTTCCAGACTTAATGAGGTCTTGGAAATGACATGAATTGCAGAAATGTAATTCTATATGTATATATTTGTTTTGATAATAAAGAGGAAATTTATTTTATATTATTCAAGCTCACTTCTATGTTATTGAAAATGTGAGACTTATTGTTATTACTGTCCTTTTTTTCAATAACAATAATGTTCTCAGTTATCACATCCCTTCCAGGTGGAAAGAAACTGGAATAAAAAGAAGAATTTCCTCCAAGTTTTCCAGGAAGAAAAGAAGGTATAGAAGAAGGTGTAGTGCAAAGACTAGAGTGACAGGAAAAACATTTTATGGTGTTGACTTGATATTTTCATTATTTAGGTGTTTACTTTTATCAGACACTAAATTCTTGATAGTGCTCTGGTATTGAATAGTGCTCACTATGGGTACTGAGACTGTTTTTTCTAATTTTCTTCATCCAGACAGAGAAGATGATGTCCTGAAAAATCGAGAGCAGATTGAAGTTCTTCTAAAAGGTAAGAGTAGAGTATCTTAATGTACTTGACACTTGTGTTTTGTATATTTAAATATACAAAAACTTCATAACAAAATCGTCTAGTATATTGAGGAAGATAAGAGTAACTGGCAAGTTAATGGTCCTTATTGGATTACAAGCAACCATGTACAGTGTGTTCAAGTATGGTAACATATATTATCAAAAAAAAATCCATTTCTTTTGATAGAAGCTGACATTTTACATAATTAATTCATTATTTATGTGTGCATACTATTCATTCTGTATTTACTCCAGTTAAAGCTCAATTTGATAATTATAATTTTTTTTTAATGCAAAGTTCAAAGAAGTCAAATTACTAACATGTTTTCAAGCATTAAACTAATACTGTAATGGAAACCATGTTGGTATTGTTAGTATAATATTCTTTTGATTCACATTGAATTATCTTTATTGGCATATGTATGTAGTAAAAATATGATACTTATCTCTGTGTAAGTAGATATGATTTTAATCAAGTTAACTCAAAACATTTGAATATTGTGTGAGTACAGAAAGGCTAAGTGAAACTGATAAAAGATGAAAGTATTTTTTTGTTATCTGCATTCATTTTATCAAAGTTCTCAACAGTCAGGTTATTGTTTCAATTTCTCATTTTTGCACTTCAGTTTGAGAGTATTTGAAAGTGCTACCTTCTTTCCCATTTTAAATCCCTTGATAAATTTGTATAACTCATCAACCTGAAAAATATGGTATCTCTTTGGTAGCATCTTCCAAGAAAGTATAAATAGTATCCACTTATCCAGTCATTTGGTGTGAGTATATTTAAAATATTGAATTAGTAAATTCTTGAACTGCATTCTTATTTATAGGAATTTATACACTATTAGTAATAGTGATTAGTTTTCTGGTGAAATAACCTTACAACCTACAGTATATATCACACAATTATAATAGCATCATCAGCAAGTACCTACTTAGTTCCTAATAAGATGTATTAGTATTGTTTTTCCATAAATTCACATGCCTGATGTTTATATCATTTTATAATTGTTGTATACCATTACCACCAAAACTCAAGCCTGTATTTTCTCTTGAAAAGCGGAACTTAAGGCCTCGGCAGCTTCTCATACTCATACTGTTCTCACATATGGGGTTCAGCACCCAAACATATGCTATAAGATTCCATCCAGAAAAGAGCCATTCATATCAAATGTTCAAACCATATGAGCTACTCTTTCATTAATGATTTAGATTTCTGATATCTAACTTGATTTATTAATCTCATTGAAATAAATTGAATGATAGTACTTTCTAAAATTATTAGACGATTTGTAGGTCAAATGACCAATAGTTCAGTCATGTCATTTGTGTAGGGGCCAAAGCTGATGCATTCACAATGTTTCTCAACAAAGGGGAGGAAGATGAGATGGAGCTCATCTGCTTCAAGAGGTGCAAACTGAAAGCTATCCTAACCTACATTTTTTTTGGCTTAACTCTGGGCATCCTAAGACTTGTCTTCCACTGGGTCCCACATTTATACTTGTATGCTACATCTAACAAGTGCAAAGTTGAGGAAGCTGAAATGGTGATGATAACCGAAATTTTCAATAGCAAACATAAAATTTTCCATGTCAGACCACTAGAAGTACTTACACCAGAGAGTGTGGCAAAGCTGAAACTTGAAGAAAACCAGCAGAATCATATCCAAATATCTGCTTCTGAAGAGGCACCAACCCTGTCGGTGCATTTCGAAAATGGTGAATTTAGAAATTTGGAAAAGTAAGATTTTTTTCAAACTCAATACTGTTATTCATCTATGATTGTAAGATTTTCCAAAAACAATATTGTTTTCTTCAAATTGTTCAAGTTGTTGTAATTTTAGGCTGCAAATGTTCTCTTGCAAGAAAGTCACATATATATGGGATAGCAGGAAACAAGAGTTTATGAAACTCTCTGGATTGGAGAACGGAGTTTCTTGTGAAGTTTTTCATCGATACAAAGGGCTCACTTCTAATGAACAATTCATGAGGTTAGTCAATATTATTTTAAATTCTAGACTTGTTTTCTGAAGGTACTGTTAAACAGAACTTGTGAAAAGTTGTAAATTATATGATATTTATTTATTTATTTATTTATTTATTTACGAATAGGAATACAAACGGGACTAACCCAAAAGCAGTATTCACAGATATGTCATATCTCATCATACAGATATATTAAAACTAAACAAATCGAATATCAGTTACAAAGTTGATGAAAATCAATAATTGGAGTAATTATAAATGATTGAGTATAGGTACAACATGTAGTGATTGTAGTGTGTTGATACAAACAAGGGTGAAATAATTTTATTCAGTACATATTAAAACGTTAAAATATATCAAAATCAAGTAGGTGAAGCAAGGAAATGTTTTTTCAAAATGTAAGAAAATTTGGAAAGTGAGTAAGAGAAAATATCAATATCCATAGAATTCGACAGAGCGTTGTATAATATTTTGCATCTATGCATTGGAGAGTTCAAAAAATAATTTGTTTGAGATTGTTCGTTCGGGAAATTAATAAAAAACAATATATCTTGTTATAAAAATATGTATCTTCCTAACTGCAGCTACTTCTTGACTTATATTAATTTGAAAATAATTCTGTTCTAATAGACATATCCACCAATGTATTTGGATAATGTATGATTAGCTGTGAGTCATTTTGGTTTTATCTATTTGAAAAGGAAAAGTCAATCAATAATTCCAGAGATCAGAGCACTCCCAGGTGTACTGGAATGGAAAAGTGTATCAAATATTGAATTATTTTTTATATGTTTTGTCTAATGTTTGGTGTAAAATTATTTGTAGATTATTGGTATATGGTCCAAATGTGATTGAGGTGAGAGAGCAATCCATATTGACCTTGATATGTTTGGAAGTGCTCAACCCGTTCTACATTTTCCAAATTTTGAGTTTCACCCTTTGGATAGTCGACGACTATTACTACTATGCCGGAACAATAATGGCCATGTCCATATTCGGTATAGCCATGTCAGTCAGGCAAACAAGAAAGGTAATTAACAAAAAAAAATCATCTAGTTGAAATCTGTCTGTTTCAATAATTTTGACAAATAAACGAGTATTATTATTTTTCTGTACCGGGAAAAAAAGTTCATTGACAGATTACAAAGTGTCACTTCTCATAAAATTACCTTTTTCCCGGATATATGTATATACACTGTTGATGGTTTTTGTTGCTGTGCCAGTTCTGAATAATAACCAATAACACTATCTCCGAAAAAGTCCTTTTTTCTGCAACCGACACAAAAGTCGTCCATTTTGATACCAAAATTAGCTCTTATATTGACGTTTCTATTACTGACACAAAAATAGGTATGTTGCTAGGCAACATATTTAGTTCCTAGGAGCTAAAGTTCAACTTTAGCTCCTAGGAGCAAATTTTGCTTTCGCTCGGCTTCGCTAAACGCTCCGCCTCGCAAATGCAAAATTCGCTTGTCAAACAAAGTGTCACTTTTGATCCTAATAAAACAATCTACTATTTATCTTTCATTCCCCTTTGCGGTTTCATAAATTACTAAACAGTTTGCATTTTTTTTTAAATCCAATCACAGAATTAAATTGACAGATATCTGCTTACTTCAAAGGGTTTCCATTGCAACAAAGATGCCTGCAACACAGGTCTAATTGTCGGTTATAATTGCACAAGTGCATAAAAATTACCGATAATTTTACAAGAAACCATGTTATCTGAAAATTACAACAGTTTATTTTCATAATTTGGTGAAAAATGCAATTTGTATAGGATAATACAATTGAATGCAAAATTATCTGGTAATTTTAATGCACGAATGTAATTTATTGGAATATTTTAGGAATAAAGAAATTCTCGAAGAAATTCTGTTTTTTTTTCTGTATGGAACACCGAGTGGAACAATCACCAAATCGCGAATTTTTTTTTTACTGTTTGAAGTCTATCTGACATTTATTTGTATTGTTTTGTGGCGTCTAGCCACACGGTTTCAAATGTGTTGTTATGGCGACGGGATGTTTTCGCAGTGCAATCTTCGCTCTGCAGTGCAATTACCGCTGTAATTTTTCGATAATTGCATTGCTCTTATGAGACATTTTATACAGAGTGTCCCAGAAAGGTCTGTACAAAATTTCAACACATATTCCTGAGGTCAAAATGAGCCAATTTAAAGCAACTTACCTCAGTCCGAAATTGCTCCGTTACCGAGATACCGGGTGGTAATGTTAATGAATAAGTGTATTACTTCAGAAATTAATATTTGGGAGTTAATTGGGATGCATAACACGAATAGAGACATATCACTGTGGCCCTTAGAGGGTGCTTACCAATGCACTTCTTATGGTTTAGAATGGCCATAACTTTTTTCTCAGTGTAGTTTCTTCCTTTACTCGTTGAGGACATGGTTTTCTGAGCTATTTTAAGCAAAAAGGGCACTCTTATGATAATCCGCTAAAGTAAGCCAATTTAGAGATATCTTGGTTTTTAATATTCAATGCAGTATCGGAATATTTGAATTGTTTTGAATAAAAAATGTTTGTTGTTATCTTCTTGGATGTAATTTGGTCAGAGAATTAGCAGTGCAAAACTTGATTTTTCTAAATACTTTCTTGGAGTGTACTTGCCGATTTTTATTTGTTATCTTCACCACCCTGTATCTCAGAAACATATGAAGACATTTTGTATAGACCTTGTAGAGACACCCTATGGATATGAGAGAAATATTCTCTATAAGTGCACCAGCCTACGAGTTGAAAACTTCTAATTTCACATCGATAATTTTCTGATTTTACAGAAAAAAATAGTGTATTATACACGGGAAAAATATTACTACTTCCCTTGTATAATAAACAACTATTTTTCTGTGACGGGAAGGTTATAAAATGTCACTTTTCACAAATTACTTTTTTCCCATGAGAAAAAAGTGAGTACTTTTTTCCCGGATATATATCACATACTGTTGATGGCTTTTGTTGTGCTATAGTTCCGAAAAATGAGTCAATAATACCGTCTCCGAGAAAGAACTGCAAGTCCTTTTATCTTCCATTCGACTTCTCGGTTACGTATATTACTAAACAACCACTAAATTCGCAATTTTTCAAAATAAAATCACAGAATTAGACTGACAGAAGTGACATCAGATATTTGATTACTTCAAAAGAATGATAAAGATGCCTACAACGCAGCTGTCCACTATTATTTCCAAATAATGTAATATCTTCTCAATATTGATTCGTACTTTCTTCTGTCACAGAAAAAAATAGTGAATTATACACGCGAAAAATATTAGATTTTAGCTCACGGTTTTTTGTCTCCCTCCGCTACGCGTCGGAGACAACACAACCTGGAGCTAAAATCTACTACTTTTTTTCCCTTGTATAATAAACAACTATTCATTATTTTTTGTAGAATCAAAGGAATTTGAAATCGACCATTCACAGTAGCGACGTTTGCACGGTGTTGAGGTCTCTTCCCAAAAATTCCTTTGAAGGTGGTGGAGATGTCGGTTATCGAACGGAAACCATTTCCACCGAATTTCTGGTACCTGGTGACATAATGGAAATTCCCTCTCACGGCTGCACCATGCATTGCGATGCCGTTCTGCTCACCGGAAATTGCATCCTCAACGAGTCCATGTTGACAGGTCAGCGAAAATTTCCTCGTACGGTACGATGATGATGAGTTTTGAATTTTTGCAGGTGAATCAGTTCCGGTAACGAAAACCGCGCTAACGAATATGCCTGGGGTAGTTTATGACCCCAAAGAGCACGGGCGTCATACTTTGTTTTGTGGGACGCATGTAATCCAAACGAGATATTTCGGAAACGAAAAAGTATTGGCTGTCATTGTCAGAACTGGATTTTCCACTGCCAAAGGTGAGAATAATTGATTTCTGAAGATTTTCATGCCAAAGTTTGGTTGATTTTTTTATGATTGAATAATTTATAGGCAGTTTGGTACGGAGCATTTTGTACCCTCCTCCAGTCGATTTTCGGTTTGAGAAAGATTCCTACAGATTTGTGGGAATGTTGGGCCTCATAGCTGGATGTGGATTTTTGTATACTGTTGTAACCAAGGTTGGTTTCATTTCATACGTCATACATTTTCTTTTCCTTCATAATTACCTCCAATATCTTGAGAACATTTGCTTGCAAAATTATCATAACCAAAATGATCTCAGAAAGTCTATGAAAATTATCTTCTCTGAGGTATTTTCTGTTATGATTTTGGTTTGAAAATCTGCAGAAAACATCAAGCCATTAATATATTTGGATTTTTATGGGATTATTACCTTTTTGTACTTATTTTGTATACGAAATTTGTATGGAAATTTGAAAAGATCATTTGAGACTTTTTCACACTAATGAAAAACAATCATTGTCGCATTAGGGAAGAAGATTCTTCACACTTTTGTTATATTTTTAGGTGATGAGGGGAATAAGTGCTGGTGAGTTGCTTGTGGAAGCTTTGGATTTGATAACTATCACGGTACCACCTGCTCTACCAGCTGCCATGACAGTAGGTCGGTTTTATGCCCAAATCCGGCTGAAAAACAGCCAAATTTATTGCATTTCTCCCAGGAGCATAAATGTATCCGGATCTGTGGATTGTGTCTGCTTTGATAAGGTAGGGTAAAAAAATGAAGGAACAAGTGTACCAGTTTGTTCTTTCTATTTAATTTAGTATTTGACAAAAACTTTCACCAGGCTTGAAATAAATGAAAATATATCAACTCATTGTCATTCAAATATTAAGTTTTATTCTTTTCTTTAGACGGGAACTTTGACAGAAGATGGATTGGATTTGCTGTGCGTGGTACCCATCGAGAATAATTCTTTCAAATCGCCCGTCAAAAATGTTGAGACAATACCATACAATGTGTTGGTTTATGGTCTGGTGTCCTGCCATTCTCTTACCATTATTGATAAGCAAATCGTTGGAGATCCCTTGGATTTAAAGGTATTATTCGATAGCACTTTGTGATGCAATTTATCAATCTTTTATTTCAATCAGCATTATTATTACTTTAATCTTAATCAGTTGATCCTTCAAAAAGTTATTCAAATGTTGACCTTCATGATTGAATTCTCAAGAACTATTAGAACAAAAGTCGGTGAAGCTAAAAATAACCTTTTTTTACATTTTGTAAATATTAGTAAAGATACAAGGGTGGTACTTTATAGCGTGTCACCATATCAGTCGTGCGATCTTTACCAAATTTGTATCGGTATGAATAATCATCAATATAACCAGTACTTCAAAGAAAAACATCATTTCAGACAGTGCCGTGCATTTTTATTGAAATGAATAGGGGTCAGTTTTTTATTAAATCAGATTAGGCATTTTTTCACAGGAAAACTGACCTCATAATAATGTTCTTCATGGTTTTAAATCCACATACGTGGATTTTCATAAGATGCCTATGAAAGGTTTCAGAAAAACAGGCACATCAAAACAGCATTTTTTCGAACGTAATAATTATTTACTGGGAAACAGTGAGTTCAACATAAAAAAGTATAACTCGTTTTTACTTCCGAATCATGATTTTCCACCTACTGGAGCCATCGAATGTTCCAAAATTCGTAGTTGATTTGAAGTTACTATTTATTCCAGACTGAAAATGAAAAAAATTAAGCCAATCCTGTTTATTCGGATTTAGGTGATTTTTTGCATATGGAGGTTCAAAAGCAAGAGGAACAATAATATGAAGTTGGATTTCCTGTAAAAAAAATGCCTAATATGATATTATGAAAAATCGACCCCTTTTTAATAATAAAATAAAAACACACGGCACTGTCCAAAATAATGTGCATCTCTGTAAAACTGATCATATTGATGGTTATTCATACCACACCAAATTTGGTTGGAATCGCATGACTAATAACCGAGATATAGAGGGGGGCCGTTTAAAGTGCGACACCCTGTATAATCCGTTTTCGTAGATGTTTGAGAGCACCAAGTGGGTGATGGAGGAGCCCGAGGTCGACGACAACAGCAAATTCAACATGATCTTCCCCACTGTTCTGAAGCCGCCCAAGGACCGAGACGACGTTTCGGACGATCTGCAGATCGGCATCATCAGGGAGTTTCCGTTCTCGAGCAGCTCGCAGCGCATGGGAGTCATCGTGCGACGTTTAGACGGAAAACACTTCGAGTATTATTGCAAGGTATGTACAGGGTGAGCCATAGGGTTTTCCAGTTGTTTTGGAAACGGCCTGATATTTGAAATATGGAATTTAGGGAATCATGCGGAGGAATTTTCTGTAGCACCGAAATTTAGCAGACACTTTTCTTGATGAAAAATACGCTCTTTTCTAGATTTGAACAACAAAATACCAAATCTACAACATCTTCAAACTACAGGTACCTAAATCATAGAGTAATGATTACTGAGAAAAATGTATCATACAATGGTATCAACATATTCGCTTAATTACCCAATAAAGTTTCATAGACTAAACAAACACATTTGTTCATGGAATTAGAATCGATTCAGGGCCATATAATATTGAATTGTACTGGAATGAAATATGCTATTTTAATTATGGGCTCTTACAGGGTGCCAGAATTAAAGACGTTTTTTTTTCAGCTACCGTTTTAAGTCAGTTTATAATATGAACTAAAAGGAATACAAAACACTAACCTACAGACAGTATTCAAAACATTTTTGCTTTTTGAGAATTATTTAGTTTCAGACTCTCAAACATAACTGGACTTGAAAAATATCAATCAATCTCAAAAACACGGCTTATAATGGGTAAAAATGAAAATGTTTTCCTTTATAATGGGTAAAAATGAATATTTTTTCCAGTGGGATTTTTTCAGTGGTGAAAATCACAACACTGAATTTTTCAAAGCGTGCATTGCTACAATGTTTTCTTTCCCGCTGTATGTACAGGCGCTGGTTGTTGGTATCAACAATTTGTTTTGAACCATTTAGGTGATTGAAAATATCAAGTCAGATTCATTATTTTATTCTGACATTTTACAACAAACTTCAATATGACAATGATCATACAGCATGATTGAAAACTGAAAGATAACATTATTATTATTATTATGAACATAGGAGTTAGGTAAGGTTCTAAATCCACCAGAGTTCCTCTGGAAATGTTTTCTTCAATTTCACTGATGTTTTCTGTAAAATAATTAACATCAATTTAGATATACCCAAAAATGCAATGGTGATATTTTTTGTTCATTAAAATCAATGATCTTTCACAAAAAAACATCTTGTTTGCTTTTTCTGGTCGAAAAATACTTGTTTTCATTGAAGTAATGCAACATGCAATGATCTTCCTCTACATTTATCTCGTTCCTATGTTGCTATTTATTTCAAACATCTTTTTTCTTCATGTACTCTGCTAAATACAAGTAAATTGTTTCTTGTGAATAATGAAGATTATCTTTTTCCATAAGGGCTCGCCGGAGATGCTCCTGAACTTCGTGCGGCCCCAATCGGTGCCCGAAGACTTCCACGACGTGCTCGAGAGTTATGCCCGAGAGGGCTATCGCGTGATCGCGCTGGCCCACAAAGAATTGAGTCTGTCCTACACAAAGGTACATGACTATTCCTCTACTTTCAATTAATAGTTAGTTATGCAACAAGTGCGAAAAGTGAGTGTGTATTGCACGCGACGTAAAATTGTCCAACGAGGCCGTCCGGCATGGTTTGCAACGTTGAGTTCACAAATAGAGAGAAACTCAAAATCATTACCACAATAGTTCATGAAATGAACGAAAATGGTGGATAACGATAAAAAAACAACTACTTTCTTGGCTATATACCACGCAGACTATTGGATTACATCCTCCTGAAATCTATGCAATAATTTGTATAGACGAATAAAATCACCTTCCTTTCCTAGTTGAACGTTGAGTTTGTTTACGAGTGATTCCTCTGTGTATTCCTCACACGAATGCAATAAAGAACCACTTTTCCACTGAAAATGGTTCAAAAAAGCTTTGTTTTTTTGCATGAACGTGGTACAAGATATTTATTCATATATTTTAAGGTGCACAAGGTGCAAAGGGAGGCGATCGAGCAGGACTTGGACCTTATGGGGCTGATCGTGTTGGAGAATCGGCTCAAGCCGGAGACGACGCCTTCTATTGAGGCGCTCAACGAAGCCCGGATCAGGGTTATCATGGTGACAGGTGAGTGTCAGAATTATGAAAATGCTGTTTCATAGTGAAATCCTCACACCAAATAGGAGACACGGCGATCCATTCATAAATCATTGAAAAGTATACGCCAACAATCCTAAACTACAGCTCCAACATGGATAAATGAATGAAATCGTGAATGGTGGGGATAACTAAAGAACCATTGTCAGGCAATTGATATGAATGAATGTGTGTATTTGCATCAATAAATTATATAACTCACATTATAACATATTTATACTTCATTTTGTAACGTCTAAGTGTTGATATTTGAAATATTTAATAGTATAATCTAATACTAACATGCTTTTCATCAACAAATGTTATCTCTCAAACAAACAACACCGCTACTGTACCAAATTTCTACGTATGAAATATCAGGCTGGGATATATTTTTGTGACTAACTCTTCGCAGATTTGACACTGCCGAACCATATCGTCTTCTGTAGATTTATTATATTGAATGAGTTACTGAAACACCGAAAACTAATTACAGAACAGCCAGAAAACCATTAATAACAACAAAAACGGCAAATGACATTTCTTACAATGATTATTGCTCGTCTACTACGAAACTTTGCAGTACCGCCACGTGCGAATCGTACAAGGTTTGTATGGTGTAAACCTGCCTATGATGTTCCAGATTGCATTAAAAAGTAGTACACGTACACATTTGCGCGTTAATGACAAAGACAGTTTGAATTTTGACACTACTCGTTAAAGTCGATAAGAATATTAATCAAGATCATTCACAGACTGACTAATAATTTCTATATTGCATCATCCTTCCACGCATTTCGCCATGAGTATGCCGTTATATAACTTCATAGTTTTAGTGTATCATATCATATACCAGGAGTCTTCTACATAATTATTAGTAGTGAATTTTCGACAATTTTGTTGTCATGGATCTATTATCATGTCATAAAGGTTGTTCTATTTTTTGTCGTAAGCTATTCATACAGAGTTGAATAAGATGTCATCAGAAAAATCCTCTTTAATCATCGGTTTAGCAGCGGTTCCACAGAGGCCCTTAGAATGTGATGTGCTTTCCCCTGAAGCAATAATATAAAACGCTCGTTCTAACTATTTAGTTATACTGTGAGGTGAAATTTTGTCTTGTTATTATTACCAGGCGACAACATCCTGACCGCGCTGAGCGTGGCCAAAGACTGCGGCATCGTGCCGCCGTCGCAGAGCATCATCACCGTCACGTGCGACAACAGCGACCCGCCCAACATCTACTATTCGCTGGCGAGCAGCACCAAGACCACGCCCCTACCGACCGATCTCAGCGCGCTCACCAATTCCGCCAGCGCGATGAGTCTCGACACCGTCGAGAGTCAGGTGCAGACCGTCACCAACGGACCGCAGGTGGGCGGGGCTAACGGGCAACAGATGGGCGGGGTCAACGGGCAACAGGTGGGCGGGTCGAAGAGGCCTAGTGTTATTCTCAATGACTATAGGTTCGCGATGACGGGGAAGGTGTGGGGCGTGCTGAAGGAGTACTATCCGGAGGTTATGGCGAGGATTTGTACGAGAGGTGAGCGGTGATATTCAGTGGTTCAGGAATATTTGGTGTGGTTTTCAGTTTTTCATTATTATTATTCAGATTTTTGTTTGTAAAGATTTAGTTTCCCTTGGTTTGATAACTTTAGGTTTAGTTACTAATGTTCTTATGCATGTGTCATGCCTAAGGAATTTATCAATCATCTTTTTATCCATTTAACAACATTTCCACAATGAAAATTTGATAATGGAGAATACTAATTCCATTATGAATGTGTCTTTTAGGTAATATTTTTGCGAGGATGGCCCCTGACCAGAAACAGCAACTTGTACAGGAACTCCAAGAATTGGGCTATTGTGTTGGTAAGTAATTTTCTGAAAACAGTACATGAAACATTTCTAAAATTATCCCTACCCCCATATATACAAGGTATAGTGTAACTGTATCTAATATAATTACAATTCAAAAATTTTCACGCCAAAAATATTCTCAAGGTCGGTACATGTTGAGTTGGAAATCTCCTATTTAGAGAGGCAGGCTTCAATTCATGTGTTATCACTGTTATCTTTGCATATCTGAATTTATTAAGTGATGAATGAATAATAACAATTTAAAATTGATGTAGACAATGTGTTGAGTCATGCAATTCCAGTTATCCACCCATTTTTTATTATCTTTATTTCAACTCCATTGTGAATAATTCTTCAACCGTTATTTTAATCATGAAAAATTTTTGCCATGCCATGATGTTTTCAAAACCAAATTGCTCATTTATTGACAAGAAGATATTTCTTGTATCACGTCCGGTAGAACCGGAAGTTACCCCAAGTTTTGATTTTTATACAGGACACCCTGTATAATTTTTCATTTTTTGATCCAGGGAATCGTTTTTCATACACTAGAAACTTTTTCTGATCGAAATATACGGGTTGTCCTACTTAAAAATCAAAAGTTGGGGTTGCTTCCGGGTTAAGCAGAAGTGGTTAATTAATTTTTTTCTTCTAATATTAACTAATTTTCGAAATTTGACCTCTCTGTATCAGAGAACTGCATAAAAACGACTAGTTCTGTAACTTTTGAATTATTCGAGGTTGGACTGTGAAAATCAGTGTTTTTTTCAGTATATTTCTTATTTCTTGGAGCTCACGAAAGAAAATTTCTATAATGTTCAAAGAACATCGTGCGTGCCTAGGGAGGATAGGGAGAGGAGATAGGTGTTGGAATTTTTTTTAAACTTTTGGAGGTTATAAGTTCTTGGGGATACTTCCATTGGCAATTTATTGGCTATTTAAAAATCAAAATTAGGTGTTTCTCCCGGGCCAACCGGACGTGATAAAAAAAATATCTTCTTGTCAATAAATGAGCACTCTGGTATAATTGCTATCAAACCAAATCTCAGAATCCGTTCTCGAATGATTGAGAAATTACAGCACTGGCCGTTTTTTGTGCACTTCTCTGTATATGTCTACTTTGAAAACTGTACTTCCTCTAAACAATTCTTCATATTTTCCAAGTTTTCTATTCGTTTCTATTAGTAACCAGGAATAATCCTGAATTATCTTAATTTCTCCAGCGATGTGCGGAGACGGTGCCAATGACTGCGGAGCCCTACGCGCCGCCCACACGGGCATCTCCCTCTCCGACTCCGAGTCCTCCGTCGCCTCGCCTTTCACCTCCAAGAACCCCAACATCACGTGCGTCCTCAAGGTCATTAAAGAGGGCCGTGCCGCCCTCGTCACCAGCTTCGGCATCTTCAAGTACATGGCCGCCTACTCTCTGTGTCAATTCATCTCGGTGCTCATCCTTTACAGCATCGACTCCAATTTGACCGATATGGAGTTTTTGTATATCGATTTGTTTATCATTTCGGTGTTTGCGTTCTTTTTCGGCAAAACGGAGTCCTATCCTGGAAAATTGGTAAAGGAAACGCCGCTGAGCAGTCTCCTGGGACTCAGCCCGGTACTCAGTTTACTTTTCCAGATAGCGTTAGTCATAGTTTTCCAAGTGGCGGCTTTCCAGCATCTGAAGTCCGAGTCTTGGTACGTTCCTATGAACGGCACAGCCGACGAACAAGACGCTTGCGTGGAAAACTACACCATCTACACGATCTCGAGCTTCCAGTACATCATCCTAGCTATCGTTTTCTCCAAAGGCTATCCTTATCGCAAGAGCATCTTCTCCAATTACGGCTTCGTGATTTGCGCTGTCGTCATGACCGCCATCTCCGTTTATTTGGCCCTTTCGCCCGCCCAATTCATCGTCGACAGCTTCGAACTAGAGGTGCCCGAAGATTTCTCCTTCAGGCTGTTCCTGCTCGCATACGCGGGCGCCAATTTCATCTTGAGTTTGTTGGTCGAGAGATTCCTCGTGGAAGAACTCTTCTTCAAGCGGTTGCGCTTCAAGTTCCACAACGTGGACAAGTCCAAGCGGAAATACTTGTCGGTGGAGCGGCAGCTGAACAGAGACAGAAAATGGCCGGCGGTGACGTCTGTGTTCGAGTCGGCCGCCAGTCCGGCCAGTCCTTTGCCCACTTGCACGGCGGAGATCGTGGTGGAGAAGGAGAACAAGTTCCAGAAGGATCACGTGCTGAACAAGCTGTATGATGGGGTTCAGGAGACGGGATACTTTAGCCAGGAGGAGTTGCTGTTTTCTAGCTTGCCGTCGGAGAATCCGACTAGCTCTAGCGGCACTTTTAAGAGTTTGAGCAATAATACCAACTACGATTTGGCTAGCTCGAATTTGAATATTCCCGAGTTGCCGTTTGATGATTGTAAAAGCACTCCAGTTCGTAATTCGTGCGTTGCAATGAAGATTCCTAGGAGTTCTAGGGAGAGTACTCCGAGGAAGTCGATGAAAACGTCCGTCGATGTGGATGAGAAGGGCATGTCGAATTTTAATACTTTTGGTACGAGTCCTCCTAATTTGGCGGCCGTGCCGCTAGAAATGAACGCGCTTGATAGCTGAGATTGGGCCATTTTGTTAGGGGTGCTTTTTGACTGGCCGGTTGGGATTTCGCTTAGCTGGTCCGTTTCGGTTTGTTTTGCGCTGAGGTGATTGTTTTCTACAGTATTGTCAGCGAAATTGGATGGATTCTCGTTTTCCTGACCTCGATATTTATTTTAAAACTGCCAATTATTCAGCAAGCTAATTTAGTTTTATTGGTGAGTTGTCAATGATTTGAGTGGGTAGTAAATTACAAAACGTATTTGATAAGTAGATGAAATATATATTGAATGATTTTTTGCATCAATCAATTACTTTTTCAAGAGAAATATCTTTTTGAATATTTAAAGTAGAATAAAACCTAAATGTGGAAGTATAGTATATAGGTATTATTTATTAAGTGGCAATCTTGTCTTATTGAAATTGTTTAAAATTTACTTAACTCGAGCAACTCTATTAGGGGATCTTGAAAACATTGTATTTTACTAAAATGAAAGATTGATCATAGTATTATATGTACTTACTGTATAATCACTGTTAGATTTGTTGTCACTAACATAGGGTTCAAAAATATTTCTAAAATTTAGTAAATTTGTTTAGAAAAAACAAATTGTAAGTTTTGGTGGTTGGACAGTTAGTTGATTTAACATTTAATAATAATTGTGATAGTGTTATTCACCATGAGTCATTGAATTTGTGTACTTAGTTTGATGAAAGACAGGGTTTACAGAATACAGATATAATATTTTTCACCCTGAAACTTAGTTGGATATACTCGGTGTCCCACTTTACCTGTAAATGATTCGATTTTATATATATATAGGGTGGCATTTGAAATGAGAATGTTGTTCACAAGTGATAAAATTTACATAAAATTCCCGAAAATATTTTCAGTTACTGTGTCAAAAAAATCTTTCAGATGCCAATTATATCATTAATAACTTCCGATTTTTATTTTTCTCAAATAAAAAGTTGTGTTTTTATTGAAACCTGAGATTTTCGAAATTTGAACAGGTATATTGAGTCACCAGTAAGTATATTCACTATTTTTTTGTTCCTCTTACCAGATTTACTACAGGATTAACGACATGTACATGAACTTATCATTGTTATATACTTACATACTTAGATATGAAACATTCAAACCATTGATTAAGTAAGTAATGTAATTTTCAATTCTAGTATTTTCCATGGCTGTTTACACCAAATTTATTATTTATATTATGGAATTATTACTAATAAAAATTAGAAATGCGTGAATTACTGATTTTGATAATGACCCTTATTCCCTTTCAAGAGATAAAAAAACAAATTGAGAACATCCTGTAGTATAATTTACCAGTTGCTTATTTTTAATTTTGCCTAATGAAAATCAACTATTTCCTAGCTCCTATTACCTTCAAATTCGGTATTTGTAAACATTTAGTAATGTCCTAGACTCTCTAGATCTTTGTGTTTTTTTAAAATGCTCATATGTAAAATAAAACTGGATTTTAAATAAACTGGTTTATTGAAGTAGTTTCAATCTGGTACATTTTTGTTTCATCTAATAGTTATTAGCTACATAATGAGAGATAGAAAACAAAGAGTTCTGCAATTTGAATTTAGAAAATGGTCCAGAAAATAATTATTTTCCTTGCTTAGTGTGGAAATACACCAACTAAGACATCATTAACAACTTTGATGATTATAGGAAAATGAAAAAAAGAAAAAAGAAATCAATCACATTTCTAAGATTAAATAATTCGAATTATTATTTGCAATACCTACCTTCTAGTAAGAAAAAAATAACTGTTTAAGAAATACATCAATAAAGACAGTATAAAACAGCTCTATCCAACAACAAAAAATATTAAAGTTCTCCAACTTTAAAATTATATCACATTCAAAATCAATTATTGACCTCCAGACTAAAGTACCTTGATTTTGTGCAGCCTCTGGCAACTGTACCTTATTATAGCAGTGACAAAATTTAACCAAGGCATTCCAAGTGCAACACATAGTTCAATTCATATTCATCTAAAAAAAATAATTAGGAAATTACTATCGATTCAGGTTTGTCAAGTATATATGCTTCAATTCTGTCTTTGGAGTATTCTCAAACAAGGCTGCCCTGTTCTGGCCTTCTCCCTTCTTAACCCAGTGTCCATATACTCTGAAGGCACAACCATCCACAATCTTCAAGAAAAATAACAGTTTAATCATGAAGCTATGTCAAGAAATAATTATCACCATCACCTTCCTCACTAATTTCAGCCTGTAGGGGTCTGTTCTAGCTGTGGCAAGACTGAGAGGTTCAGGAGTGAATTTGAGGCGTTGAAGTCTCACCATGGACCTCACCACTAAAATTGCCCACTTGAATTTGTGCCGGGCATTGAATGTGGTAGTTTGAAGTTTCTAAAAGTGTAATATCTATAAGTATGATAGTAGGAACTAGGGTCCCTTGATGGAAATTGACGTTAAAGTCATCTTAACAGGATAGGGACAGATCCTCGTCTCCTCTCACTCTAAAGTGTTTGTGAAACAGTTATATAGTTCCATCCTTATTCAATTCTGGGGATAAACACTAGATTTTTGACATTTGTTGTTTTTTAGGTTATATTGAGGTCATTGGCGTATCATACGGGATTTTCATATGGAATTCCTGATTGAACTATACCAAGATATCCATGAACAATCCTCTAGTTTTAGAGTTTACTACCCCAGCATAATCTTTGCAAGGTAGGGAACATATAAATTGTACTGAAAGCTCAATATACTTCACCAAAAGATACTGTTCTTAGACTGTATACCAGGGTTGACTGAATTGACTGATTGGCTTCTGATTTCAAGCTGAACAGCAGTTTATCTAAGAGCTGAATGAGCTGAGCCTTATGATTGAGAAATGGTGAAAACCTCGATGTGGGTATCTAAACTACTGTACTCATGTCATAAGATGACAAATACGTCAATTTACATCAAGGGACCCTAGTAGGAACAATCCTAAGAAAACTGAGATAATATCATGTAGTTTCAGATAACAACAACACATCAAATCATTTCAATGCTTCAAAAATACACCCTGTAGTTCTTGTTGAGTGAGAAAAATTACTGAGAAACAGGGAGACGCTATTTTATTACAAGAAATCATGCTTTTTTTGTTATTTGGTTAGTCCTGTGTTAGTAGACAGGAAATACTCCCAAAACATAAATATTTTGAAAATATTTTACCAGTGCCATTTGAGAAATACGACTGAAACGTCTGCTGTTCTTTCTCAGAGAATGCTTTAATGGGGCAATATCTTGATCCCAGAGTTGCTGAAATGTTATTACAATACATATGACCAAAGTGGCTGGATTTAACTGAGGTAGGTACTACATAAAAAATCCTTAATTTTCCAACAACTGATAATTCCTTACCTTAATTAATTAATCAGAAGAATGAGGTAGGATGATTATTACTATTTTGCTTGTTGCACAGGTTAATTCAAAAAGCTGATTTGAAGCAAGAGTAAGGTACATTGAATATAGATGTTCAAAATTTGAATTGCACTATACATTTGACCAGGGAAATATTCTTGGATGAAATATTAAATAAAAATGCTTACCACAGTCTGGAAAAATGGATGAGATATGGCTCCTTGAAGGGAGATACGTTTTTTTGGATCCACCACCAACAGTTTTCTAATCAAATCTTTGGGTGCATCTGAAAAACATTTCAATATAGAGATGTTCCAGAGCTTTGTATATCTACTTGAGTAAAATATGGTGGAAGGAATGAAAAATACATATCATGACCTCCAATACAGATGAATATGCAGATGGTATAGTAACAAAATGTTGCCTGACCAAGGAATAAATATTTCTGAAAGCTTCCTAGAAAGTAATAATAGTTTTATTTTGAGTCCCATATAAGTTGCATCCCCAAAAATCCTACTCAATCTATTGAAAATAAATCTGAATCTATAGTTCAATGATAGATTGAAAAAAATTACCTGACACATCAGCCCATTCTGGAGAAGAAAATGAATAGTTCCCCTCCATAATATTTCTGAGCATAATCATCTGTTTCCTATTCCAAAAAGGTGGACAGCCTACTAAACTGAAACAGAAAATCATCATAGCCCATTCCTAAAAAATTGACAACTCCACTTGTAATGGAAAAACTGAAACTAATTTTCTCTCTAATTTTGAAGTACTCACAGAGTATACATAATGACCCCACATGCCCAGCTAAAACATAGAATATTAATTCATATGGAAATGATTTTTTATAATATTAGAACCTACATATCCACCTCAAAGGAATAACCTGGTGCACCCTCCAACATGTTGCATTTCAAAGTTTCTGGTGCCAAGTAGCCAGGAGTACCACACAAATCTGAAATAAAGTAATCATTGTCAACTTCCTTAAACTTATACAAGACTCCACTAACCATGCAACTGTTCTCCTTCTCCTAAAATTTTGGCAAATCCAAAATCAGTGATTTTCACATTCAGATTATCATCCAGCAGGATGTTTTCAGGCTTCAGATCTCTATGAACCACACCTCTAGAGTGAACATGCTGCACTCCTTCCAATATCTGTCTCATTATGTATCTAGTTTTCTTTTCAGATAGAGCCACCACAGATGTCAAATAATCAAAGAGTTCACCATGTTTGCATATTTCAAATACCAAGAATATGAATGTTCTGGACTCAAATACATCTTGCAATTCAACTAGAATGGAAACCATGTACACATTTTCTTCTAACCATACATCCATCAAAATGATAGGAACTTCAAAGAGGAAAAAATAAGTTATTATTGACATACTTATGTAAGGATGCCCAGCTACATGTCTCAGAATATTGACTTCTTGTTTGGTTCCTTCAAGAGCTGAACCATCATGCACTCCATCACTTGGACTCAAGTCAATGATTTTAGCTGCATATTCTTTACCAGTTTCTTTCTCAATGCATCTCCGAACAGTGGATGATATGCCTCTGAAAAAAAAGGCCATTCCATCAGTGACTTATCAAATTAACTGTGAGGATGTGATATTTGAAAGGGTGATATAAAAATAATCACCTGCCCAGAATTTCCTTAGGTTCATATTTGGCATAAAATTCTTTTGCTGCATCTTGATCTGGTAGTTCATCATAGTCCTCCTCTTTGGCCATTGTGGAATAATAATTTATGATGATAATTGAAATAAAGCAAATCTAAAACGCACTGAAAAAATATCTATACATTGTCATAGTTGAATGCACACCATACAATCACAATACAATGAAAATAATATATTATATCATTATTGAAGGGAAATCTATGTTAAGTCAAGTTACATAATACATGATAGATAATGTAGTTGAAGAGATATACACTCCTTTTCAAAAGGGAAGAAAAAACGAACGAGCTCGTAATAATTATTGAAAAAAAAACAAAATTAAAAATTCCCATTAACCTTACATTTGATGACAGTTGACAATCAAAATCAAGGTGAAATGAAAATCATATCAAGGTTGGTAGAACTAATGATTATTTGTATAGGATTCATTCCGTGTCTGAGCTGTCAAATATGGCAAGATTGACAGTGACAAGAGAAGATGACAAGCTTAGATGCCATGAATCCGTATTTTTTTGCAGAATTTGACACACTTCAGATCAGATTTCAGATTTTCTGATGCTAAAAATTCTAATTTGTTAAAATTGTTAAATATTTATTTGTTCGGTCGGAAACTCATCAAAGTCGACTGAATATTTTAGAATATATTTCTCGATAATTTTGTATAGCAGAGAGAAGTAGAAACCAATCTCCTGGACCATGGAGACCTCATAGAAATCAACTTAACAATTTGTTTTCCATGCAAATTCAATATTCCTAATATTTTAAATATTAGCATATTGGTGCAAAAAATGCTAAATACCTACAGCTTTATGAAAACGTTTCTGCGAGAGTGCGACAGTACCTAGACCTAAGAAATGAATACCTCTCAATTGCAGCTTTGAATTTGGTATAGAGTATCACAAAAGAAAAACCAAATATGTCTCGCCAAGAGAAAACCAAATCAGGCAGTTTTGTGAGTATTTATTTTTTATCCAAAGGACTTCTATGAATTGAAAGTTGATAGGGTCCTCTTCATATTTACCTACACAGAGTATTCCAATGCCCCAATTCTACAACTTAATTTTTTTGCAAAATCAAAGAACCTAATTGAAATAAGTTGAGAAGAGGGAGCATCATGGTCTGTAATAAACAGGTCTATAGTTTGAGCATGGTCATGGCATGGTCCTATATATGTATGATAACTCCACCTATCTTTTAATTTGTTTGCACATACCTTTATATTTATGTTCCTTATCTCCTCAGTTCTTATCACAATACTAACATATCACTCAACAAAAATCACCTATTCTCCCAATTAACACAGAAAGCTATAACATATTTATTTCAAAATGGACAACAAAAAACCTGAAAAATCTAGCAAGAAACGACCAGGACTGTCTTTTAATACAGTTAGGAGAAAGACAACAGTTCCTAGTAGTTCACTGGTGAGGTATCTGTTTTGTTGTTTTGATATTTTTGTTTTAATGTATATCATTTATATGTACCCTTCATATTCTGAATTGATTATATTGGCTGTACCACCCACATACCATTTGAAATGCACATATCAAGTATTATGAGTTTCAGCTGTGATATGAATATGTGTTGTTCAATGAAAATATTTTCAGGGAGTGTGTATCAACTTCTGTTCATTCATCATTGTGAGAAAAAAATACTGTCAAAGTGAGTTCCAGACAGTACTTACACCTGAATTGACTTTCAAAATGTAGATGTATTCAGATTACCTACCCAAAAATGATTTAATTCAGTAACCTGATAATGTCAGTAATAATAATTGAATCCTAATTAAATATGCTTATTGTAGGTTTTAAAATTTTTCATTTCCATATAAAAGGATTTCTCTAATTCATCAAATTGTCAATATAACTGAGAAAATTAAGAATGAGGAAATCAGTAAGAAATCAGTATATCTATAGTTACCAACTTTTCACACTAGGGCATTAAATCAATACTTTTTGCACTGAAATTAGTATGAATAGTGGGTATGATTTTTCGGGATTTTTTTTTACCTATGAATTTCAATGTTTTGTTCCACAGGTAGGTTATGTCAAAATAGAATGAATGAATGGGGAGTAGTTGTATTAGCATAATGATGTCACATTTTATAATGCCTCCATAGTTATAAAATGTTTAATCTTTTTATAAATAAGCACATGGTCTTACAAGAATAACAGACATAGGCGGCTCCAAGGCATGGGTCCGTTTATGAACTGAATTCATAATGAGTTTCAAAATACTACCTAATCTGTAACAAAATGAATTTAATTATTTTCCTATCATTATGCAGAATTATTTCTAATATTTGTACATTTGTGTGATCATTAGAAATAACAGGTGAGTGAAATTCGGGGATCTTAGAAACGACAAGATTGGGTTGAATAGAAGCAAAGTTGCGCAATTTTATGCCTAACAAAATGCCGTTCTGAAATTTGTAAAATTCGGAATACTTCCGAAGATATTTGGAAAAGAAACGAATATTCGCGATTTCATTTTTATATTTTTCAGGCTATTTGAATAGATGTAACAAAAAAATTTTACATTCTCATTGCTACTTTTTCTGTTTTACAAAATGATATCAGATTTTCAAACCAACGTTTCGTCTTTGAGCTGCCATCATCAACTTTGTTTCTTAAATGTGGCCTTGAATTCTTCATAATTATGGATTTTAAGAACTCTTAATGTCTTGAAATGAATGGTGCATCCCACTCATTTGAAAAAGGTATTTGGTGTTTGTTTTTAATCCTATCAAAAAATTATAGAAAATGCTATTAATATAAAACTTTGGAATAAGTGCCATACACCGTTGATTCACGGAGATCAAAAGCTAATGAAATCCATAATAAAATCCAGGTCAGAAAAAAATGAAATCGCGAATATTTTTTCAAAAACCTTCGGGAGTATTCGGAATTTTTAAAAATTCAAATGCGCATTTTGTTAGTCATAAAATGGTGCAACTTGCTTTCATTTGACCCGATGTAGCTCTCAAAGAGTCAAAGTTTCCGTGATCCTTATGCATCTACTCGAATTTCACTCTCCTGGTAATCTTGGATGTAACTTTCTACTTTGCACTTTAAAAAAAACTCAATTTGTTTCCAAGCTTCAAAAGAGCATATTTTTGTTCATAATTTGCAATTGGTTACCAAAATTATATTGTGAAATTTGAACAATATATTATTTAGGGATGGTAATTGTTGAATGTATATCCCTAAGAAAAAGGATGTGGTCTTCATTATTCTAAACATACCCGCATGATAATTAAGCCATCAAACTTGATGAGAGCCAAAGGCTAAAGTAAACAGTTTTTGGTGAAAGAATGCGGTCCAGACGAGCCATATCCTTAGAAATAATGGTTGAGCGCGCCATTGGAAGTGATGTCATAATGATTATTAACAACATTTTTGTTTTCTTTCCTTAGCATTGCCACAGGGCCACAGGCATTGCTTTAACATTGGTATCTGGGAACGATTTAATGCATTTTGAACGGTATTGAATCCAAATTTTATGCGTAACTGCCTGTGATAACTGCGTGCACAGTTTAGTGGAAGTGTTTTAAAAATATACCTGTTGGCGTGAGATTTATTTTTGAAAACGTGTGAAAATGAAAAATACAATCCAACTCATAGCTACTTGCGGAATTCTGGTTTCAATTTAACAACATTGCCTATCGCACGAAATTATTTTGTGAAATTAACGGTGTGTACTTATTGGTTAAAATCCTAGCTACGATGTATGGATACGTAAGTGGTTTTTAAATTTATTTTTCATTTTGTGATGAGTAATAGGTATCTTTGAGTAAAGGGTAATATGTATTCACCTATGTTAATGTGATTTTTTTATATATCTATTATACTCACACCTCAACATTATTAAAAATTGTGAATATTAAATTTGAACCATTACCTTATATTCCTATAAATATAACATTGTTTATAATTTTTTATTATTGTTTATTGGATGCTTACCTCATAATCTGATTCATCACCACAAATACATCAATACTTGATTATATTAATTCTTATCAATAAAACTATCAGAGTAGTCATTGTCATGTTTATAATCTCTAGTTTGAGCCATCAAAGATACAAACGAGTAATTTTTGATTGTATTCTTGCAGAGATAAAAGGTTGATAAGCAATAGTAATTACAAAAATTCCACTTCCTCTTCGGTAATATATGCTGAATCACTTCCAGTCATATTTAAATAATAATATGTTCACCAAACTTCAACAACAAGTCATATTGACTGCAAAAAAATATTGACGATTATGGATAGGAAAGATACGTTTCGTTTTATACAGGGTGTCCCTTAAAGGTCTGTACAAAATCCAAGCACATATTGCTAAGGTCAGAATAAGCCGATTTGAAGCAACTTACCTCAGTCCGAAATTGCTCCGTTTCTTAGATACAGGGTGGTCAAGTTGAAGAATAAAAATCGAATTTCTCAGAATTTATGAACATTTTTGACCGTATTTCTTCAAAATTTATATCCAGGGTTTTTTTGGGAGGCAAAATATGGATATGGACACCTTCTCACCGTGGCCTTTAGAGGACGGTTACCAATGGAATTCTTATGCTTTAGAATGGCCATAACTTTTTTGTCAGTGTAGTTTGTCACATTATTTGTTGAGGTAATAATTTCATGAACATTTTCCAGCATAAAAGGTACACTTGTGAAAATTCGCTAAAATAAGCCGATTTCGAGATTTTTCGATGTTTGCTGTTTCTTAGTGGATGTAATTTGATCATTGAATTAGCAGTGCAAAAATACATTTTTCAAAATACTTTCCCGGAGTGTACTTATCGATTTTCATTTTTGATCTTCACCACCCTGTATATCTCGGAAACGGAGCAATTTCGGACTGAGGAAGTTGCTTCAAATCGGATTATTTTGACCTCAGGAATATTGTACTAACATTTTCTTTGTCTGTTTGATTTTTTAAGAGCAACACTGACATCTTCATCCACATTTATGTATTTATTTCACAATTTTGAAAACATGTTCTTCTATTTTTCTCAAGCTTGAATCACTGTTCAAACCGGCAGTGAAGAAACCCTTGGGTCAAAGACCCACTTCCATGATGAATGCCCGACACAATTCCGATACAGATATCGCAGACCCTGACGATGATTACTTGAAAATGATTGAAATTATGAGCGAAAAAGAGGTCAACGTCAGAATAGAAGACCTCCTGGTAAGTACAATAATTCACGAAAATATGAGGCTATAAAAAATCAAAATCGATAACTTGCCAAATTAACAAGTATTGCGCTGATATTAGTTATTTATTTGTCAAGAGCGTGAAGTAGGTTTTTATGGACCACCGTGTACATTTTATGCAAGACTGTCTCAGACATGGACGTATACGTCCATGGTCTCAGACATTTATTAACTGTCAATATGGAATTTATTAATGATTTTAAATTCATTTGGCCAAATTATGTATGCCACTGGCGAAGAAAGATCAAATGGCAGTATACTAGAAATTACTGGAAAAAAGTGAAATTACTTTACCGCCTGATTACCTACATTACCGCCTGCCGGATTACTTTACTGCATGTTGTACTCCTTTATCATCCTAGGGCGCTAAAGAGCTACTTTACGCCCGCGATTCGGGCGATACAGTGCCACTTTTTGTGAAACTCAAGATGGCCTAATCAGATTTTGCATGACTGTTTCCGTTTATGAGATACAGGGCGATTTTGAAAATTTATACTATTTGGACCCCCTCTATATCTACGAAGTTTCTCAGCGAAAATGTCAAATTGAAATCTTATTCCATAGAGAATTTTACGCAGAATCCAGTGGCGCAATCAAATTTTTTTTCGGGGTATGGTTTTGGAGATACGACTCAAACTTATGAGTTTTTAAATGGAACACCCTGTTATTTGTAAGCTCATTGAAGGAATAGTTCCTTTGATTGTTCCAGGAAGGAGGCAAAAACGATACCAACACTAATTAACTAACAAAACACAAAAAAAAATCATTCAAACAATTGAATTTCGAAATTATTCAGTAACTTATTCATTGAATTGTTCAAATTGATGTACATTTTCCCTCACGAACTTTCTCAATATGTATGTCTTTGTAATTCCTGGAAAACTGCCTCTGTTGTTGCACGAAGTTCTTCAAGTATGTTGTGTCGCTTACTGTATATTAGGACATATTGAGAAAGTGTGTCAAATGTGTGTTAGGGAGTTGTATCTGCAAAACCATATCCCAAAAAAAAAATGTTTGAGTGTGCCACTGGATTTTGGGGTTCAAAAAGTATTAATTTTACAGTTATGCAAGATCTGATCGCCATCTTGAATTTCACGAAATATTGGCATAGGAAATGGCGCGAAAATCGTAAGGTTCTATCTCCAAAGATAACTGAGATATCACGCGTAAACTGGACACACTGTACATAGTAATAATGTTACAGAGCGACATGAACCTGAATGACGACAAGAAGAAACCTTTGAGAGAGATGCCTTTGGACCAAAAACGAAACATGCTCATCATGCAGATCAAAAAGAAAGGCCAACACGACACCGGAAACCGATTCAACGACCCGGAGGATTACCACAAATACCTGGAACAGCACTCCAACCCGGAGTATATTCAGCCCACTAAACTGTTGAATTGCGTGGAGAGCTTGAGAGTTGCTTTGGCCAATAATCCACTCAGTTGGGTGGAGAAGTTTGGCTCTACAGGGTTGCAACTCCTTCTGAATGTGTTGGAGATCGGCTTGAAACAGTGAGTTAAAAAAAAAAGAGTTTTTCATCGTTCAATCTGAATATTTCTTCAAAGGAGAGATGTTAAACTGCAGTCAGAATGCCTGAGATGTGTAGAAAAGTTCATGAATAACACCACAGGACTGAGGGCGTTTTTTCAACATTCCAAAGGGCATGTAATAGTGTCCCGATGTCTTGATCATGAGAAGCCTCAAGTCATGATACAAGGTTTGAAGGTGAGAAAACTGGAGGATGTTTTTATTGCATTAATTATGTTCTCTTACTTTTTCAGATTTTGGCCCCCTTGTGTTTTTTAGAGGAAGGGGCTGATGATGGATGCAGAAAGGTGCTGATGGCAATCACTCAAGTTGGAGAAGAAAGGCATAAAGAGCGATTTTTGCCAGTTGTAAATGGTATCGCAAAAACTAACAATGCAGATTTACAGGTAATAATAACAGAAAATTATCAGTTCTCTGTGGATATATAATTATATGTGGGCCACCCTATATATTCAAAATGATCATTGTTATTAGTCACAGAATACCTCATAGCCTTCTTGTTTAGAGGTTTTTGCTCCTAATCAACAAAAACCTGTCTGTTCCTTGACAATTTTTTTATGTCCTCTGGTCTTCACAGAGTAATAATTTAGCAATGTATGGAACAGAATTAGTTAAAAAGAATAAGATTTATTTAACCAATATATTTCAATAATCATGTATACTTCCTTCAATTACTATGAAAAAATAATAAACATGTGTAGTGCATTTAGTTGTATGTTGAGTGTACAATTATTATTTATTATCTTTTGTTTTGGTTTCAATTGATAATTCCCAAATTTGAAAGCCATGAAGTTTTCTAAATGGAAAAGGACTAAGATTTTGCGTTATGTGGTAAATGTTTTCATATTTTCTATTAATTGATATTTGTACATTTTAACAACTCCCTTTGTTATACTGAATGTAATGAAGTTAAACAACTGTCCTGCTGAAATTCATAATCAAAATGTTTTGCAGAGTATGTGTTTTCAATTCATCAATGCCTTGCTATCAGAGACTCCCGATTACGAATTCCGGATGCACTTGAGGAATGAAATCGTACGAAATGGACTCTATGAGAAACTACGTGAGTCCAAAAAACACCTCGGCATAATCCAATAATTGTGAAATGTGAATAATTGTGTATTTCAGAGGAACTCAAGAACGAGACAAACCCGTTGATCAAAAGGCACTTTGCGATTTTCGAAAATCGACGAGACGATGACGCAGACGAACTACACGAACGTTTTGACCGGGTAAGACTCGACATGGACGATATACAGGATTGCTTCGAGGTCCTCAAAAATATCACCCTCGATACGTCCTCGGAACCCTACTTTCTCAGCATTTTACAGCACCTTCTATTCATTCGCGACGAAATCAACGTGAGGTGAGTGCACGTACCGAACATCCTTATTTAGGTAATTTTGCACTTATCATGCCATAGGTTTTTCTCGAAAACATCCATTGTTAACTACGTACAGAATGATTCAAACAGAAATGGTGTCAAAAATATTTATTCATGTACCAAGAACGAAAAACTGTTTATTATAGTCGAATCTGCAAATTGATAGCCGAGGCTAGCCCACAGGCGAGACAATAGACAGTTTTTCGCCGAGGTGCATATTAAAGTTTTTCAGACAAAAATACGTAGGTTATAAAAAAAATCCTATTGCATGATAAGAGCAAAATTAACCTTATTTATAATATTCGGATTGATCATGAATAGTTTGGTATTTTTTTCTTCAGGCCGGCTTACTTCAAACTGATAGAGGAAGTGGTTTCACAGATAGTTCTTCACAAGGCTGGTTTGGACCCAGACTTCAAACATAATCATCTTGACATTGATCTACAACAACTTATAGATGAACTTAAAGGTACAACTATTATCAATTTCAAAATGCCTACTTTGTAGATATCATTTTTTTAATCCATGCCGATTGTTTTGTTTCCTACAAAAAAAAATAAAGGTATTTTCCCTGGCACTTCTAATTTTGAATCGCGAAAATAGGCGAGAGGACTATTTTTTTATTTCTTAAATAGAATCATCACTCAAATACCTTTCAATTTCATATTTTTTTTAGAATTTTTCGGTCGATTTTAAGGTGCTAAAATCATCGATAATGCCACGATAATTTTTAAACGAATAGAAATTTACGGCGAGTGAAAACTGACGTCACGATTTCGTAATTAAAGGCAGACCATAGCACAGTTGCCATATGTTGAAATACGATTGGGAACTTCAGAAATATTAGTTATTCAAACATTGATAAAATCTCAATTATGTATTGGTATTATTCCTATCTAGCAATACAAAATCAATTGTCTCAAAATGTTCCCATATGTTTCGTGGCTTATTGCTTATAATACATTCCTGTAAATAACAATCAATTTAGAAAATTTGTTAGTGTCGTTTCTATGTCGTTTGATAACACTTCAAACTTGTCAGAGTCCGCACACATCGTTCACGGGTGGAACATTTTGAGTTAAATCGAATTTTTATTGTTTACTCAAAAACTAAGCTAGACACAAAAATCACACAGAGGACAAAAAAACTGTTATTTCAATAGTTCAATCTAATGAAAATATGAAACTCAGAGAAACCGGTAGCGTACAATGATATTCATCATAAATATCGAAAACTTTACCCACTTTGTCACGCCACTGGAATTATTATTTCAAATCAAATTGCACCAGAAGAAGCTCCATGCATATTACAATTAACAAAACCACAAGGTTTTATTGAAATTGATGATAAGATATTTGAGTAATGAATAAAAAACATTTTTTCATGGAAATATTAATACCCTGTATCTCGAAAACGAATCAGGTTTGGACACATGTTTATATGAACTTTATTTCCTAAAATATCACAAGGAATCACCCCTTAAATTGTTTGGTGCTATTTCGATACACCCTGTATAGTTATAAATAAAAATCACTTCTGGACGTGTAACGAACAATATTTTTTTATTACACTTCGTTGAGAATGATCAATAAATAATGCATTACATAAAAAAGACAGAAAAGAATAAATTCGAGGTCTGGAATTTCCGGATTTTCTTCCGAGTTCATTTTGTCGGCATTTTGATTGACAGAGAATGAACAATGCTGACAATACTAATATAGATGAAAATAAGGTGATTTCAAAAAAGTATAAGAAATAAAATAATCTGTTCCATCAGACCAACTCTTTCAATCATTTTCCTATACCGAACAGACAAACCGTCGATGGTGGACAGTACCGAAGTGGACGGCCTCAGAAAACAACTAGAGGAGGCCTTAGCCGCCAAAACCGAAGCTGAAGCCAAACTGGAACTCCTCCAAGGTCATAACGGCGGCCCACCAACGACCACCGGAAAACTGGACCCCTCCTTGCTGGGCAAAATAAACGTACCGCCTCCTCCTCCACCCCCACCTGGAATGGGCGGGCCTCCGCCACCGCCCATGCCTGGAATGGGCGGACCTCCCCCTCCCCCGATGCCAGGAATGGGCGGGCCTCCCCCTCCGCCGATGCCAGGCATGGGCGGGCCTCCCCCTCCGCCGATGCCGGGCATGGGCGGGCCTCCTCCGCCTCCGATGCCGGGCATGGGCGGGCCGCCGCCGCCCCCGATGATGGGCGGTATGGGCCCGCCCCCGCCGCCCGGAATGATTCCGCTAATCGGAATGGCCAGGCCGGACCTGCTGCCTCCGGGATTGAGGCCGAAGAAGAAGTGGGAGGTGTCTGGGCCGATCAAGAGGATCAATTGGAAAATGGTAAGATGGTTTATAGTTATGTTGTACAGGGTGAAGGGAATTCGATGTCTCAGCGCTATTATAAGAAGAGGAACAATAATAAAGAGAATCTGTTTAAATGGGATTTAGTAAGGTCTGTTTCAAGCCAAATATGCATATTTTTCCGTATTAGGAAACTGAATTGATGACTTCATCGGATTTTGTTTTCCAGATACATGTTATGGCATTTCAAAAAGATTTATTCTTCCTGAACAAATTTTGTGAAGAACAAAAACTGTTATTTTTCAATATTATCAGAAATCCGCAGTTTGTACGATTAGAACAAGTAGCTTTTGGAAGCAAATAGCAGGGTTGCTAAAGACTTTTCAACTATGAATTTTCTGTGGGGGTTCAAATCAGGTTTTTGTCCATTAAATAAGCGAAAAAGATTGAATTGAAAAGGAAAAACAAGTTACAGCAGAGCAAGAAAGGGAAAACAGGAGAAAAGACATGAAGAAGGAATGAAGAAAATGGTTTCCTTTTCCTCATTCATTTTTGGCGAAGAAACGACTAATGTCTTGAATATAAGACAGTAGTGATATTTTTGAAGTGAGGGGATTTGGAATTATTCCTATTATGATTCATTGCATTTAAAAAAATAGATTTTCTCTTCATCAAGTTTCACTCACCCTGTACATTCCAAAGACCAATAAACAATGAAATTTAATACATCCATGTTGAAAAATTTGGATCAAATATATTTCTTGAAAAATCAAAAAGGAACAAAACTGTTGAATATTGTTTTGATGTGTTGAAATACTGATTTGCAGATTGTTCCTCAAAAACTGTCAGAAAAGTCTTTCTGGATGAAAGCAAAAGAGGAAGAATTGGCGGAACCGGATATTCTGGACGGTTTGGCCAAAAAGTTTTCTACCAAACCGCCGAAAGCAATGGAAGACGTGACGGATAAGTAAGTATTATAATTTTTTCAAGACATTTCTTCACGGTTTTTCAAGTGCCCTAATGTGTCATCATGATATTTAGATGCGGGGAAAGCTTTTCATCGCCGTCAGACTGAACATACTAATAACTAGGCTTACCAGTCGAAGGTAAATCATAATGGATGTTGCAATTAAATGTTTGAAGAAAATATCCAAAACTATGTAACTTTTTTCTGCATGTCCACATTATGCCTCACGAGAAGTATACTGTTTTTGAGATGAAGCGAGGATTTATTCAACTGTTACCTGATGATAATTTCTCATAAAGTGAAGAAAATGTCACTGTGATACTTACTTACTATCTACATAAAAATCGAGTAACAGCTGAAATAAATTGAAAAACGACAGTGGGGCATATTTTGAGTTCACTTGACGAATGGAATCTATATTTTCAGTGAATATCAATTGTGTTATGATAATTGCCCACATTGATTGTGCGAATTTATAGCGAAAATTGTTAGTTTTATTATATGTCTGTTACTCACAGCTTACAGTAAATGTAGTACTAAACCTTTCATCACTTGCAGAGATATCTATTTTTTATGTAAAAACTTGTTTCAAGTATCCTAAATCTTGCCACCATTTGCCATATTGTGATTCCTCAAGTTTTTTTACATAAAAAGTGAATGGCTTTGTAGTTGATCAAAAATCCTTTGTTTCATCCATCTTCATACAGTTTTTTTAGTTTTAATTTTGGCAACTTTGGAGTATTGTTTTGAAATTTTGTGGAAGTTTCGGATTTACGGGATGCTGAACTTAATCAAATCATGTTTGGATTTATTTTATTAATTTAATTTGTACGAGTCAACTCAACATACCAAGTGGGTTGAAATATTCTTTATAGTCCAATCTTTCGCGATAATACCATGTTCGAAAATTATCCCATTCTTTACAAAGTTACCAATATTAAAAATGGATATCTAAATTTAAATGAACATTCGAAAAATGTTATGGTTATTGATTTAAGGTCTAGCAATATCGGAACTCTGAAAAAGGTCAAAGAACTGAATGTTCTTGACGGGAAATCGGCCCAAAATATCAGTATATTACTGGGTGGTTCCTTGAAACACATGGCATACGATGACATAAAAAAAGCCCTGCTGAGATGCGACGAAACTGTTTTAACTGAAAGCATAACTGAACAACTGATACAGGTAAAATTCGAGGAAAAACCACCATTAGATGTGTGAGGCATTTGTTATTTTTCAGTACTTGCCACCTGCTGACCAACTGACAAAGTTGCAAAGTTTCAAAGACAAGTACGATGATCTCACAGAGGCGGAACAATTTTGCGTGAAATTGTCAGAGGTGAAAAGGCTGCTGCCTAGGTTGAAATCTCTCAGTTTCAAGCACCATTACGTGGAAATGGTACAGGATACCAAACCGGTGAGCACCTCCTTTTGGAGTATTCGCCCAAAGGCGATAATTTTCAAGTGTTTATGGGATAATGAGTGAAAATATTGGGACGCTTTTCAGGATATTGTAGCTGCCACTGCCGCCTGTGAAGAGGTGAAAAAGAGCAAGAAATTTTCCAAGATCCTGGAACTCATTTTGCTCATGGGCAATTATATGAATTCTGGCACCAAAAATGCCCAAGCATTCGGATTCGAGATATCCTTCCTCACCAAAGTTAGTAAGATCCGATATACTAGAAAATATACAGTTAATCGTTGACCGATTTTTTTTTCTTTTTTTTTTTGACATGTGCAAAAGATGTTACAAATATTTTTTCAGCTCAGCAGCACAAAGGACGTTTCCAATAAACAAACCCTGCTCCACTATATCGCTCAAACGGTCGAGAACAAATGGCCGGAACTGTTGAATTTCTATGACGAGATGCCCCACATAAACCAGTGAGTTTTTTGGAGAATTATTTTTTCTATATTGCGACTTTAATGGAGTCATTAAGACACCCAAATGCGTATCGAAACAGCTTCTATCAGGACACGCTGAGGCAAAATGGGCGTGTACACCTTAGTAGAACTTTTAACTCAAACCATGTTTATAGTGATCCTTTTATACATAAATAATGATTGACGACATAATTCGATCGAAAAATTAACTGGAATGTTTTATTTTTGGACATAAATAATGGTACCTTCTGAAAACGGACCCTCTTATGACGTAGAAACCTCATCTCGCCATAGTTAAAAGAAAATACGAAAAGCCCGACGGAGACTGAGGCAACTGATATATTAATTCTTTCAACTGTGATCTCGCGCTAATTCACTCTGTCAGAAATCATGTATCATTCATCTTTGTCTGGAATAGTCCTGTTTCAGTATTAGGGTTTTGACGTCACATCATCGCCTCGTTTTCAGAGGTCCGAAAAATCGGGGATTTCAATATTTTTTCATAAAACGTAGGGGAGCTCACAGCAAGAAACGGTTTGCGGTGGTGAGCTAGTTTGGGCGAGTTCTATCGAATTATGAAATATTTTTTTTGTGATATAAGCCCATTAGTGTTTACATTCACATATTGTGGTGGTATAGGTCGCCGGTTTGACACTTTACTTGGAAATTGTGAAATTTTTTCTCATAAGCTGGACGAGGTTTCTTGAGCTAAAAATCATTTATAGCCGTTTGGGTAAATTCCCTCTGTTCAGGAGAGGTACAACTCAAGTTTGCCTCTTGAGTCATTCTCAAAATAATAAATTCAGAATTTTGATAGACCAACAATCACTGGAATAATGATGTTAATTTGAATATTTTTTTACCATCTGTCAAATTTGGGAATGAACATTCAAATATTTTTTCATTGTTACCAGCTATACTTCATATCTTTCTAATATACAGTATGATGCAAATGTATGGAATAAATTCATTATTTCAGAAATAGGCGACATTTGAAGATATTCCAAAAACACGTGAGTTTTAATTTTTGAAACCTCATCTCATGACATTCATATGAGAGATGTTACGTCACCGGTGTTGGAGTAATGACGTAATGGACGGTTTTTTTAAATACAAACAGGGGTCATGTGACACCTCGTTTGAAAGGTCTACAAATCGTCTATTCAACAGTCAAAATGTTGCATAAGAAGATTGAAATTAAAATGGATTATCATTTGGTTAACTGAATCTTGCAGAGATCTTCTACTGAGAATTGAACATCGAAGGGTCGTCTAGTTGAAAAAATACATCGATAAAAAAGTTCTGAAGTCTACTTTTTGGATTTTTTTCGGAAGTCGTCTTTTTTTGAAATGAATTTATTCCATACATTTGCATCATACTATATATATTTTTTTAATTTATTTGAAAACTAAGAGATAACAAGATCCATAATGAGTAATAAAATGTATAATTATCATATGTGTGACTTGCATGTCAACAAACTTGTATGATTATTCGCGTGCGTCAAAATAGTGTCTTATAAAAAAAAATGTGTTTTCAGAGCGAGTCGCGTTTCTTTGGACGGGATCCAAAAGACCCTCAAACAAATGGACAACAGCATCAGAAACCTCAAGACTGACTTGGAGAACAATAGAGTGCCCCAAGGAGACGACGACAAATTTTTGGCTGTCATGGAGGTATTGAAAATTCATTTATGCCTTGCATAGTGAACTGAGTAGAACATATCAAAATAGAATTGAATAAATGATAGTTCCATTTGAAAGCAATGTTTAAATTTTTCCAGAAATTCGCCGAGGACGCCCGAGAACAATGCGATGTGATGCAGAAAATGTTGAAAAAAGTGGAAACTTTGTACAGTGATCTTTCTGAATATTACTCTTTTGACAAACTGAAATACTCTCTTGAAGAATTCTTCATGGATTTGAAAGTTTTCAAGGACAGCTTCATTGTGAGTGTGCAACTTTATTCTTCTGTGTGTTTAATATTCAGATACAAAATATCACGTTTTAGAACAATGACAGTAATTGCACCATTCCAGAAAGTATATTTATTTGTTGTGAATGAAATGAAGGAGATTTTTATAGGAATTGACATTTCAGGAAGCCAAGACGGACAATCAGAAGGAGAGAGAGTTGGAGGAGAAAAAGGAAAAAGCAAGATTGGCGAAACTGCAACAAGAAAAAGAAAAAGAGGAGAGAATCAAAACAAAACAAAGGTTGATCGATATGAATCCTACGGAAACGCAAGAAGGCGTTATGGATAGGCAAGTTTTTTCATTGGAATCATACATTGTGATTTCAAGTGTTGGTTTTTTCAATCATGAAATTTTCATATTCTTCGTTATTCTAGTTTGTTGGAAGCTTTATCAACTGGGAGTGCTTTTGGGAGGGAGCAAAAGAAACGGAGGGGCCACAGGCCTGCAGGAGGTAAAAAATTTAGGATATTTTCCAGAAAATATACTCACCGCATGTATTTTTTAATGTTTCAGCTGAACGGAGAGCACAGTTGGTTAGATCCAGGTCAAGAACTGGTTTGGTTGCAGAAAGGGAATTAACTAGGTGAGTAAATCTTGAATAAAATTGAACATCTATGCAACATGTTTCATGCCTCTTTGGATTTACAGGACAATATCTTTGAAAAATGACGCTCTGGTGTTTGAGTCTCATTTGGACGAGAATGATTTGGGTTATTCAACAGCTTCAGTGTATTTTTGATTCTCCGTTGAACATGTATGTCTAGTATTGGTTGCTTTAGCTGTGCCAGCTTTTTGTGCTCAATTATTGGAAATCAACAGTGTTCGGTTATCTGGAATTTCCATTGTAATGGAAGATTCAGAAAATTTTGCACTATTAAATAACACTTGCTTTCTCAACACAATCAAACAGCTTGGATATAAATATGTAGTGGAAATGTAATTTTCGAAAATCAAGAAAAGCTATGCAACTGATATGGAGTATATATACAGTGTGTCCACCTCAAAGACTTACCACCCCTGTAAAATTGTTATTATCTGACCGATTTCAAAAAACTTTTTTTTGTTGGATAGGTATTTGAAATGTCCATCCAACAAGAGAGTGATTTTACTCAATAACTGTAATCGTGGCCAACTGCGACCAACTTTATGGACCCATATTTGAGAAAGTACTATTAGGGATTTTTTTTTCACAAAATACAATGATGGATTCTGAATCACGATCACTTGAAAAACACCTTTACTGATTTTTTCGTGCGCTCCAAGCGATAAAAAAAAATCATAAAACACAGGGTGTCCGAAAAAACGAATTATGTTTTTTTTAATAGGTGATCAGAAAATGTAGTATTGTCGTATATTTGAGAAGAATTGATGACACATTATTATTGAGGATCACTTTGAACATATCTGTACCGATTTTCATCATCAAAAATACGATGTGTATGAGAAAACAATTAAAAAGAAAAAGTAGGCAATATTTTTTCATCAACTCAAAAAAAATATTAATTTGATTTTTCGAACATCCTGTGTTTAATGATGATGAAAATCGGTACAGGTATGTTCCAAGTGATCCTATTTCATCTTTTTATTTTGAGTGAAGAATTATCAGGATGAAAAATATTGCTTACCTATCCTTTTCAATTTTTTTCTCAGACACATTGTATATTCAAATGACGAAAATTGGTACAGGTATATTTGAAATAATCCTCAATGATAATTTGTGATTATTTCCCTCTAGAAAAACCACAGAACTACATTTGCTGATCACCTATTTGAAGAAAATGATGATTCGTTTTTTCGGACACCCTGTGTTTCATGATGATGAAAATCGGTTCAGGTATATTTCAAGTGGTACTCATTCAGAATCCATCATCAAGTTTCGTGGAAAAAAATCCCTAATAGTACTTTCTGGAATATGTGTCATTGAAATTTGTCGCAGTTGGCCACGATAACAGTCCAAGAATTAGATCACTCTCTCGTTGGATGGGCATTTCAAATACCTATCCAACAAAAAAAGGTTTTTTGAAATTGGTCGGATAATAACGATTTTACAGGGGTGGTAAGTTCTTAAGGTGGACACACTGTATATCTGATCTGAATGTCAGATTTGAGATGCCTTGAATGAATGCCCATTTTCCCATGAACAAATCAAAAATTGATCCATTCCTTTTTTTTTTCAGAGAGATACTTGCGTGATATCCCTGACTATGTCCCTGATAATAGTAGAAATAATACAACGAAATTAATTATGCGCTCAAACTATGTTATAAATAGGTTGTATTTGAATGGTATTGTAAATTGTTTACCAGTTATTTTGTAAATAGTATCTCATATTTTTTGTACATTTTGAATTTGAAGAATCTCAATATTTTTTTATTATATTTACTTCATGTAAGGTCCAAAATGCATATAATTTCAATCTTTTGTTAATTTCAGGGTGAGTAATTAGATTGTATTGTTGCTTTTTTTAGATTTTAAATTGTTGGTTTTTGTTATTGATATTGTCTTGATACCCTTAAAAATAGTGGGATTCAAATGATTCCTTCAAGTGTCCCACTTTAGCCTCGAGTTTATTTTATACCATTAACATAAGATTGAATATTCAATAAGAAAGTGATGTGTTCCAAAATATTCAATAATCAGGGTCCTTTTCGGACAAACTTGATACTTTCACTTCAGGAATATGCTTACATAATATTTATATACACGATATTTTTATAAAAACTGTGAATAGGATTATACATATATAATATTTTAATAAATTATTACTTGATTGTTAAAAGGATTTTCACTTACCACATTAAAAATGATAAGACGAGCTAAAGAAATAATCAATTTATAACTTTATTCAAAGTATTTGAAATTGTTTAGATGTCTATAATATCTCATTACAATAAATATGATCAGATAAATAATTACTTTGAATCTTTCAGTTGATTGTACATAATTGATTAAGTATTCAGTTATTCATTCAGTATTCTTACAATTTTAATGTTAGCAGATCCTGCGTCGAACCGAAATAAGTCACAGCAAATATTGTTTTGGTCTGGTAATATATCAATAGTAATTTATTTCGGTTCGATATTAGTCTACTAACTTATTTTGAGAACAAATCGGAATACAATTACAAGTTTGGGATTTCCGAATTGAATTCCCTGTGCATTTTTTTTCAGTGCAGTTTATTGGAACACCTAGTATTTCAAAGAGCTACCTAATGAATTTCCTAGTCAGTCGAAATATTGGTAACCAAAATATTGATAACAATAATGTCGTCATCAATTTTTGTTTACTAGGGTATGTTTTATCACAATTTGGGAATACATGATTTTTTGATTGCCGATATTTTGACTAAGAACAGAAACGTCATCATATTATTACTTACTTTTATTTGATGATTTACCTCATCTAAATTTCGTTTAATACTATCGGTTAATATGTGAAAATGAAATTCAAATCAATGAAATAACAGGTCAGTTAAATTGGGCCATTCAGAAATATTTCACAAATCAACATCACTCATTTGATATCTATTGGTCTATAGGAAATAACGAAATATACAGTTTATCTTGATCAAAGTTGAAAGGTAATCTAATTCAAGGAATAGAAAAAATATAGGGGATTAATAATTATTATGGTGATGGATGACTCAATTCAACTGATACTGTTTTTGACAATCTAATACTACTAAAGTCGTTTTTCGAAAATTGGAAGAAGTTTTTGGAAGTCAATGTGAGCAAAGAACCACAAAAAGTTTCATAAATTTTGCACCCATCCATATTTCATTACTATACAGGGTGTTTCCTAACTACGGTTCCTAACTGCAGGTGGTGATTCGTTAGGTCATTCAAGGAAGAAAAGTTCCTACTAAGATATATCTGTAGTTGCTCCGTTTCTGAGATACAGGGCGATGGAATTGAAGAAAAAAAACGGTAATAACAAAATATCATGAATATTCTGGAACCGATCCGGTTGAATTTTGGTACTTTCATTTGAACTAACAAGGCTCTTATTTTGTCCTAATTAGATTGAAATTATTGGCGCCAGTGGCGTCTCAGTGGACACCACCGCCAACAATATTGTAAAAACAAAGGACGCCACTGACTTTTTTGGCAAATTCTTTTTTTTTATGTTGAGCAACTCAAAATACAACTTTTTGGTCTCCTGTATATTCTTCATATCTAGCTTCGTTTTCGAGAAAAAAAATTAAAGCCACTGTATTGCATAATATATCATGAACACCTGCATTGGAGAAATGAGTTTTTCATTATTTCCGCTAATAATATAATTGACACTTGATATGCTGAAACTTCAGAAAATTTGACAAATAAAAATACCAAATTTCAACCAAATCGGTTCCAGGATATTCATGATAGTTTATAATTAACGTTTTTCTTTCTTCAATTTCAACGCCCTGTATCTCAGAAACGAAGCAACTCCGGGCATATGTTCATTGGAACTTTTCTTCTTAAAATGACCTAACAAATCACCCACACCAGTAAGGAACCGTAGTTAGGAAACACCCTGTATATCTAATACATTTCCATGCACGTTTTCATTTCACTGAAACCCTTCAAAAAATTGGACGAAAAATATTAATAAACTTGATAATACTGATCTACATTTTCAACGATTTCGGATATTTGGTCATAGTAACAAACAATATAAGAAAAATACTAGTCAAAAGAGATGTAAAAAATTTTGATTTTGTGAACGTACCCGTCGTTTGGAGATTATTTAAGCATTCTTTTAAACTGAACTGGTGGCGTGGTGAGAAGTACAGTGGCTGTCAGAGGAACACACGGACAGCGGAACGGGACTGTACGTCATCGCATTATTGTAGTCGGTGCAGTTCAGATACAGCCTGGAACTCGTGCGATCGCACTCTGGACAAGACCGTTTTTTCTTTTTACTCCTTCTAAAAAGGTCGTAGGCACATCTAGAAACAATTTGAATCGATTTATTTCCAGTGAAAATTTGAAAATACAACATGGCCACACCAAGATGGCGGACAATGTCGCCATTGCCTGTTTGATTCGACTGAGAATTCATATCTGATGGTTTCTAACATTGAGTAACAGGAATTTCTAGTCAAAATTTGAAAATTCCAGATGACAAATCCAATATTTCATTCAGGAGTGTATAATACAGGATGAGACTACATTTAATATTGCTCAAACTTTTTTGTATGCATATTTTTGAACAATTTTATTTCGAATTATGAAAATCCACACCTCTTTAACTTTCAGATGTATCATTATGGAGTAAAATCGATTCAAACATATTGTTACATCTCAGATATTATGCGTAACTTTGCGATCAACTGTAGTGGATATGGAAAAAATGCACAAAAATTGGAGTTGTTTTCTATCAATATTTTCCTATTTTAGCGCTTCTATGGGATTTTTTGGTTAAAATTAAGTAGTTACTATTTGTTATAGCCACTATTATTTGAAAATTCCTCATAGAAAAAATCGAATTGACAACTGGAAATGAAAAATCTGGTATGGAATGTTTTTTGTTACCTTGCATGGAGGATATGTGCACAAGGCAGGGCTTCGAGGGAATCGCTGTCGATGCCGTAGGGCGATCCGCAGCCGGCGCACAAAAGGTCCAGGTCCTCTTGCAGTCTGAGGGCTACCCTTTCGTGGTGCACTTTTTGCTCTTCGTCCCCCAAAGAGTGGTATATCCGTGACAGTCTTATGCGAACTTTTCGAACCAAAAGCTACAAAAACCTCCTTTCTTATTATTTATATCTGACATAATGTATCAAGATTATTCCAGGAAAAACAGCTTCCTTATGAATAATACTCGTTTCACAAGAAATATTGAAAGTCAGTCGAGAACAATAGATAAATTTTATAAATTTTCAACATTGATATCTCCCAATTCCAAGGTTATTGACAACATACAAAACCAAATTAACGGTGCTCTAAAATTGTTTCCCAGTATTTCTAGAGCTGAAAGTACGACCAAAACGAACTTATCTATACTAATATTATAAAGAGAAATAATTTGTTTGTTTGTTTGTTTGTATTCAATAGGCTAGAAAAATACAAAAGATACTGGAAGAATGAAAATAGGTGTGTAGGTAAACACAATAAAATGAAAAAAAAAAAAAAATATGTACTGTAGATAAGCACATAGCTCAGAACAATTGCAACAAATGTTTTTTTTTTAAAATGGGTACACCAACCGTGCGAAGCCGGGCCGAACAGCTAGTTTAATATAAACTTATTTCCGAAAATAAAAATGATTAGAGAGATAATTATAACTTAGCTTAGATCCTTGATTATTCACACTAACAAGATGATCCACCTCCATGTAAAATATTGAAGCCAAATTTGGCCTTAGTTATTGGCTGGTTCGTAGGCAAAGATCGCATAATATGGCCGATTTGTCTCGGAATCTGCTCGTGTCCATCCATCTGCAAGTTGCCGAACTCTCTAGGAATATCCTTTCTGCAGCATGAAAATCACTTACTTTGATATTCTGAAGGCTTCCAAATAAAAATATTTCGATCCGGCCTAATGCAAAGTTTTTCAATGTATTCCCTTTACAACCCTCCAAATGAACTCCTCTACCAACTCACTAATAATGTACAACCAATTAGCGAGAGGCTGGAAAAACTAGTACAGAAGTTCTCCAACAATGGAAGTAACCTGCAGATCATTCAAACCCAGTGCATCCAAAGACACCCTACAGAGACCACAAGTCACAAATTTCCAAACACCTTGGTGGAATGCATCACCAACATTGCAGAAATGCCAAGAAATTAGGAAATTTATCAATCTTTTTTTTTACTCTCATCAAACAATAATTCACATAAATATGATTATATCTAATTATTCAATCAAAGAAATGAAATACTCGACAAAAAGTCGCTCATAGATACAGCCACCTACTGAATATAAATAATTTCTGGCTTGATTGCTCTCAAGAATGGTTCATCTTGTTAGTGTAACAAATCAAGGCTTACTAAAAGGTTATGCAGACTACAGACATCCATTTACATACTATTATAATAGTCAGTATTTTATGGTATTTCAAAAATAACTTTTCAATTTCAAAAACATTTCTGAAAAAAAATTCTTGTGAGAAAAGAAACATTTTCTTCTCGTTACCTTAGCACCAACAGAACTAGCTACTTCCAATAACCTAGTGTTGAATTCCAAAGGTCTGCAGTTGCAGATCTTGTGCTGCAACCTTAAGGCTTCCAAACATCTAGCTGCTCCGTCCATGGATTCCATCTGGATGACTCTGTCGCCCATCGCAGCTGCTGAACCCATAGCAGTTTCATATTGTCGAAATGCTTTCTAAAATAAAATCAATAAATCAATCGATCCAAATACATGATTGTCAAAGATATTACTCTTTTTTGGAAGATATTACTGGCAAATTACAGAATACAAGGTGAGGCAATCATTTCAAATAGATACAAAATATTTTTGTAAAATGACTTCCCAGGCAACCAGATGACGTTCCAGTGACGTCTTTTTTACGTCACTTGAAGGTGACGTCAGTAGTTGATCCATCGCCTATTCAGCAGCGCCATCCTACAGTACGTATCTCCATCAGTTACTTGTATTTGTATCAAAAATTATGTAGTTTGTGTCGGCGACATGTAAGCAAACAGAGAATATAGTTTGATAGCAATGAAAAGGATGTTGGCGAATTTGTTTTCACTTTGTTGAATAATGTATATTGATGCATTCTTTGTCACCCAACAAAAATCTAAATAGCAAATTATTGAAAAATATACTAAATGACGAAGCTCACGAAATTGGTACGTCACACCGACGTGATTTTTAGACGTCATAGATACGTCACTGCAACGTCATAAGAGTTTCAATATAGGTATACCTAAACAATCATTTTTATATTTACATAGCTTGTTGGTTTCCGAGATATACAGTGTGTCAAGTTTTTAAGAGAAAAGTTTTTCTACTACTTTTCGGGTATATTATTAATTAGAATAAAACTTGCATGTTGATTTGCTTTCATGAGTTATACTTTTGTTTCACATGATAATATATATAAGTATCCATGGTTTAGAGATGGTCTGGGAAAAATGGACGTCGACAGGACGTCCCTGCAACGTCATGAAACTGACGTCGTCTTTTACCCATCTAAGTGACGTTCACTCGACGTCGAAACGATGACGTGATTATCACGTCATAGAAGGTACGTCATAGTGCCGTCATAAATTGGTATGTGACGTCTCTGACGAAAAATCACCAATTATGGACGTCACAGTGACGTGATCATTCGTCATCTGGTTGCCTGGGTTATGACGACTTATATGTTGAAATAAACGCCTCACCTTTGAGACCACAAAATAGTAAGTAATTGCATTCATATGAGTAGAGGCTGAATCATGGCCAGAAGAGAAAAAAACCTACTTTGTTGTATACTCACATTGATGTCTGATTTTTTCCTGTAGATATCTCCCATTATTCGTATACTTTTAGCATAACTTGCTTGGTCTCCAGAAACTAGGGCCAATCTGGTAGCTTCCTACAAAGTAATTTCGTTTGAATTTGTTTCTTCCAAGCCATAATCTACTACTTACTGAGCAATAATCATGAGCATCACCTAATTCTCCCTGTTTTCTGAGTGCTGAGGCCATTTGTAAAAGAGCGGCTCTGAAAACATATGCGCTCAGTTCTTCAAAGTTCATATTTTTTTTTCATTTTTATTCATTATACCTGTGGTGTCTGGAATTCAAATCTCCCAACTGCAATGACCTGGATAAGTCATAAGCTTTTGAAGCATACCTTGCACTTTTGTCAGCATCCTGAAGTCTACTGAATAGTTCCGAAAGGCCTACATATACCTTAAAATGAAAATGTTCCACTTACAAAATATTCAAACTGAAACATCAGCATTTGATATGGAAAGAATGCAATTTATTCCCTTCTGTCTTTGTATTCAGAGTGGCAACGACTAACGTGTGATTATGAATATGTTTATGTTAGGAGAAAGGCTATTTTAGCGTGTCTTATATTGATGGTAAAATATTTTTGCGAACAACCAAGTACCCAGCCAGAAGAGGGGAAATACTTTTTTTCTGAACTCTTCTATTGAAAGTTGACTCGCCTGTAATTCTAGTGCGGGATCATGAACAGCCTGAGCTATCCGATGAGCATGTTGGAAGCTGTCTAACGCTTTGTTGAACCCGGCCAACTCCAAATAAACCGAACCCACGGTGAGATGAACATGCCCTGCTGTCGTGTGCTGTTCACATTCATTGTACAGGGAATGTCTGGCATATGCTAACGCCCTAAAATAGACGATGTGATTGAGTGCGTGGAAGCAGCAGACCGAGAACGGCTGATGAGACATGGTGAGCCGAAACAGCTCTTCAGCTCGATTTTTATTTGGAAAAGTTATTACCTACCTTTCCAATCCTCCTAATCTCTGGTGGGCCCTAGCTAAATTCAGATAGGATTCCGCTCGCATATTGGGACTGTCCAGTTCTTCGGATATGAATAGTTGTCGATGAGCGTATTCCAAGGCGTCTCTGGAATGGTAAAGAATAGAATCGGTTTTCTTTTGTGATAAGAGCGCAGTCAGTAGTGTAACTGAGCTGACACGGTCTCAATAGTTCATATGACATAATATGACTGGTGACACGTGTGTGTGAGACATGTTTTTTGGAGATGACTGTACCTGTATTTTCCCCAGTCCATGTAAGCCTGATAAAGGTATCCGAGAAGATTGAACTTGTCGTCTCTGGTCCGTATAGCCTTGAGAGCCGATTTCCATTTTCGTACCGCCTGTTGCTGCTTGTGTTGGTTGTAGAGTCGCAGTCCTTGATCGATCTGAGAAAATACCTAATTAATTTTTCAGTAATTTACATGAAAAATAAAAAATAGATACAAAACATAAAGGTTCTTGATCTCACTCCTCTACATTCAATTGTGGAGAACGAGGCGAAAAAACGACATACAGAAAGAAAGAAAAAGTACAGCAGAGTGGTTTACTTGTAGTACCACTTTGCAACATTGTAGGTGCAAGGGCCGACACGTGTTCATTAGAGATGGCAACGTCCTACAGTGTATGACGTGACCGCAAAGTCCTACTTTAGAACTAACGCCACTAGATGGCGATAGCATCACTAGATCACAAGGTTCTAGATCATGATGCGTTATCCAAAGTACAGGTTTGTGAAACAATTCACCACAAGGCTGAGCTGCAATAAAGAATGGAAAAGTGGATCCATGGTTATTGAGCTCAAAGAAGGAGCCATGAAGTGGTACACAGATGGCTGACTCCAAAGCCGCAGATGGAACTGGAATAGTGTACGGGCCTCGTAGCAAGTACTTCAAAAACAAGCATTGGAATTTCACCCTATAGGGAACTGTGTACAGTTCAAGCTAGAAAAATGCCATGAAAGGCGAGATATTATTATGATGTCCGATAGTCAACTAGTCAAGCAGCCATTAAAGCGCTGAGCTCTATAGTTTCCAGCTCTAAAATGGTTTGGAAGTGCTGAGAAAAACTGAACGAGCTAGTCAACAGAAATACCGAGTAGCTCTGGTGTAACTCTGGCCGTCAAAAAGAAAGCCACTAATTGTGGCGACAGTAATATTTTCCATGGTTAGGATTTTCTCCATATGAAATTATTTTTCAGGAAGGAAGACCATGGAAATAATGTGTTAAACATGGTTCAGAACATTTTGTGGAACAATGCCATTTCTTGATAGGAGATGGTATAAAAAATGTGAAGTTGGAAGAGAGACACACTTATTATGGATATATTCAGTTGGGAATAATGGCCCTAAAATGCCCCTTATGAACTTGAAAGAAACTAATTCTTCTTTCTTCGAAACTTACATAGAAATTTCAGTTAATTTTATGAAACATTTTGTGTTAATCTTATAAGGAAGATATTTCCATTATGTTGCACTTTTATTGCATTAATAAAATGGAATGAATTGTGATAATGACTTCTTTTTGATACATTTTCTTATTATTTCATTTTCAAACAATATTTTCCAAATTGATACTGAAATAAAATCATTGAGTTAGAATCATTCAATTTATCCAGTAGGAAATAATCCTCTTTAGTTAATTGTTTCTTCTTTCTCAGAAATGATGATGGCCTTATCAATTTCAAAAATGTTTCTTCACATCCCTTGTCAGCATGCCCTTATCCACCATGATTCCATCATTAGGTTCAGACTTCCCAATAACAGTTTCTTTATTAAAAAATGCTTTATCAGTAGCTCAACCTCCATATTCTTAAATGCCAAGAGTAATCAGTCCTGATGGAGTGTTATTGCAATAAGAATTTGACTGAGTTTTTGTTATGTATCTGTACAACAGGAGCACTGAGGAACATAACATATTATCTTTCTAGATATCTGTTTTCAGTCTTTTGTACAGGGTATCCCAATTTGGGCACTTTTGCGGGGTATCTCCCTTATTAGTTGAACTTATCGAAGAAGTTGAAACTTGTTTTTATAGAGTTTTTCTCGTAGAATCCAGTGGCGTAGTTATTTTTTTGCTAGCACCTTTTGTTTTTTAGTTATGGAGCAAACATATGTTTTTTTAAATGGAACGCCCTGTATATTATTTCATATACATTGAGCATGAAGTGGGCTTTCCAAAAATATATAATTGTATACAATTATTTTCCATTTAAAAAAACATATGTTTGCTCCATAACTAAAAAACAAAAGGTGCTAGCAAAAAAATAACTAGGCCACTGGATTCTACGAGAAAAACTCTATAAAAACAAGTTTTAACTTCTTCGATAAGTTCAAAGATAACTGAGACACGGGGGGTGATATTTTTCAATTCCACCCTGTATCTAGACAACCGGAAGAGCTACCACAATTCTGCTTGCGCCATTATTAATTTCATAAAAAAGTAGCACACTGTCGCGAAAACCGCAATGCTCTATCTTTACTGATAAGGGAGATACCCCGCAAAAGTGCCCAAATTGGGATACCCTGTACTTGCTGCATGTTTTGGGAAAATAGTAAACTATCTCGTGAATACAAAAACATATTGGAAAACTTCAAAATTTATCAAAATTCACTGAATTGCACAATGCTAAATTTGTTTGTTTTGTTTATCACGTCCGCCATTTTCATTTTGCCGTTCGACAAAAGACGACTGGGGAAACAGTGACGTCAGGCCAGAGAAATATGAGGCAACCTTATAAATTAAATTTCTGGGTGTTCATTTAGATGAGTTCGTGAGCTGGGACAAACACATAGATCTTATCAGTAAAAAACTCAGCTCAGCATTCTATGCCATTGTGCAATTGAAAAAAACATCGAATTTGAGTACTCTCATTAGTGTATACTATTCTTTAGTTTATAGTCATCTTTCATACAATGTCTGTCTATGGGGTAACGCTGTTAACTGGAAGAAAGTATTCATCAAACAGAAAAGAATAATGAGACTTATCTTTAATATTCCACATGGTGACACATGCAGGCATGCCTTTAAGAATAATAATATCCTAACCCTACCATCTATTCTCATATTCAAAACCCTCCTTTATGTAAAAAATAACTCACAAAGGTTTTTAAAACATTCTGATTATCATAGATATTCTACCAGGAATGCTCATGATTTTGATATCACTAGACACAATCTATCTCGTACTGAAAAATCCCCGGACTATTTGGGAAAAAAACTCTACAATCATTCACCTCAAGAAATCAGAGAAATGAATTTTATCAAGTTCAAACCGTCCATAAAGCGCATATTGACTCATGGCGCTTATTATGACATAAATGAGTACTATGAATCTAGCTTGCTATAACGGCATAGTGTATTAAATTGGTAGTGTGTATACCCCAAATTGTCAATTGGTGTTCTTTTACTCAAATTGTCTTTTCTTTTTACCTCATAATATGTCGATTTTATTCTACCCCATAGGTGTAAATGTTTTTCGTTTTATCCTAGGTGTGAATCTTAAATTGTAATAATTGTAATTCTCATTATCTTATACGTGTAAATCATAATTTTAAATGTCTTGCCTATGCTGCATACTTTTTTAAAATACTTTTTTTATAACTGACGTGTATATCCATTTTCGGATGGCTGCTGTATGCTAATACGAATAAACATTATTATTATTATTATTATTATTATAAAGTTAAATGGCCTCGCTGTGGTCCTACCTTCCTCTTGGCCAGACTGTGGTGTATCCTGGCGCGACAGGCGTGAAAACAGCCCCACGTGCACCTCTTCGCAGCCACCCTCGACGGGCGCACCTCCGCATAGGTATCCCGGTGCAGACTCGAGCAGGAGCTCGTCCACGGCCAGGGGCGGTCGGAGGAGAGGGTGGGGCCAGGGCCGTCGAGGGGGTGGCGCGAGCCGGAGGGCGATGGGGACAGCAGCCGCGTGGCGGAGAGCTGGTAGTGCGGGTGGCGGCCGCCCACGCCGCCCACGGAGATGCCCAAGGTGCCGCTGAAAAACGTGATGCGAAATGAGTGGTATTTGGTATTGGCATTTTTTAATACTCTTTTTTTATTATTAGCTTAGCTTCACATACAGGGTGTCCCACTTACCATGCTCACCATGGGTATCTTTTTAACGGTGAGAGATACGAGGTCGGTTAAATGACACCAAATGTGGAGTTTGTCAAAGCCAACTGTAATGTGAAAAAATATTTTGATGAAATCTATTCGTTTTTGTTTTATACGCAAAAAACAGATTTCGATCATTTTCTTGTCTCCTCCGTAACTTCTTTATTTATGAAAATATTCAAATAGGAATTTCACATTCTCATGGCAGTTTTTCATAGTGATTTCGAAAAAAATATGAATTTTGTACCAACTCTTCTAGAATTTGAGATATCAGCACCAACTTTAGTTTTTCAAATGTAGGTCAAAGCTCACTATGACATAGTTACAAATAACTTTTTTTTCTCTTACAGATGATATGTCGCAGTAATAGTTTCGTATTGATAACAACGGAGTTATCGTCATTTATACAAAAACAAAAAATTATTTGGAAGCCGCCATCTTGAATTTATAGATTTTAACAAAAAAATCATGATCTCTGACCTCAAAAACCCCCACTTACCAATTTTGAATGGAATCGGACCAAATCTTGTCCGCCATCTTGGAGCAGCCATTTTTTTTTCAATTTCAACAAAAATTCCATAATGAATTGTCACCGAAATTATGAACACCTGCCAAATTTCAAGTTAATCGAAGTTATGGAATTTTCGCTGAAATTAAAAAAAATGGCTGCTCCAAGATGGCGGACAAGATTTGGTCCGATTACATTCAAAATTGTTGAGTAGGGGTTTTTGAGGTCGGAGATCATGATTTTTTGTTGAAATTTGTGATTTCAAGATGGCGGCATCCAAATCATTTTTTGTTTTGTACAAATGACGATAACTCCGTTGTTATCAACACAAAACTATTACTGCGACATATCATCTGTAAGAGAAAAAAAAGTTATTTGTAACTAAGTCATAGTAAGCTATGACCTACATTTGAAAAAGTAAAGTTGGTGCTGATATCTCAAATATTAGAAGAGTTGGTATAAATTTCATATTTTTTTCGAAATCATTTTGAAAAACTGCCATGAGAATGTGAAATTCCTATTTGAATATTTTCATTAATAAAGAAGTTACGGAGGAGACATGAAAATGATCAAAATCTGTTTTTTGCGTATAAAACAAAAACGAATAGATTTTATCAAAATACTTTTTCACATTAAAGTTGGCTTTGACAAACTCCACATTTGGTGTCATTTAACCGACCTCGTATCTCTCACCGTTAAAAAGATACCCATGGTGAGCATGGTAAGTGGGACACACTGTATATGTGGGTGATTCACCATAAATGTCCCCCCCTCTAGCTCACTTATTTTTGAACCGATTCAAAAATTTTAAAAATCATCTGAAATGATTTTTCAGGATTTTTTCCCGTTGCATCAGAAAATACAGGGTGCTCGGAACAAACGATCTACAGAGTACTACTTGATTTTTTCAAATGGAACACCCTGTATTTCATCGTATTTTCAGATTCTCCCTGAAGAGCTGATTTCATCAATGCATCACACTTGGGGTCTAGCGGGAATGATTACAGAGATATAGGGTGTTCAAAATCGAGATTTTTTTGTGTCGAAACTATTCATTATTGGTCGAAACGGCTTCAATGTCCCTATCTCAACTTTTGATTTACTATCTACTGACATTTAATTGGAACATATACAGTGTGGTTCAAGATTCAGAATTCTGATCACCCTGTATCTGTTCCAATTATATTATATTCTTCACAGAAGAAAAGTAAAAACACCGGAACAAAATGTGAAAAGGAGAATGACCATCTTGATGAGGTACCTACTAGAAAACATTTTGAAGTTAGAAACTACAAGTTCAAATTTTATAAACCCAGAAGCTATCGAGGTACATCATATTTCCTTTCAAGGGTTGCTTCTCCTTCTAGAGAAAGGAAAAGATGAATGTGTACATTCTGGGCAGATATTCATCGTTGATGAAACAATTCGTCCATACATTGTACAAAATAATGTTAATAATATATTTGATAAATTGATACACTAGATCAGCGATTCTCAACCCTTTTCAATAATGTATCACAACCTCCTTTTTATATAATTTCAAGTACCACCCATGATATAATATGATTTTTATGGTACCACCTAATAACTGAAAAACCTATTTCGGCAATTTGATCGATTGTAATCCACTTGCTAAAATTTTATCCAGGAGAGAAAATTAAATTCAACAATAGTAAAAACTTTTTCAACTTCAGTTCATCATCACACGACCTCAACAAGTTCAGAATATACAGGTTGTCCCAAAATTAGCCTGCAATTTATGAAATTCATTATCGATTTTAAATTAGTTAAGCGAAATTATGGATGCCACTGGCATCAATTGGTATTTCACCAGTATCTGACAAAACATAATAGGAATTCCTTCTCGTACGCTCCAAAATTACCTCATTGAAAAAGTCTTCATCTGAAATATATTGATTTAGATTTCATCCTCGGCAGAAGAGCGAGAGAACATAGTATTTAGTTTTTAAAAACGAAACTTGCTTAGTTGCAATCTAAAATTTTGAAAATATCTTTTATGAGAGCAATAAAAATTTTTGGAGGATCAAAAAAGGCTATTTTTCATAGTTTTTATTAGACAGAATGTCTAGTATTTATTAAACCATCTTTCAATTCCTATATAATTATAAGTCGATGGTATATTAGCAACCGTATATAGTAGGTTTATCTACCTGATGTAATCATGATGGGAATTGAGAGACTCCCAAGACATTTTGGCATAGGAATCAACTAGCTTTCCTCTCCATTCCAAAGACGGTCAACTTGGCCTTGCGGATCGCCAAAACCCTCGAACACTTCATGTTAGAAAAAACACTCGCGACAAAACAGAAACCCCAAAATTACGGAAACGTCACTGATTGGGAGAGGTGGTGGATAATCCTCTCTTGAAACCCCGAAAATATTTTTTCGTTGCACATAACACACCCCTTTCGCGACATCCAGCCTCCCCCAATCAGTATCTGGACCGAATCTGGAGCACGAGTCCGTCAGAAGTCGTGCGCGATCGGCCGACCTCGGCTTACCTGATCCAGACAATCCAACGTGAAAAATCGAAATTTGGAATTGCTGCGGTAAAAACACGTGTTCACTCGTATTAACGCCTGTTGTAGCAACAATTATCACTTATATTCTCCCTATAGCAGCAGAATTTTCGCCGATAATTTTTTCAATGTCACGAATGTTTTTGTTGATAGAGAATTATCCCGAGTGGAAGACGAGAGAAATTTTCTATCAACAGAAACATGAGTCATACCGAGAAAAAAAAATATTGGTATTTAATTCTGCAGCGTGAGAAATTCGGCAAGAGAATTTCATAAGTTGGAGTTGCTTATAATATGATGAGAAGTTGAACCATACGTCCCATTCTTCGTAGATGTCAAATAAAATTTGACACTTAGGTATAACTCGTTTTTATTACTAATAACAAGTAAAATCAACTTCTATTGTAAAAATATAGTGCGTCATATTCATCGGAAATATATTTTTTCTGCAACCGACACAAAAGTCGTCTATTTTGATACCAAAATTAGCTCTTAAATTGACGTTTCTATTCCTGGCACAAAAATAGGTATGTTACTAGGCAACATATTTAGTTCCTAGGAGCTAAAGTTGAATTTTAGTTCCTAGGAGCTAAAGTTGAACTTTAGCTCCTAGGAACTAAAAAGGATCTACTGGACGTCATCAAGAATATACAACATTGTGACGGTTGGTTATTTGGGTTGAGACGCATACCTGATTTGTTTCCGATTTCAGCAGATTTGGCATTTCATGCCCATGCTGGAGAAATAAATACACTTTATTATAGTTCAATATTGGAATTATAAACATCTCAGTTAAGTATTTTTTTTGATCAGGGAAGCCTTCAAGATTCAAATACTTGCTTGATCTGTATTTCATTCGTTATTCTCGGGATGGATAACTTGTTTTTGAATAATCACGGCAAGCAATAGTTTTTTGTCTCAAAAAACGATATTGTTTAGCTTCATTTGATTATCAAGTCAAACACAGTGTAGTATGGAGAGGAATAAATAATCAATATTATCATTGTTGATATGCTCACTAACCTAACATTTTCCACGTCTTGTTCCTATAGCTGGCACTGGCGCGGTATTTGCCATTAGAGCACTTGGTCCATACACAAATATGTCACTCTGTGGTTGTATTTATATTGAAACCATAATTCGAACATCCTAGAAAACCTGACCTGCTGTTAATGCATCAGGTAGAATATTCTCACCACATTATTTGTCAATATTTGTTGCATTGCATACATATGGCACGGCATTGGTGGTAACTTCACATATTTATTTGAGTTAATTGTTTCGGTTGCAGAAAAAATAGCATGTTTCATTCGGATCAAAAGTGACTTTGTTCGACTCGCAAATTTTGCTTTCGCTCGGCTTCGCTAAACGCTCCGCCTCGCAAATGCAAAATTCGCTTGTCAAACAAAGTGTCACTTTTGATCCTAATAAAACAATCTACTATTTTTGAGTTTAATTTGAATTTAAAACTACCTATAAAGACATTGTGACATGTGAATATGCGTGAGAAACATTAAATAACAAATTTGTTATCTGAAATTCGATGTCTTCATAGTTTTAAATTCAAATAAAACTTGAAAAAAAATATTTCCGAAGAGTTTAAATATGACGCACTATATTTATACAATAGAAGTTGATTTTACTTGTTAGTAACTAAGATTTATTACTTAAATTTCAGGAACATTAATTCGTTTTCGACCATAACATGTGATATTACATGTCTACATAGTTTCAAAATAATGAAACTGAGTTACTTTTGCCAATAGATATAAAGCGCTTTATTTTTGACAGAATAATTGTCAATAAGAAACGATTTTAGTTCAATTGCTAGAAAGCTGCTCAACGAAAATTCGTGATATTTTTGGGGAATTCATGAGTTAGGTTAGGTTGACATTTTATAACCTGCCAACAGAGATGAAATGCCAAACTTTTTTCCCATCACAGAACAAAAGAAATTATATAATAACAACAGAACCCTTACCATCATTAAAGGATTTTCCAATGGGATTTTTAAGCTTCCTTGATGGATATATCGGAATTCAAGCCTTTTCCCAGGCTCTTCTTAAATGATAATGTCACTTTTTGGTTTGATATACGAGTAGAAGTAGTAGTTCTTCGATCAATGTGCATGCCTTTTGTTTTTTCATTCCTCAACAACCTTTTCTGATAACATCAGATATACTTATTAGAATCAACATCATTCCATGGAATCGGAAGTGGGTATCACTAATCACAAAAAATAATAATTTCAAGTGGAATGTACCGCTTTCAAGTGAGTCACACAGAATCTTGATTTAAGCAACATTCAAGGAGAAAACATCCCTCATTACCTCTCACTTCAGTGAATTTACCAAGTAGGCTTGGCATCGACTTTTTCGGTTACTAGATCTCTATTGGACGAGTTCCTAGTCTATAGGCGTGTCAAAAACAAACCTATCCTACTTAAGTAACATAAATGATATACTTATTACTTACTCACCATTATTAATCTCTCTCTGATTCCGATGGGATTCATCAATCCGCACAAATAATATTGATGGTCTCAGCCACCTCTATTCATATGGAATATAATTCAGATATGACAAGAAGGTGTTTTGGCGAGACGAGACAGCAGATTTGTAATTTTCGAAAAGGGGGCGTCACACCAAAAATGTTCGTTCAGCCTGGCACAGATGTTGGACAGAGATACACAATCTGAAAATATCAATTTGACGTTTAGTTTTGTTTCAGTTCTTGACGGAAATACATCTGGATGGTTTCGAAGTGTCGTGGTGCTTATACCTATGTGACAAATTATCGTGAATGTGAATATAATATAGATATTTTTATTAGGTATATCAGGAGTACATTTTTAAATCTGCTGTAGCAACTGATGATAGGTGAGGCTGTTTTCATAAATAAACGAGAACTTGACTGATCATTTATACGAAGATATAGGCTGAAACATATCCTTGTAGTACACCAGCCGTCAAAGTATAGAAAAATAGGAAAATTGATTTATTATTGATTGTACTTTCGCGGGATTGATATAATACAAACTATAAAATATTATGGGACTAGATTTTCTATGTATATTCTAAACTTTGTATAGAATATAGAAGGTGTCCCAGAACAACGTACCATAAATTGTACAAGGTGAATTAGAGACCAAAATGGGCCGATTGAAATTAACTCACCTCTACTATACGAAAATGCACCGTTGAGACGTTATAGATGGCGATGAAAAACAATTTTATTTACAGATTTTCTTCAATATCTTGAAATATTTGAAAGGTACTGCTCTTAAGTTCGTAGGGCAATTTACTATAGTGATTGTGCATGGAAAACATGACGTACCGATTCAATCAATATACAGGGAGTTAGGTATTTCGCATTCTCTTTGTTAAAAATTAATGTACCCTTTTTTTGGAGTACGGCACTAACCACATTTTGTTACAAACGAGTAGTATGGGCACCCAAGATGAATTTTGCGATAAATTTTTTTATTTATCTCGAAAACCATGGAAAATTAGAAAAAAACTGCATTTAGAAAGAAGTGAGATAACAAATATTAAAATTTGGTCAGTGCCGTAATCGAAAAAGTTGCATTGATTCTTTACAAAGAGAATGCGAAATTCCTAACTCCCTGTATATATTGATTGAATTGGTACGTTTTCAAGGATTTCTAAATATTGAAGAAAATCTGGAAATGAAGTTGTTCTTCATCTCCCTCTCACAGCATCTCAACGGTGCATTTTTGTAAAGAGGTAAATTGATTTCAATCGGCCTATTTTGGTATCTAGTTCACCCTGAAGAAATTTTGGTACGTTGTTCTTCAACCCCTATTATAGGTAGATACATTGAAATAGATCTATTACTATTATTGGTATTTTTCAAACAAAAATCATTTTACTATAGCCATACTATTCCTTTCCATCAGAAACTTATAAGGAACTGGTGAAGTTAATGATCATGGCTATAATTTACATATTAATATCTTTTGATAACAATAAATGTTCTTTTCATAAACCATAGGTGCAGATATAAGTATTTTGATTAAGTCTATCGCTCGGTTACATACAAACAGATTCAGAAAAAAAATCAATATGTACATCCAAAGTATTTTGTTTCAAGAGCGTAGATTTCCATCACCAAAGGAAAATGAGTTACTTTCCGAATTTATTCCAAAACCACCATTCATTTCATTCGCATCATGATGCGAATATTGACGTGAATATTCGAAAGACACAGCAGCATTTCCAACTGATTGGAGAAGAAAGTTCTTACATGAGAGGAGAGAAAATAGAAAGGAATGGTTCCAGAGGGAAAATGACGCGAAGGGAAAACAAAAATTTCGACTTCTTTCGAGAGAAAATTGAAGCGATAAAGCAATCGCCATCTTCGGACTGCAGCATATCGTCGGTTGATGGAGAAGATACAAAATTGACAAGGTAAGTAATGTACTTTTATGGCCCTACAAATAGAGGGTGTCCTAAAATTGCTGGGACACAGATTATTTTGACAAAATGAGTAATAAATGTACCATGTATACTATAGGTACTAATAATATGTATAGATCAGAAAAGGACAATACTTTATCTCAGTCAGATCTAATTCAATTTTTTATATACCTCTGTTATAACAGTTTGTTATTTCTTACGTTTATTTTTTTTTATTTGTTTTGTATTTTGATGTATATATATATAAGTCTATAAGCTCACAGAAAAGACACCATGTCATAATTCTGTAGACTATCGCAACACCTGTACTTCTCAAAGTGGTTCAATGTTCCACTAACAGATGGTGATATTTATATAACTATTGATAATAATGGCAACATGAATTATTTTCGTTTAATCCAATATTTAACTTCTTGAAGAAAGCTCGAGTGCGAGAAGCTCAAATTCGCGAATAGAATCGCTTCTACCACGCGGCCCCCGAAATGCGCATACAGTAAGAGTAGAATATTACAAAAATGTATAGGGTGGTGTGTTCCAGTTATGATTGATTGAGGAAAATCTAATAAATCACCCTGTATCTTGGCTATGAAGATAGATAGACCCATAAAATATGGGTTATTTGGAATCAATCACCTCGGTGTCCTCCATCGACCTTTACTGTATGCACCTTTCTTAATGAATTGATCAGTATACAGGGTGGTCCAGGTTAAACGTCATTAATTTTTAGAGGCGATAGAACAACGGAAAAGAAGTAGACTTCCATGAAAACATTTTGGATGAAAATGCTTCCTAACAAAGAAACAGGGTGTCAATGTTGTGAGCAGAAATTAGCTTTCTCATCATAACTTCTAAACCACCCTGTATCTCTGTTAGGAAGCATTTTCAACCAAAGTTTTATCATGAAAGTCTACTTCATTCCCGTTTTTCTATCGCCTATCAAATTTAATGACGTTCAACCTGGACCACCCTGTAGAACAAGGAAAAAACAGTACGTCGACCATTACAAATTTTGCAGTCTGGTCTCCATGACTTTCGCAACTTCATTCGGGATGCCCAGAACTGTGAGCTGCTTTTGTTTGGTTAAAGTTATAAGATGCCTCTTCAAGCCTAAAGGTTTGCATTTGGACAGTAGCGGTACTTTTTTGACAGCGTCATTATAGAATTTGATTCCGGCCAATTCGCTAGCATGTAGCGCCGCATAATCTACCAACGCCTTGTCCATCGCCTTAGAATATTTTGTTTTGGAATGCGAAGACGGTGGTGGATTATGCGCCGGCCTCGACGGAACAGACAATGCCAATCGGCTCTAGGAATAACATCCAAATAACCAAACATTAGCTTCTCCAGCTGTGGGTTCCTCAGAAGATATTGTTTACGGTTTTTAAAATGCGAAAAACTTGCAAAATTTGTAACGTACTCCACCCGGATGCAAGGATCCGAGCGGAGCATTTCGACGTATTGCTTAAGAAGCCTTAAACGAAGGTTCGCGCTATTCGCGAATTCGTCGAACTTCAAGTCGTCCTCACTCGAGATTCCTTCAAAGTCGAAAAATAGAGGGAACGAAAAAAAGGGGTGTCTATTGATCAAATCTTTTATGAGATGAAAATAGGGGAAATATGCAATTGTGTTTGATATTGCTAGATTTCCCATTGAAAATTGCTTGGAAGAAGACAATGGGAAATCAGTTGATGGGGATGGAAATACATTGTGCTACTTCCCACAAAAAAAGTAGAGATATTTTTTTTGTTGGGAAGCAGCATATCGCCACCGCCGTGTCGGTATACTAACCCATAATGTAATTGGATTTTTGTAATATAATGCTCTGCATATTGTGGATGGAACATTTTTGTCATGTTATCCGCCAAGATGGCTCCGGGTTCGCTCAGGATGCCGTGGTTTGCTAGGTAGAAGTAGTATTCCCGGTTAGTATTCCACTGCGCCAAATACCTGTCCACGTTGATGGCGAACTGCAGCCAATCGTCTGCGAAGACAAAAAATTGGCCACCAAGCGTGAACAAATCGGACGCAGTGGAAAGAGAAGCGCTGTACATCCTTGTCTTAGATTGTAAGGCTAGATCGCTTATAGCCGGGAATACTACATTCTCCAAAAACGAATGTCTGCATCTGAAATGGAAACAAGTGAAACAGTTAGTCAAGGCCGGTTTATTATTCGTCAATTTTATATCACTTACAATTCCTCGAGCGTCCTCTCCACTAATACCCCTTCATCATGGTTGGGGCATTTTACACCAACATGGATCTGGTGAGAGCCCTCACCTCCCAAAGGGAACGTATAAATGGTGACGCCTCTCACAGCCCCTTTGTCCTCTCCGTAAGAGAATATTGCTTTCTTATTTTGTTCTATAACCACAGTGAATTTTCTTGCGTTTAATCTGAATTTTTGTGGTGGAATTACGGCGAGAAGAGACCTAACAAAGGAAATTTCCACAAGAGTAATAAAATGAAGATAATTAATCAGCCATCTCGCTTAGAAAAACTGAGAACTTTCTCACTCTATGACCATCCCTATAAGAATGTTCTGAAAAAAATGTCAGGGGATGTGGGTGAATTCAACCATTCCACTATTTCTTTCGGGTTTTTTTGTTTACTGTAAGAAGAATGGTAATCCTAAAAAATGCACTTTTGTCAAATTTCTTCCAATTTGTTTCACTTATCTATGAACAGCGAACAAAAAATGTGATTTTCCATGTAAACTTACTCGTCTCACGGACAAACAGTACATTATTGTAATAAAAATAAGTTGGGTCCAATCAACTTATTTTGAACTGTATTACAGTGTCCCAGCGAATTTCGGGACACCCTGTATATCAACTGCTGCTGGAAAGAAATCCCTATAATGTTTGAAGAACATTGTGAGTACCTAGGGAGGTTAGGATGATTATCAGCGATATCACTGAATTGACAGACCAAAAAAGTTATTACCTACTTTAGCAGGAAACTCAATGAATTGTTATACAACATGAAACAAGCCGTTTCAGGCCTTAGAATCTGCATAAATAGTACTTTTAAAATTGTTCGATCTTGAAAAAGAGTGATAATATCATATTCAGGTTCACTTTGTCTAGCAGTTTATAAATGCACATCTTGTATTGGGCCTTACAAACTGTAAAATATGGCGAATGCGCATATTTTCCACCATCACCATTACAAATTATGGCGAATGCGTTAAAACGATTTATGTAGTCGCCAATCAGCTAGCTATCTTATATTGCGTTGCAATCAACTAAAAAGTCGCTCATGTTTCATTGAGATCAAAACTAACTTCGTATAAACCAAAATATCTACCAAACCTTTTTGACGAATACAAGTCCACAATATTTGACATTTGTTTTATATATTAGTAATCAAAGAGGCTTTTGTGACATACGTTTGTGAGTTCGCCAATTATAAAAGTTTCTCAAATTCAATAAAAAACATCTACAGCTAGAATACAAGTTTGTTTGAAAGGCATTTCATTCCAAAAATGATGGAGTCATTGAGTGTAGGTTACTTGACTACTTAATCGGAATGAAAAATATTTTTTCTCCGAGCGGCAGGGAAAGTGACTTTTCTCTGACACTTAACAAGCATTGAAAGTGTACTTTTACTGCCTAGGCAGGAAAAGTTTGTTGCTATGCAACGTTCCAAGAAATTCTAATAAAATTGGCAATCAAAATTGACACTGTCATTGGGTGAACAAAAAATAATGGAGTTTTCAACAAAAAATCTGCACAAAATGGGTTTCATAACATTTGGAGAAAAAATTAAATGTTTCACACGGCAGTACATGTAGATTGACTGCCTTGGCTGAACTGAACTGTCAGCCGCGGCAGTCAATATACTACTTTCCTGCCTAGTAAAACAAATAACTATTTTCTCCAAGAGGGATATGGAAAGTGGCTTTCCTCTGATACTAAACAGGCAGGAAAAGTATACTTTCTCTGCCTAGGCAGGAAAAGTATACTTTCTCTGCCTAGGCAGGAAAAGTTTGTTGTTATGCAACTTTCCAAGTAATTTAAATGAAATTGGTAATAAAAATTGACACTGACATTGGGTGAACACAAAATGATGGATTTTCAATAAAAAAATTACTACTACTATGAACTATCAGCCGCAGCAGTCAATCTACTACTTTACTGCCTAATAGTAAAACAAATAACTATATTGTTGAGAATTCGATCAAGCGCTATCAATTGAGAAAATTCAATTTTTCCAGACTGAAAATCGACACCGGATACGTGAGTGCGGAGAGCTCGATCGACAGCGAGGACGAAAGAGAATCCACCAATCACGTTCTCGAACCGTCGCCGCATACAGGGTGTTCTTTGAACGGGGGGCCGCGAAAGTGTCTCGCGTGGGCTTGCAAGGCGTGTAAGAAAAAAACGGTCGCCGTCGACAGAAGGAAAGCCGCCACGCTCAGAGAACGAAGAAGACTAAGAAAGGTAATCGTCAGATTCGTACGAGCCTGTATAGAAAACCAAAAAGCTTCAAAAGTTTTAGTTACTACACCAAAAAAAAATGAATTTGTTGCATTAACAAATTATTTATATTATTTCATAGAAGCAGCTTGTTCAAATCAAGAATGTAGTTTAATTGAATTATTAGTATTATATCAATTACATCAACAAAATATATGGCCATCTCAAAAACAACTTATGATGATTCAATATTCAATATAATGTCGATGTTGATTCAACTATACAAGGTGTTACAAATTCGTGGCTAACTGGCTAAGTATGGTGATCTTGGTAACCCTAAGAGATACAGTGTAGGTTAAATTAGGGTAAAGTTGCACCATTTCATGCTCAACAAAATGATGATGATGAAATTGCAAAAATTTTCAGTCTATGGATGTGAAATTTCAGAAAATTTTTGAATCAGTACCGAATTTGGTAATATGGTAATTGGTTCTACAAAACAGTGTATCGAATTGAAATTACAGTTTCTCTTGAATGAACGAAATATTTCATTGGATCAAAGAAATGTTTCATTGAATAAACTTCATGGATTCAATATCTTGTCATTTTGAATTAAACAAAATGTTTGTTTGAGTTACTTGATTAAATCTTCAAATTTGCTCTGAAACATGATATAGATTTACACATTTCAAGATTATATTTTGTCGTGCATATATGACACTTATATTCAATGATTCCTTTTTTTTTCGTGTAGGGGTTAGGGGGATGAACATATTGACCGTCAGAAATTGCTCCTTCTTTTTTTAATCGCTCGGGGCTTAAGTGGATGTTGACGGATCCTGTATATGTCATCAGAAGATTCTTGAATACTTTTCATTTCACTCACCAATCTATTTTTTTTTTCAGGTCAATGAGGCATTTGAAATGTTGAAAAAAAGAACTTGTAATAATCCAGGGCAACGTTTGCCAAAAGTGGAAATCCTCAGGAGTGCCATAGAGTACATAGAATATTTGGAAGAAATTTTACAAGGCTCCAAATCATCCGAGGCCTGCAACAATGTAGTTCCCAAGAATGAATACATGGTGAGTAGGTACTTGAGTAGATATAAATGCCGAATGAGTTACGAAACGTGAAAGTAGAACTGGGGAATTGAAGATTCAAAATGACAATCTATAATGATTCATATTTTTTTACTGCCGATTTTAGTTAAGTTCATCCATATCATTTCATCTCGGTCCTAATGATCGTTAGTGGGAGGTTATGTAATTTTTGACGAGACGTTCGAGTATATAAGCATTCATGAAGTTATCAACGGTGTAGAATTACTATATCCCCACATGCTGACTCCACATGTCGACGCTACGCTATAAATCTCTATAACCCAACTTTAATAACCAGCAGCGTATAAAAACCGCATTGGATTTTTTTCTCTTTTCTCTCGTCGTTATTCTCGGATATATTTATCTGTTGGTGTATAGATGAAATATTTAAAGTTGTTTAATGAGTTGGCTTCAAAGGATGCTATTAGTTTCCCTTCTATTCCCAATAATTTATTGGACGATTCATTGACATAACTTACAAATTTCTGAATTTGTTTCTTTTTGTATTCATTATTTTCTAGTTGATATTTATAGTTGCATAAAATATTATCTGGACTTGTGAAAATTATATACAGTCTCAATAAAAAACACTTTGCTATAAAGTAAAGTATCCCCAGTGTGTAATTTTGCATGATTGTATGTATATTATAAGCTTCCTTTATATTTTCCCAACAGAGTTCAACAAAACTCAATTGTGGGTAAATTCTTGGCTAAGTGGATAGTTATTTAATCCTAGTCTGATGAAAACAATATCTATTTTCGGAAAAATGTTTACCTTTTCTTGAAAGACGTCTATTATTCTTCGTTTTCCTACTTTCCGCATTTTGTCTCTCAAATCGTCCTTCAGTCGCTCAAATAAAGATTTGACTCGTATCGTAACCTATCACTGATAACTTTGATAGGTGGTGATAAATAAACCTACTCAACGGCCGATTTTGTTCTGGTTTGTTCTGATTATTTTATTTTTAGTGTATGCAAGTTTTTCATTTTCATTATTGTTAATATTGTTGAATTCATCAAAAAAGAAAACTACGGATTAAACAGGCGAATATTTTCAATATCTTGATAAACATAAAGTAAATATGGTTTGGTTTGTATTTTTGAAAAACACATCAGCGCATAATAATTATTCAACGAAGATAATAAGCTTTTGGCAGTATGCAGGTAGGTGCTAGGGCACAGAGCATACATATCCGACTTCTATTAATATTGTTATAAATCCTGGGGAACAAGAAGAGCGCTATAGATTGCGGAATTTAATTTGAGCCTTGTCGCTTGTCCCGGCCCGATTAATCCGGCGCTGTCTAGATTTTGTAAAGTTTGGAACGAATCCAAATCAGAAATATTTCTCTCTCTTCTCCAGACATACAAACACACGCACACACACATGCCTCTTTTATTTGATGCTATTGCAGAAGAAAAAAAATGCAAATGTCACCATAAATCACGATTAATATTATGCTTTTAGTTTTTGATGAACGTTCCATACACGAGAACTTCTATCGTATACAGTAAACATCTTCACGAAACAAAAAAATCAGGGATGAGAATGTTGTAGCATATTGAAAGATGCGTATCTACTGTCCGATTTCTTACAGACTTGTGTTTTTTGTTCCGTTTTTCAGAATGGCTCAATCACCAATCAATTTGTTTGCGACCGACTACAACAGTTTAGTGAACCATTAAACAGATTCTCACCACCAAATGGTAAGAACGCAAAATATTTAATAATATATTTAAGTATACTATGGTGAATCTAATTTGTTTCTGACCGTTGGGATATGATGAACCGTATTAAGCAATTAAGAAAAAAATGTTGCAAAATCCACCGACTAATTTTTTCATGTATACACAATGATGATTGGTGAGAAACAAATTTGTTTTACCCTGTAGGTATTACCTATACAAATTTTTTACATTCATTTAGTGCATGATTCGAATCATAATTACAGAACTCGTCCGCCATATTGCATCCGCCATTTTGAATTTACCCATTTTGACGAAATAATCATAATCTCCGACCTCGAAAACCCCCAGATACCAATTTTGAATAGAATTGGATCATAATTACAAAACTCGTCCGCCATGTTCGAGTCGCCATTTTGTTTTTTTGTCTAACAAAAATTTCATAGAATCCGAATGAGTCGGTAAAGGGTGTTAAAAATAGTGTTGAACTTGTCTAAAGTTTAGAAATAAATGAATTCTTGGATATTAGCTTGATGGCTTGATTGAGGAACATAAATAAGGTTCCAATAAAAAAATGCCGTATAGTTTACAAGCAGTGCGCGAAGTATGTTTCGCTCAAGGTTTCATGTGTAACGTAGGAAACTGAAAAAAATCAGTTATCAATGCGCGAACCTTGTCATTTTTTGACGTTTGTAGAAGACATAATTATTATGAGGAATTGGAATCGGGCAAACCCATATCTAAGTAAATTACGAACGGCTCAACGACGAGAGTGTTCACGTGTCGACGGATCCCTTTTTAGTATAATTTTCCCACATTTCAACTGGAAATTGTCCCGGATCCATTGACTTATGACCTGGGCGGACAACTGTCGCTCTCAACTCAACGAAAAAGCCGGCTCAATTTGTCTATTTCTGTGATATTTTGACTGCCATCTCGCCAAACAGGCACGAAGACACGATTCGGGCATTAGCAGAGGAAACATCTGTCTTCTCTCCCGAATACCTACCAATAAAATTCGTGAAGGATCATCGGAGAGTCGTTTCAAAAATAACATACCGAATAACTCCTTTTTATGATCGAAGATGAATATAAGCACGATCAAAAATAATGTAATGAAATATACACACATACAAAAGTTTTGCACATCAAAATGCTATTCAATTCAGATACATTCATTTAATCATGTGATCTGTGACGGGAAAAAAGTTTGAAATTTCATCTCTGCGTTGACAGGTTATAAAATGACACTTTTCATAAATTACTTTTTTCCCGGATGTATATCACATATATATACACTGTTGATGGCTTTTGTTGTGCTATACTTCCGAAAAATAAGCTAATAACACCGTCTCAGAGAAAGAACTGCCCTCGGAACTGCCTTTCGACTTCGCGGAAACTTCAAATTTCATGTCGATAATTTCCGGTTTTTGATATAATGTAATATGTTTTAAATATAGATTACTCCTTTTTCCTGTCACAGAAAAAAATATTGTATTATACACCGGAAAAATATCAGATTTTAGCTCACGGTTTTTTGACTCCCCCCGCTACGCGTCTTCATTTTATTCGGGGGTTACGAAATGACATCTAATTATACAATTATAATTAACTAACTAAACTTAGAAAATCTGGTTCTGTATCAGAAACTACATGTCAGTGATGACAGAAAACATGAATCGCCCTAGAATCTTAAGTGTAAATAATCAAGGATATAACTGAATCCACTTAAAACTCTAAAGTCACCCTTAAATCTAATTAATTAGATAACAATTATTTTGAATGCAAAAAAAACTGCACGTTTCGGTGGAATCAAAAGTGACTCTGATTGAATGTGTCACATCTGATCCAAATGAGACAATGTACCTATTTTATTACTCTAGGGATTATGAGTATAATTCCATAAACTGTGGTATAAGTGTTCTTCTGGTGCCGTATATCGTCGATCGTTTAAATTTCCATATTGCCCTTTCATTTATTTGCGAACATGTCGTAAAGACGTTAATTACACGTTGGTAATGTTCGAGATCATACATCTGGCAGATGTTTATTTTATTTTACGTGGCCACTCAGACCGAATACACGGCATTAAAGAACGCCGACACTATATCATAATAAAAGTACTTTGTAAAATAGATTGGCCAAATCTAATAGTCGTCTTTCAGTCGAAAATAGGACTCGAGGAATGTTGCAAAAATTACCTATTCACTTGATTTATACAGAGCATAGACAGCAACACACACCTAAAATTGGAAGGCAAAAACATCATTTCTGTTTGCAAAAAGTTAGTTGCAGGTTGCAGAACATATTATGCCAGGTAAAAATGTACACTTTTTATGATTCAAGTGTGAAAAGAAGCTTATCTCATTTTGAAGTTCTGAAGTTAGTATCGCGAAACTCTATTACATCCAAATGATATTTCACAGTCACTTTGAAGTAACAACGAAATGGGTGATGCGGGTGTGAAATGTATAAATATTTTTCTCAAAACATGTCGAAACTTAAATAATCTACAGGGGTTTATGTTGAAATGTAAATATCTCGAAAAGGAAAGAACAGAAATAACTGCCACAGCTATATTCGATTTCTACAATATCCGTTAAAAGTTCCCACCTTTAAGGTTAATATTCTTGGGTATATCTAAGGTGCTTAAAGAATATTTACGATGTTTATGAGAAGATCTAGACTTATTTGACAGTTTGGAGTGCGCGAGGCTTGATGGCGTTTTATTTTTACCTCTGTCGAAATGAAATGGCTTCTTCAAATGGAAATAGTATAAGTGAATAATAGTTATTCATTATACAAGGCTCCGTGGGCTTAGATCTAATATTTTCCCCGTGTATAATAATATATACTACTATTTTTTTCTGTGACAGGAAAAAGGACGAATCAATATTGAGAAGATATCACATTATATTAAAATCTGAAATTATCGACGTGAAATTTGAAGTTTTCAACAGGAATGCTACCTGTGTTGCAGGCATATTTTTCATTCTTTTGGATTAATCAAATATCTGTCCTGATTCTGTGATTTGATTTTCAAATATCGAGAGATTAGTGGTTGTTCAGTAATTTACGTAGCCGAGAAGTCGAATGGAAGATGGACATGCAGTTCTTTCTCGGAGACAGTGTTATTGGCTCATTTTTCGGAACTATTGCACAACAAAAGCCATCAACAGTGTATATTATTATACTATATGTGATATCCGGAAAAAAGTAATTTATGAAAATGACATTTTTTCTGTGACGGGAAAAAAGTTTGGCATTTCATCCCTGTTGGCAGGTTATAAAATGTCACTTTTCATAAATTACTTTTTTCCCGTGGGAAAAAAGTGAGTACTTCTTTCCCGGATATATATCACATATATATACACTGTTGATGGCTTTTGTTGTGCTATAGTTCCGAAAAATGAGTCAATAATACCGTCTCCGAGAAAGAACTGCAAGTCCTTTTATCTTCCATTCGACTTCGCGGTTACGTGTATTGCTAAATAACCACTGAATTCGCAATTTCTTGAAATAAAATCACAAAATTAGACTGACAGAAGTGACATCAGATATTTGATTACTTCAAATGAATGATAAAGATGCCTACAACGCGGTGTCCCTACTGTTAAAAACTTAAAATTTCACGTCGATAATTTTCAGATATCAAAATAATGTAATATCTTCTCAATATTGATTCGTCCTTTCTTTTGTCACAGAAAAAAATAGTGTATTATACACGGGAAAAATATTAGATTTTAGCTCACGGTTTGTTGTCTCCCTCCGCTACGCGTCGGGAGACAACACAACCTGGAGCTAAAATCTACTACTTTTTTCCCTTGTATAATAAATAACTATTTATAATCTGTCAACAGAGATGAAATTTCAAACTTTTTTTCCCGCCACAGAAAAAATATATATCAAAATCGGAAGGTTTAAAAGCAGGGTGAAACTACTAAAATTCCTTGTATTTACTTGTAATTTTTTGCGAAATTGAAATTACTGTGAAACAATTGAGTAATGCGATTATTTGTTGGTATATATTCATTGGAATTTCTTGGTATTTTTAAAAATCACATTTTTAGTAGATTGAAGTGAGGTGTAAACAATTTTGACCACAAAAAATTAGATCAAAGCCTCGAATATTTGAGAAATCGAGATGAAAAATATTTTCAATTATCATTAGAACGAACATTAGACGAAAAACTATCTTCGGAGGTGTCGCAACTCGTTAATCAGAGTTGTCAGAGTGTGAAATGTTCCGCTTCGTTGTGAATCTGCCCAGCACTTCTGATTAATAGCCGCCATTAATATAATGAGTGTCTAAAATAAAACGGAGCTTGATAAACATCATTTAGATGTTTTAGAGCTTTTTACAAAACGATTTAATTTATTTGGACTAGCAACACATTTTTTGGTAACTTTCAATTTTATAAAAATATCCATAAGATTTTTCAGGATTATTTATTGCTTTTTCAGTGTTATCAGGTTTATTTTGAATTTTTGAAACCACAAAGTATCGTATATCTGATTCTGATAATCAGAGTCTCTATAGTCTCTCGTTACAGTGAAGAAGTGATTTAAGTTCTCATGAAAAAAAATCTCACAAAAAACATTGATAATTATAGGCCAGCGATTTACAATGATATAACAAAATGTGTATTCTATTGAAAAATGGCTATGAGGTTTATACACGTATGGAAAAAAAATCGCCAGAAGCATATAAAAATTGAAGAAAATCTGAAGGAACTATGCGCAAACCCCAGGGAAAATCTCAACTTCATCTCAATGTAACGACATTTGAAACCATATTTAACATTTTTTAGGAAAAAATGAACAAGCTTTCGTTCATTTCCAACAATATTGCAATATTTGCATTATTCCAAACAAACACATAAAGAATGTGTCTAACTGGTAAAATTGTCATAAAATCGAGTAAATTATGTACTTCCACTCACTATTCAACTCTCGACCTCGACTTAACTTCAGCAAAAAAATAAGAGAGCAATAAAAAAAGTGGCAAGAAATGAAAACATCTTTCGTACGGTCTTTCGAAAAGCAAATAAATGTCAGAGGAGCATTCCAAAAATACATTATCTGAACAGTAAAACACTGTTTTAATAGATATAAATATCCTGGAGTGTGTAAATTCGTATATCAAGATTCATATCACTATTAGATTTGTCACTGTCGAAGGATTATATTATTGGGAGCCCAATGAGACACTTTTAGATCTCAAAGACGTTCTCAATAATTTCCTAGACAAAATAGGTGGGTATAGGGAGTAAAACATTTTTAGTTAGTTATTGTTAATAACAAAATTTCCTTTGTGGGTATTTCATCAATCACCATCATAGGAAATATCCTTCTTATTGATAGGTATTGATATGAGAAAACAAATATTTATCTATATGGTTCCTGTTTTTTTACAGGTTGTGAACCTCCCTCCAATACTTCCAGTTTGGATTGCCTCAACTTGATTGTACAAAGCATAACTAATAAGAAACAAGAAAGTAGTGAACATGTAACATGATATTGAATCATTGAAAATTGTCAAATGAACATACTTATTTATTATTTAAAATATTTATAAAATTGAGTAAGAACATTATATTATTCCTTTTTCACTTGTCCATTACTGCTTTATGATAGGGTTCCTATTACTGGCTATTAACAGAGGGCATTATGAATCATAAATTCATTTCCATTATTTTCATAAGACTACACAAAGAAAGCAGCAATGACATTCAATAAATTGAATGATGACAGGAATATTCAACAAACATCAAAATATCAATAAATGCCCATGCCTACACCATGAGCAGAAGAAATAAAAAAAATGCTAGGAGCAATGAATGGCTTTTAAAAATCGACTTTTTATTATAATAAGATAATTTTTTCATAAAAAATAAATCTTGTATGCACCACCAGCGTTACTAGATCCTAACGCCCATTGGGCAGCATTCATCCCTTGGGCCAACGGCCCTTGGGTGAATGTTACCCTCCGGGCATTAGGATCTATATAAAGTACTTGGTACATAAATAACTATTATATTATTGTTATCAATGTATGGCTAGGTATATAGGATATAGGTAATGTTTAAACTAACTTTTGCCTATTGGCGCTATTACTTATCAAGAGACTAAAAAAAGTGAAAGTTGTAGTCTGTTCATAGAAATTACATACATTCATTTTCAACTCATCATAAGACAGTTCAAGTGATCTGTTCATAGAATCTCATTTAGTCCATTTCTAATGGGAAATAGAGCTGATTTAAGTTAAAATTAAATGTAAATTGTAAATAAGTTCTATGAACAGACCATATTCTACTTGATATTCTATGTGCGATCTGGCTGAGAAGTTCTAGCCTAGTATATATGTTGTCATTGTTTGTCACAATTTATTTCACAACTGTAATTTTAATGTATAGTTCATAAAAGTTAAAAACTCTATTCCATATGAGATGATTTATCCAACTAATTAAGCCCTAGTGCACAGCATCTCATAATGCATAACTTTGAAGTTCCCATTTTTTAATTTTTATGCATACATTTAATACATTATTTGCTGAATCCACCTTACTCATATAAGAAATAAATGTTGGCCAACCTGTGTGAGTGTGTGGCCAACTTGTCTTCAATTATATAATAATAATGAAAAGGTATACATACCTGAATTTTGCCGGGTCTAGCAAATCTCGATATTCCTTGTCTGCTTTTCTAAAAAATACGTCCTAATGATAGATGGATGCAGGGTATGTATATGTTGTCGTTATAAAACTCACGATTTCTAACAAAAAAATTAGTTTTAAAGCAAATTCTGAACGCAAAACAAGCACAGACTTGCTTACAAAAACGGTAATTAATTCTTATAAACAAAAACAAATGAACACAAGCAAGTTGTCACTTGTCATTCTCATTCTAGTCTTCTTCTAGTTCTTCTTATTAGTTTCATTTTGTGAATGTGCGCTAGACACAAAGTCACTGAACCAAGTCTGGAGAGTTGGAGTTGACATTAATGACATTTCTACTCTACATTCCATTGAATGACCACGCCTCTGTGTTTACATGTCAAAAAGTTGAAGAGTGAGTAATCAAAGTAAAATTATTTAAAAAACTTAGAGAATCTTTGGTCTCAAAAAATAAAAATAATTATTATACTCAATCATGAATTATGGTAAGAAGTCTCCAACCACGGGCACACCTTCAGTTTACTCTCACACGAGAAGCAATGCAAATCTTTCCAGGAGCGTTAGGAGTTTGAAATCCTTGAAAACTCCCTGGTATCAGAAGCCTATTGTGCATGAAGCTCTATTTCTAGATGTTCAACGGGCCTCCTTAATCACAGCAATTTTTTCATTGGTAAGGACACTAAGGATGTGGACATCAATGAATTGAATGCTGTATCATTCCCTTTTTAATTTCAGCTTTTATCAATTTTCACTGTTATAACATCTTGTTTTGATTTATATTGTTATGCTATGGCTGCACCAGGGTCAACTCATTATGGATATTATGTGATTTCTTACCAATTTGTCTATGTTGGATCCAGACATGGTGAGTTATTTAACTTATGGGACTAATAGAATCCAATTTTGCAAGCAATTTTCTTTTTCAGTGAGAAATACTTTAGTCATGTTTGCAGCATTTTCAATCCTCATGGCTCTAGTTGTTTTTGTCACCAGTATTATGCTCATCAATTCATTGAGAAAGGTACTTACCTTATTTGTTCCATATGAGTGTTTTGAACACAATAATTAGAACTCATTTTATTTTCAGGAGTATGAGCACAAGATGCTGCCTTGGGTCTACACATTTGCAGTGTTCACTATATTCCGTTTCCTGGCATTTTTGTTTTTTTCTATTGTTAATGACATGATTTTTGCCTACAACATCATTATGTGTCTCTTGTGGACCATATTCATAATTTTCAGTGTATATGGATGGGTGTTGGTTTACTCCCTCTACATTGAACTGTCTGATTTGACCAAATTGGAAGATCTGGCACATCTAAGGGTAAGTCCTGTAACTGCTCAGATATTTGGATCTCATTGAAATATGGAAAGTTTTGATTCCATGTATTTTTCATGCTTTCATAGACTTTTGACAAAAGTGGAGATAAGATTGGTAAGATGTACTCTCTATTTACTGTGTTTTGAGGTGTGTTAAGGTTTGTGATTGGAACATATATTGTAATCTTGTTCAAACTTTTTACATTTGTTGATAATTGAAACTACAGAAATTAGAAAGTTTTTGAAATAATGAAATGAATAAGTTTTCCAAAAATGCCCCATAAGTTTCTTTACTGTTATTTCATAAGGATTAAAAAAAAATTGGCTAAATACTTTATGTTCCAGATTTTCATCAAGATAAATTTGTTGAATTGGTTGAACTGATTGATTTCACCTAGTGATTAGGAAATACATATGTCTGATCTTATGGTAAATGCATAAAGAGTTCCACAGGGATCCATACTTGGACCTCTGTTGTTTATCCTTTATATAAATGAGTTACCTTCTGTTGCACCATCAGAGTCTTTTACCATTCTTTATGCAGATGTTAATGGCCAAAATTATTAATGCTTTATTGAAATTTTCTGCCTAGTCTAGTTGTTTAATACAATTAAAACGAATTTTAGATCATTTCATCCTCGCCAAAAAACTTGTAGCCCTATAACTTTGATATATTGGTTAACAACTTAAACATCACAAGAAAAGAAAATGTGGAATTTCTGGGTGCATTATTTAATTCAAATTTGTCCTTAAAACACTGTTCAAATCTATCCAAGATGTTAAACTCCAAATGTTTTCAAATTAGAAATTTAAGAAAAAAACACCTAATGTAAATCACCAGATTTGTTCACTTTACTTTAGTGAAATTCATGGGATTGGTATTTGGAGAAGCTCTCCTCATTCTAAAAGTATTTTTATGTCACAGAATGGATTTTCAAGATGTATTTCAAACATCTCATTTGTAGATTCCTGTGGACCTGTTTTTATCAACTTGAGAATTTCAACTATTTATGGCATTTATTTATTGGATTTAATCACGTCAGTTCATAGACATTATTTACAAAATAGTGATATTCATGGTCATGACACAAGATATAAATCAGACTTCTAAGAAATCACCTGCAGTAATATGAATTAATCTATACAATAGTCTCCCACAATGTTTCAAATATATTGTCTGCATAAATTTAAAGAGAAAACTAAAAATTATCTCATTGACATGATTGTGTGTCAATACTGGGTTGAAGAATATTTTGAAAATAATCCTTGAATTATGTCCAAACTGTTTGATATATATTGTATTTCTTGACCTATATTATTAGCCTATTTCAATATTTTCAGGTAAACGATCTAGTTTTGCCTAGAGTTTTCAATTTGACTTTGTTCATTTTGACCTGTCTCATTATTTGATATCATGAGATCAATAAATTCTATTCTATGATTCGCGGATGGGGGCTCTTCAATTGACAGTTCATTATAAAGAACAATGTGTTTTTGCTGCAGATGGGCACCATGGCGTCTCTAAACGCGTCGACAGTCCCCTCTCTGGCGGGCTCTCGCCCGACGACGCCCCACAGTACAGTTTCGACGATGCCGGCCTAGAAGAGATACCACTGGACACGGCGCCCATTTACAGCAGGCCACAAAAGCCCAAAGAGTCCATCATCTCCACCATTTACTGAGTTTGTGATGTTTTTGGGCACAGTTGTTACTACTACAAGGTCTCATTTCTAATGAAGTCGGTTATCAGTAATTAATTATGTGCTTCAAGACACTTCACAAATCTCTTCATCTTCAATGATGCTAAGTTTATTGTGCTGATCATTTGAGTGCCTACTAAAAGTTTGAGAAACAGATAGTCTGAAAAATTGATATTAGCAACTGTGTCCAAGAAAATTCAATAAAAAAATATACATCTGATCAATCAATTGAAAGGTTTGTGGAATTTACAATCTTGGAATATGAATGATTCATAATGAGTTTGCCTTCAAAAGTTGTATATTTTACTCAATAACCAAGTACTGAAAGTTGAATCTCAAAAAGTAGTTTTGTTATTCTTGGAAAATGAATTATTATGCTTTCTCTCTTTTAGGTGATACATAGTGTTTTGATCTGATTTTTGAGTACTGCTCTTGTTCATAACTATTTTTGTTTCCAAATTTGTGTGACTGGATACAGATGCCTGACCATGAAATGATCTGTGTAACCTGTTACAAAGAAGACAAGTATTTTTATTGATATTTAAGAAAACTGACTTTGCTGGAATTCTTGGTTCATTTGTCAGTTTTAACAGCATTTGATAATCCCTTTTTGAATAATATATAATAGGTATCAAAATACCTACAGGAACATTAATTATGAAAGAAAGATCATGAGATGAGGGGCTCCAAATAGAATATTTTATAGTTATGCCTTTATTTTAATTAGCATTATGTCTAAGCTTGACCGTCCATTTTATATATTTTTATTGTTTATACTGTTATTCCATTTTTAAAAAATGAATTGTATCAATAGAAACTTAAGTATTAAAAAAGTGTAATTTCTTGTCACCATAAATCTTAAGTTCTCAAGATCATGTTCAGATTAAAATACATGATCACCTTGGTATTCAAATCTGAGATGACTCCACAGTATTATTTTCAACTTCAAGTATTTCATAAAAGTCTCCAACTTTGATAGCAACTCCTTTTTCAGATTTTATTTCCATTGGCATCTCACTTGTTTCAGCTTCAGAGCTGTCTTCCCCTTTTAATACCTTTATTCTTTCTTCCAATTGAAATTTGGCATACTCTGCTTTTTCAATTTCATCATTCCTATGGTTAGCCTTATCTTCCAATGTTTTTAAGGTTTGATCCACTGATTGTAAAATTATGAAAGAATCTGGATGAGCTAATTTCCTGATATAACATTCACCTGTATGGATGATCCTTCCCTTCATATAAATGTTTTTCGACAATGGAATCAGTGATTCATGTTCAGGATATGTTTTCAGTGATTTCAAATTATCAATGAGACTTTCGATTTCTTTTTTACTTGTAGTAATTTGTTCAATTATTTCATCATTTTGCTTTATGTCTTCATCCAAACGGCCAACAAATTGTCCTCTCAAACCCAACAATTTTGAAAAATCTTCACTCATTATCGTTAATCAAAATCTAGTTTCTCTCTCTCTGAATATATGGCCTCTTCCTCTTGTCTTAGGACATACAGCCAGAGCCCTTAATACGGAGAGTTCGTCCCCATCCGGCCTGGATACCGGCGTAAACAATAAGGGTTTAGTTTTTCGAGCACCCTGGACACCCCTGGATGTCTCACTCGAAGTGAGAGCGTTTCAAACTCACAAACACATTAACCTGACTTCCGATCTGAAGACGCCGCCTGTCTTCATCAAATTATCAAAATCTAGAAAAATTTTAAAAATTACAGTTTGAGGTTATGGGAGTTATTCTTCTCATTTATTAGAATAGCCTCCGTAATTGGCCATTTGTCCAATAAGGACATTAGACGAAGAGCAGATGACTTCTGTCAAAAAATGTGACAGCAGTGATAACCCAAAAATCAAAATAATAACAATGCAAAAAAAAGTCTAGTTGAAAAAAATGAAAATAGTTTGAATGAAATTTGAAACAATATAGAAAAAGGGTTGAAAAGTGGGTAATTCTATGGTATTGAAAGTTTTTAAGGAAGAACGGACTTTGGTCCTCTAATCGTGTGACCCAGTTACATTATAGTGAACCCAGACAGAATACATTGAGACCAAACATGACTTCTATGTTCGATCAGTTTGAGCAGGCTTCCCTCAAAGCAAAGAGTAATATCTCCACTGCCGAGATGGTAAATTATTGAATTTTGTAGTAATAAATTCTGTGCATCTAAACTTCTACTCATTTTAGTGCACTTCCCTGTTTATAAACATGTCATTGGAACAAGAGGTGCCTATATTCACCAAGAGCAAAAAGGACTTTACACCATCAGATAGAATAACTCACGTAGTGATAGCAAATAAAAATCTGGTCATTGCCATGGCAAATGGTGTTCTGTTCAGAATGAATTTGAATAATCCACAGCAGTATACTGGTGAGTTCAACCTGTGTTTCAACTATAGTTACCTACCTCACTAATCTTTGATCTATTTTCAGAAATTTCATTAACAAAGTACACAACCACTAATAAATTATCCAACTTGTATCTAGACCCCACTGGAAGTCATTTACTGTTAACTTTTGCACAGAAAACCCCTGAAGGAGGGCCAGAACTGCTCTACTTATCCAAAAAGTCTGACAAACTGAGATCCACCACCAAGTTTCGTGGCATTGAATTCACTGAAGTAGCATGGAATAACTTGAATGAGTCTGAGAACACTACTGGACCAATATTATTAGGTACATCAAAAGGTTTAATCTTTGAGACAGAAATTGTTCTTGAAGGGGAGAAATTTTTTACTTCAAGCTTCTCCTCAGGCTTGGAACAGTATTGGAGACAAGTAAGTATCATCTTCCAAATAAAAATAGTATCTACATTAATAATGTATTTTTATAAGCTGCCAAATTATTTGCCTTTGTATGGAAACAAAGAGGCAGATGGACTGGTAAATTTATCAATATTGAGTTCATTATTTATATTTGATTAGAAAAGTGCAAAAACAACTGTGAAATGTTTTGAATGTGGCATGATCCTCTAATGCATGATGCATGTATCATTTCAAATTATATGACTTAACTGATAAATATTAGTGATAATAATGATAATGAAATTTCTGTATAAAGGTGTTTGATATTGGAAAAGGAACAAACACACCAATAACAGGACTAGAATACTACAGAATTCCTGGATCATTTAGATATGTCATATTTGCCACAACTCCATCAAGGTTCTATTATTTCTCTGGGAAAGCCAATTTGGAAGAGAAACCAGTACTCCAGCAGATATTTAGTAAATACCTGAACATTCCAGAGCCCAAGACTTACTTTGAATGTGAGGGCAACTTGAGAAATTCAAAACTTCAATTTTGGTCTGAAAATTTAACTGTTCCTAATACTTTTGCTTGGACCACTGAAAAGGGAATCTGCTTTGGACAAGTTAGTGAAAAAATACTGTTTTTGCTGGTAGAATCATATAGTTTTTCAGATTGATTTGCACTCTGATGATATTGAGACCATTAAATCAAAAAAGAAACTGGTACTGTATCCAAAACCAGTGTATGAAGACTATTCAGTTTCTCAAAAATATCCTGTTACAATTGCTCTGACACAATTTCACATACTCCTAGCTTACACAGATTCCATTAAGGGAGTTTGCTTATTGAACCAGGAGGTCATATATGAGGACAACTACAATGAAGCTTTTGGGAAACTTGTAAACACAGTCAAAGATATCAGAACAGGTGAGCAATTATTCCTAATTTTTTCTACATATGATGTTTTCCATTCAAAGTTCATAAATTCAACATAATATTCATGGTAATGATTTCATGATGATGAGTCACTACACTTGTATTGGTATTTTTAAAATTCATCATCACCACTATATTTTATACATTTCTATATCAATTTGAATACCTGGATGTATGTGCAAATTATGTGCAAATGCCAATTGAAATTGCTGAACATTTTAGGTTGGTAGAAGATGGGGATCAAACATTTTGTTTTTGCTTTTAGGAGACATATGGGCAGTTACTGAGAATGCAGTTTTCCGCTTCAAAGTGACAAGAGAAGAACGAAATGTCTGGCAGATCTTTTGCAACAATGGGGATTTTGAATTAGCCAAAAAATATTCCCGAAGCAATGAGGCCTGTTATAACCATGTTCTCATCAAAGAGGCCGATTTGCTTTTCAATCAAAAAGAGTATGAACTGAGTGCTCAAAGGTGAACATTGATTCTAAATAAAATCATAATATATTTATTCACATTTTTGTTTTAGATTTTTTTGTTTTTAATTATTTATTGATTTCTTGGTGGAGGGAGAGTTTCCTATATTGAGGTTTTTATTTCACAGTGAAGTTTGTAGAAAATTAATGTATAGGTATTTTTTCTTCCTTTCTAAATAAATAAAAGAGGAACTTGGCTCCTCCACCATTCCTGTTATTCATAACTTGTCAGTCACTTTTTTGCTAATGAATTCGTTCCTTGATAAAACTGAACTATTTTCTAGGAAAGTTGCAGATTATATCTTGCAACAGCGCCCAATACTTCGGGTCCGTCCACACCACTCAAAATACTGACAGGCACAACAAAAGAAACAATAAGCCATGGGTGTCGGCTTCATTCTGACCAATGGCAGTAAATTAGGAAGAATTGTATCATTGAATGTAGCCCTATTAGAGATATTTCAATGCATAAATAACAAAACCATCACCTGTCAGAATGAAGCCAACTACCCTCTACATTCCTGCTCCGAGAGCATTTGTGGTTATGTATGTTTTTGTTTGCCAGTTTTACTTCTTCTATTTTTTTCATTCATTTTTCATTCCTTAGCTATTCGCTAGCTATATTCTTTACCATCAGCTATTTTCAGACTAGATTCAGAATGTATGTGACAGTTTGCCGCCCCGAAAATTAGAAATTGCTTCAATTTGAAAATTAAGACGACTTTATGAAAATTCATCTGAAGGAAACTTCCCCAATACAATAACAAAAACTGCACTTTTTGATATGCCTGAAGTGTACAATTTCTCAATATCAAAATACTGATTCTTCATTTTACGAAAAGTGCGATGAAAGTACACTTGTGTGAAAGGGGCAGACACTGGGTTGTTGGTAGGCTGTTTCATACTGCAAATAGGGTTGTTTTCGCTAGCCACACACCACACACTTCGGTCTTGCGACGTTTTTGTTCGAACATCCTTGTTAAACAAACAAAACAGCCCACCAATAACACATTCTATGGGCTCCTTTACGGGATTCAGCAAGGCAGCAAGCGAACAAACCAAGGTGGCTGACTTCATATTTCGTATGGAGTGCCAGTGTAATACAGATAGCAGGGGCGCATTTAAAAAAGCCATGCTTCTCTCATGGTCAACTATATGTAGCCTGTTCGCGTTCATCTATTGCCCGAAATTTACACATTTTCGCACCGGACGTAAAAACGCACAACATAGTATACAGGAATATTCTTATTAGTGACAGAACAAGATAACATTAAATATGTAGTAGTAAGAGAGGGGAGATGCGGTTGCGTAGCAAGTAGGCCCCCATGGGCTCTTGTTACTGATAACATTGAATATTGCAAAGCCGTGGGTTAAAGCTAGTAATATTGATGAATATTGAATGTATGCAATTATGCATGCTACTTTTTTTTTCATGTGTCAAGATATGCGGAAACCCAGTCGAGTTTCGAGGAAATATGCCTGAAATTCATCGAGGCCGATCAGCCAGGCGCCTTGAAATTATTCCTACGTAGCAAACTAGACACTTTGAAGCCCCAAGACAAGTCTCAGATAACGATGATAGTAATTTGGGTGGTGGAACTGTATCTGTCCAAGTTGGAAGAGAAGCGCCTGGCAGGCCTAGAGCAGACAGCCGCCTACAGCGAGATCCAGAAGGAGTTTGAAACTTTCCTGGCTCTGGAAGAGGTCTCGGATTGCGTCAGGAACAACAAGAGAACGATTTACGACCTTATGGCCAGTCACGGGGACAAGCATAATCTCATGAAGCTCACCATAGTCAACAAAGATTTTGAACAGGTACAGGGTATGTTCAAAGTTTTGACATCTGTTTTAACAGGATAAATTCGATCCTGTTACAATGCTGCTCACAAAAATAGTTATGTAATGGGGAAAGCAGCTGTATGGAAGTTTTATTGCTCAAATTAAGAAGCCTCTACCCCCAAAAACGTATCACCCTATAGATTTTGAAAATCTTCAAAATGCTTCAAATGATGTTCTTCTAGAAAGTATTGGCCACACCCAATTTCAAATTGATATGCCTAGCAGTGAGCGAGATATTTCAATTGATAAAAAAATAATGTTGACCCCTTGTAGCTATCCGCTACTGATCGAGATAGGACCCATATACACTTTTTTTATTGAAATGATGAGATCTATCACTCATTTCAGTTTGTACCTTGAAACCTGAATCACCCTGTATATTGAATTGAAGTGAGAACGATCGATCGCGCTATCACATCACCCGATCCGTAATAACAATTAATGACATTTTTTAATAGGCCTTTTCATGTAGATATATTTTTGAGACGCATGCGCTCGTTTTTAGATCCAAAATTTGATTGGGTAATGCAAAGGTGAAACCTGTTCAGACACAAAATTCTGATTGGCCATTTCGAATATGGCGGTTTTTATTGACGTTCTGTTAAATGTCAACCACAATGAGCATTCCTCATTGAAAAACAACAATAACAATATAGTATTTTGGTTTCTGAAAAAACGTTACTGAGAAGAGTGGAGTGTGGTGCAAGTGTTTCGGTGAGAATGGCCGCCACTGTCGTTGGATGCGAGATGTAAACACAGATAGTCATTTGTCATCTTAATGAAAAGGCCTATTGGTACTAATTCTGTTCTCCTGCAATAATCCAATAAAATAATCATTTGGGCGATTTCAGTTGATAAGGCAACACATATTCAAGAACAGTTTCCTCGATGCTCTGGAAGTTCTGAAAAGTCAGACCAGCTATGAGTTGTATTATCAGTTTGCGCCGATACTGATTCAGGAGGTGCCCAAATATATGATCAAAGTCATTATTGAGCAAGGCAAGAAGTTGGCGCCCCTCAAATTGCTCCCAGCATTGGTATGTAAGTGGAATTAGCTCCAACCTTGAACAGTTTAAATTTGAAACATTTTCACAGGTTTCGTGCAATGGAGATCTGCATGCCTTGGAAGTTATGAAGTACTTGGAATTCTGCATTGACAAATTGAAAAACACTGATAAAGCCATCCATAATTTTTTATTATCACTTTATGCAAAATATGATTCACAGAAACTGATGGAATATTTGAACTCGCAGGGACAAGAAATCAGCATGGTAAATATACAAAAAAAAACGGCCCATACTTGAAAATAATTTCGGTCTAATTTCTAAACAAGCCAGTTTTGGTTATGAATCTAGTTGTGAAATTGTATTTTTTATATAAAAAATATTCCAGGTCAACTATGACGTTCATTTTGCCCTTCGGTTGTGCCACGAAAGCAATCAGAAACGGGCCTGCGTGCAAATCTTTGGTTTGCTAGGATTGTGGGAGAGCGCCGTCGATTTGGCTCTCACCTACGAACTGGACTTGGCCAAAAAAATGGCCAACATGTCTCCCGAAAACGATACGGAGCTCAGGAAAAAACTCTGGCTCAAAATAGGTTTGTTATTGTACTTTCATGGGCGAGAAATTTCACTTGATATTTTTCTTCAAGACATTTTATTAAACAAATTTTTTGTAGCTCAGCATGTAGTGAAAGACAAAGATAATATCAAAGATGTCATGGAGTTTTTGAAACAGTGCGATTTGATCAGAATCGAGGATATTTTGCCCTTCTTCCCAGATTTCTTGACGATAGACCACTTCAAAGAAGCCATTTGTAATTCCTTGAAGGTGAACAATTGATCTGAACTAATCATTCACCTACCATTTAACTAAACAGGGAATCAATGGTTAATTTGTACTGATGAAATCAATTTTGCATTTGATCGAGAGTTACTAAAATTCTCTCCAATATTCTAGGAGTACAATCAGTATATCCAGAATATCAAAGATGAAATGGAAGAGGCGACCAATTCTGCGGAGCAAGTTCGCGATGAGATTCAAACGTTCAGAAATCATTATACATTGATTAACAGCACTGACACCTGCGAAATTTGCACGGGTATATTGCTGATCAAGCCGTTCTACATGTTTTCCTGTCACCACAAGTTCCATAGCGATTGTCTAACCTCGGAACTATCACAATTTCTAGGTATGTAATATTTTTCATTCGGACATTTTGTTTTTTGGTAATAGGCGAGTGGCCTATTTTTTTCATTTCTTAAATAGAATCATCACTTGAATACCTTTCAATTTCATATTTTTCAAGTCATTTTCATAGATAGGGGCAGACCATAGCACAGTTGCCATGTGTTGAAATACGATTGGGAACTTGAGAAATATTAGTTTTTAATAATTCATAAATTCTCAATTGAGTATTGGTAATATTCCTAATTAGCAATAAATATTCAATTGTCTCAAAATGTCCCCTTATGATTTGTGACTTATTGCCTATAATAAATTTGTATGAATAATAATTATATTAATTCACAATAGAGGACATTTGAATAGGTGAACGTGACAAGACGGCGCACGACTTGTGGGCGTGGTCTTGTCAGTTCTCAGCATTCAGCAGTATGTTGCCATATCTCCAACATATTGAGAAATCCAAGAAATATTTGGACATGCTGGTTGCTCAAAAAAGCCAAGAATGAATTATAATATCATGGGTTCCTCCTATTATGTTTTATTCAACAACAAGACTCTATGACTTGACAACCTTGCTTCACGAGTGGAAATGGAAGATTATCTAAACAGCATAAAAACTGACGTCACCATTAATTTGACGTATCGCCAAATGGCGGCCATGACGTAAGTTCGTTTGAAATGAGCTCAGAAATTCAACAATTTCGAACAACACATAGACTCATTATTTACATAAAAAAACGTGAGAAGTGTTGCAAAAATTAATTCAGGTTCCACTGTGGAGAAATTGAATTCCAATAATTCATTATCTGTCCACTCACCCCGAAATTTATATTGTGTTTTAGGTCCTGCAAAAAAGAATAGATTGGCGGATTTGGAAAGGCAGTTGAAGATTCTGAACAATCAGACGAATATTGACAGCGTCAGCACCGGTTCTGCAGGAATGTCTGCTAGAGACATGGTCAAATCGGAAATTGATAACATTCTGGCATCAGAATGTCTCTATTGTGGAGAAAATATGATACGAAACATCGACAAACCTTTCATAGAAGATTATGAGCACGATCAAATTATCAAAGAATGGGAATGATAGTCTCATTATGTTCTGTTTTTATTATTATACCAAAACCAAGCGAAAATAAACGATTATTTATTCAATAGACTGTTAGTCATGGCAAGTAGAGAGATTTCATTGATTGGCCATTATTTTTCGTTGTATCAAGTATCCTCTATAATTTAAGATCCGTAGAATCCCAAGTATCGGTAGGTACAGTCGTCTTCAGAAAACATGTCGCACATGGAGGATGATAGCATTCTTAATATCTCCTGCAATAAGAGCCTCTGACACCGTCCAACCGCGACATGATCTCTGAAGACGACTGTACAGTAATGCAACAAAAAGAACAAATGTTGTAGTAATTTTACAACCAAAATTTATTCAATTATCTAATAATGCAACAAATTTCATCACATACGTACAACGGAAATGTTTTCCGAAAAACTCCAAATAAATAACAAGAAAATAATAAAATTACGCGTCCGACAGTGCAGCAACGCCAGGAAGAACTTTTCCTTCCAACAGTTCCAAACTGGCACCGCCGCCTGTTGACACGTGGGACACTTTGTCTTCAGTCTTCCATTTGGCAGCACAAGTGGCAGTATCGCCTCCCCCTGAATTCGAAAAAAAATCACCGTTTTCGGTATAGGTTTTGGAACATTTGAAATAAAATCACTACACTTTGGTTTCAGAACTAGGAAACATTAAATGTAATCCGGCAATCAAGGAAATAATTACCCTACAGAAATGTAACTTAAGAAGAAAGGAAAAACTCTACTCGAATCTCAAATGTAGGAAAATTATCATAACAATTTCAAACAGATATCTCATTGGACTCACCAATAATGGTAATTGCACCAGACTTAGTGACCTCGACAACCTCGTCCATGATAGCTTTTGTTCCCTTGGCAAACTTTTCGAATTCAAACACTCCCGCTGGGCTGAAAGAGAAATAAAATAATCACAGGGCCATTCCAAGATGCGTATACTTGAAAATTTGATTGTTCTTATGTCAACAGAAATGATTAGTTACTTTTTATAGTACGGGTGAAATCCGCGATTTCTTTGGCCTTTCATAACATTGAGGAAAAAGAAAAACAGAAATGAACCTATAGAAATCCACATCCAAGAAGTAGCTACATTGATTTTGTACCTACCCATTCCAAACAATAACCTTGGCCCTCCGTATGGGTTCTTTGAATTTTTCGATGGTTTGCTGACCCACATCAAGACCCATCCAACCCTCAGGTATTCCTTGTTCGACGGTGGCACAACTTGACTGAAACAGAACGAACAATCAATGTTGAAATTACAGAAAGTTTTTTTGAGACAACATACACTGGCATTTTCGTCAAATTTATCGGCAGTGGTGAAGTCTACTGGGAGATGAATTTGAACGTTGTTTGTCTTGGCCTTTTCCAAAAGTTTATTGACGATTTTAGCTCCTTCAGCATCATACAGAGAAGTGCCAATCTGTAACAAAAATATTATTTCATTTCCATCATGTTTAACAGGAGGCGAGAAAATATTCAAGTGGTTTGAGGGATTAAAATCATCATCTTGTATAGTGGAATGGGGTATCAAGTTCACATGAAAGAAAACTGAGAATCTCCATGGAGATTCTTTCCTAATAATGACAGTAACAGTTGTCATCATTTCCGAAAATAATTGTCGAATCGTGATTATCGAAAATCGTCCACATTTTCAACCAAATTCGGGTGCAAAAAATCCATTAAAGAAAAAAATGAACTCGTGAGACCTTCGACACCATCAGCTGTAATATCCTTTGAAAAAAAAAACAGAATGTCTGACATAACAACCCACATACCCTTGAACCCCAACTTGAACTGCCTCATACAAAATTTCCTGTATTTTATAAGATGCCAAGGGGTCGTGGCATCTCAAATGCAAATCGAAAAAAAATCCGCCAGCAACCTCAGCACTGTATCGAGCTCCATGCATTCATACCTTACATATAGGAAAAATGTTAACAATAGGCTTTCGCAAATCAACACAAACATAAGTAATACGATAATAGAGGGGTGCAGAGGAATAGATTCCATCTGTTATAAAGTTAGACAGTGTCTCGATGAATCTCAGAATATTGGAAGGTGAGTTGAAACCGTATCAATGCTTTTTTATTCTGAATTCATGTTACATTAAAACAATCTTCTTTCTAACATGCCAAGAGAGAAAAAAAATTATACATCTCTAATATTTCGAATATGTAATAATTTTTACAGAGTGTTCAAGTAACGGTGAGTAATGGCATAGAATTTCCGAGATACAGGGCGAGGTACGTATCGTTACTTGTTTATACCTATCCGTTTCAGATCAAGACCTTCATGCAATGAGCTATCCTGGAACAATAATGAAGAAATCAAAAGGAAAAGTGATGAATCCACGGAAGTGTCATTGATAGAAAGTGTACATGATGAATCAACATTGGTAACACATAAAGTAACGCATAGTGAACAAAATATTACACCACCTGCGATTTCCGAAATTGATAAAGAAGCCACGAATACACAGTCCTCACGAGAGCGGAAAGTTGCCAAAAAACTGTCATTGGCCAAGATAAAGAGAAAAATACAAAAACGAAACCAGATTTTGGAGGAATTTCGAGAGACCGTCATGGACCAAATCGAACACAATGATTTCGAGGCGATGGAGAAAATAGTGGAGCACATAAACGAGGACATAGAAAATTTCGACAAAAACATTACGAAGACCGAAGAAGCTGCTATCGACGAAAAAATAAAAACACAAATTGAGGTACTGAGTTTGCAAACAATGGACGCCCAAGAATCGATGCCAGCCCTCAAAACCAAAGAAGAACAATTTGAAAACTTTGAGGTATGTATTCCTAATTAACAAGTTTGGATAATGTAAGATGTAGGTATAACTGACGATCAATTTCTTTGTCCATGAACGATTTCACTATTTGCCTTATAATTTCCGAAATCTGCTACATCAGTTTTAGATTCAGAATGCCCATAAAAATGGATCACATTTGCCCATTTGAAAAGTTTGTGTAATTTTATTAATATTAATAATTAATATTAATTATTAAATTAATTAATATTAACTGAGATAGTTATAGAGTAAAATATGAACAGTCACCCTGTACATACAATTTTATAGAAAGGTATTGTCGCAACTCAGATGGTTCTAGTAGGTTATTTGGCCTTATTGAGAACAAACTGCGCCTCCACCACGTGTCGCAACTCAGATGTTGACCCTCCTACAGGTCGTGACTTAGCTACTCGCTTGGCTTTTTGACGAGAGGTTCTGATAATTTCACCACCCAACCATATTCATAATGTCACTTTGGAAATCAGCAATCAATGAATAAGTGTTATGTACGATTGAACTAATAATGCCTTGTGTTGATAATGAATTGATTGCCTTATCGACTCGGGTACTATTTATATTCGGAATCGATGCTAGGTTCGCAATTTTCCGCAATGGGAACGGTCGTTACCTTTCGATACTGCTTACCTAGGTATTATCGCGCGGTAAGCGTTTTCTTTGCAAATTATAAAGGAAATTACGTCTATGAACTCCGCTGACCTGATCGAAACTACAATGTACTGAATGTTTCAATTTGGAAAAGTTAATTAATGCTGAAAGATCTTGAAACGAACGAGAGTTTGAGTGATGTTAATTCATAGGCATTTGTACCTCTTGACAATATTTTCAATTATTATTGTGTTTGGTCCCTTCACTTATGAATGATTATATTAAAAAGGTGGTAGTTTCGAAGACAACGGTGCCATTCCTCATACCGGAAGTGTATCCCAAGCCGAGCATCCTCGACCTGCACAAGAAGTTGATCGCCCAACTGGAGGCCAACGACAGCTACCTCTGCTTCCAGCGCATCATGGACATGCACACGAAGAAGCACAAGAAGCCCAAGATGCGGCAAACAATTTCGAACGTCCCGTCCGTGTGTCGCACGATTTCCCAAGGGACCGTCACCGATTGTCCATCGACGATATCGTGCCAGAGGAGGGGAGGCAGAAGGAAAAAAAACCACCAGAAGATCAGAAGCGACAGCCAATCGACGATAACCTCTCTTCGCAAAAAGGATGCCAAAGGGTCCGAGATGAGATTGGCCAACGTCAGGTCGGACTTGTACGCCAAGTACTCCGACAGCTTGTGGTTTTCAGAAAGGTGTCAATTCAACTAATTCATTCAGAATCGTTGGTATTCAAAACGAGATCGGTACACAAAAATGGGCGAGTGGACTAATTTTTTTTATCTCTTAAATAGAATCGTCACTCAATTACTTTACAATTTCATATATTTCAAGAATTTTCCGGTCGATTTTTAGGTGCTAAAAACGTCAATAATGCCACGGTAATTTTCAAACGGCTAGAAACTTACAGCGAGTAAAAACTGACGATTTCGTAAGTAGGGGCAGACCATAGCACAGTTACCATGTGTTGAAATACGATTGGGAACTTCAGAAGTATTACTTATTCAATATGTCAATTATGTATTGGTAATAATCCTAATTAGCAATAAAAAATCAATTGTCTCCAAATGTTCCCTTATGATTTATGGCTTATTGCTTACATAATAAATTTGTGAAAATAATAATTATATTAACTCACACTAGAGGACATTTGAAGTGGTAAACGTGACAACACGGCGCACGAATTGTGGGCGTGGTCTTGCCAGTCCTCAGCATTCAGAACAATGTAGCCAAGTCTTCAACGTTTACATGATATTTTGTTATGGAGTATAAGTTATATTTGGACATGCTGGTTGCTCGAAAAAGTCAAGAAGTCAAAGGTTCCTCTTATTATCTTTTATTCAAACGACAGGACTCAAACATCTTTTTGACAACCTTGCTTCGTGAATTTATTCGACGTATAATGGCGGCCATGACGGTACGTTTGAAGCTCTGAAATTCAACAATTTTGAACAACGCATAGATTCATTATTTACATAAAAAAGCGTGAGGAGTGTTGCAAAAATTAATCTAGGTCCCGAAAGACACAGTGGAGTAATTGGATGCCAATAATTCATTATCAGTCCACTCGCCCAATTGGAATTCAACAGTTCGTCGTCGGGGTGTGATTGTAAATTTCGAGTCAGTGGCATATGAAGTTGGTAAGAGTACACTTCATTCAGCACACTTTGAACTTACTGAAACACCATCACGGCTTATGTCAATGGCCAGTTACATACCATAAGTTTTCATACGTTATGATTCATACAGGATGTTGCAAAATTCGACCTTCACAGCCCTCATGATTTGATAGAGAATTAGGTGGAAACATAAGGTCCTGAAGTGGAGATCGAATATTCAAAGCTATACAGGATGTAATTCAATTGGTGACTAAAAATATAGGACATGGTTAATAAGACCCCAACATAATCGATCAAATGTCACAAAGTAGGGCACCAGCCTACTAGTTCAAAAACGTTGCGCCGGCCGGAAAAAATTCAAGAAGTCAAATTGTTGCAAAATAAATGAGGATTTCAAAAATGATTTTTATTTTAGGAAAAAGCAAGGGCGTACAATTATTTCTTAGAAAAATCTCCGGTGTACATCCCACATGGATTTTTTTCTTAAAATTTCAACACCCTATAGCTCACAAGTTAAGACTTAAAATGAGCAAAGGAACCATGTTTTTATTTTTAGCCATCAATTAAATTTCACCCTGTGCAGTATGAAAATTTTATAGGTAATTCATTATAATAATATTCATTGAAAGGTATTTGGGGAAAGTCAAAGCTAGTCAATGTAGCGTGAATTCGAAACGCAGCACGAAATCGAAACGCAGCACCAAAGAACGGCACAAAAGCAAAATGGAACTGACGGCAGTCCAAAATGAAAAGAAACCCAGGATCAATAAGTATGCCCTCAGACCAACCACCAAGAGTTCTTCGATATCTGGTGGTTTTCAAAGCAATGCCTCGCTTTGTCTTAGCAGGTGCACGACGTCAGGTAATGATAACAATCATTTCTATAGTCTTATTCCTCCTATCACTAACAGAGATTTGGTAATTGCAGGTTATTCCTGTAACCTGAGGATCAACAACGATTTGCCAATCACGCCAAGCACCAAGTGCCATCTCCGATGGATCAGAGCGAGAAATGAGCAAGCTCCAGCCCGGAAAATTGAATTTTTGGACATCTTGGACGATCTAACGCCAAAGTAATGCGAATCAATTCCTTGAAGAATCAGATATCAGTCGATTATTTCGATTAACAAAATGCTGATTTCAGAGATTTGCTACCTCTCCAGTCCGAATACCCAAGAAGAGACCGCCATGGGGGCGTGAAGTTTTTCAGCGAATTCCAGCCAAAGATATCCTGCGACAACGCAAAATCGATAAAGAACACCTATCTGTATCGGCTGCTTCACGAAGGAGAAACCCAGCAAGCCACTTGGCACCACCTGTTGAAGCCTAGCATTGAATGCTGCAACGTCGACTGTTCTGTCTGCAACCGCAGA